TCGGTTCGCGTGAACACATCCATGGGCCTGTCATCCTGAAGGCGCCTGGTTCTCTGCAAAATATTACATGGGGGTTTCCGAAAATAGGGGTACCCTTTCTAAGGGGGTCGATTATAGTATTTGGGGGACACCATTAGGGGTCCCTGATTTTCGTAAACCCCCATATGAAGTCATGGGTGCAGTCAAACCTTGTGCGTGGCATCACCGGGACTGAAATCGCAGGGCTACAAAGGCTGATCACGGTTGATCTCTACAGGAAAGGTTGAATCCCACTCATGCGCCTTTTGTTTTCAAGCCCAAGGGGCAGAGGAGTCCTGCATTGCTTCATCTGGCTTGTTGAAGTAGCGTCGGCTCCTGATCGGAGCACATTGAAAGATGGCCGGCTACAATACCTGCCTTAGAGCGGTAAGTTTCCGAAATGAATCAAGCATGCGCTGCGACTTTGGCACGCTCATTGCCCAAACGAAAGCATTTGCTGGCACACGTAGACATACAAGAACAAAGTATTGTGGACAACGTTTGGAAAGTTCTGTTCCGATCGTGCAGCGAAGACACCATTACGGCCTCTGAAACAGCTGTTCACTTTCGCGTGGAGGCTGTTGAGGCTGCAGATCGAGGTGCATAATAGCGATCTCAACAGAAGATATCACGCTTCCTACCGGTAGAAAATCCAACTGGATCCCTTCGGAAAACTGAAGAACATCCAATACTTGAACAGAGGGTCTATGTCACCACTGCTACAAGCCACCCTCTTGCTTGGACACACGATATCCATAATGAGCTCAATCAGGAAGATGAGATCTCAAGCAAAGCCAATGGGAAGCAACATGCTGGGGACTTTGGTTTCTGGATGTTGGCAGCGAACTAGCCCCAAAATCGGCCCACCGCTTGGTGCTAGGTTTTTGACCTTGGGGAATTGGAAGCAAGACAATCCCAGGACAGCCCTATGGGAACCCTGGTTTTTAAGGAACGAAGTACTCCTTTTTGCATCTCAATTTCTACGCACCGGCTTAGAGGTCCCGAGTACATCTTTCAACTTCGAACCGTGGAAAGTTTGAAGCGCTAAAATGTGCTAAAATGGCAGATGAAACCTTGGAGATTGCAAGGTTGAAATTCTTGAGGTTGAACAAGAAGACCGGCAATGCCGGCGGCCCGACCCCCAAACTCCAAAACCTCAACCCCTAAGACCATGCACCCCACAAGCCCTGAACCCTAAAATCCGGCTCCTCCTCAGGAACTCCATGGGATGACCCAAGGCATCGGGCAGCTCAGCCCCAGGGTGGCGCTCGGCAAAGACGAAGAGGCACGCCTTTTCTTCCTGAAGTTGTAAGGTTTTAGAGGTAGACGACTTAGTGTTCATAATATCTGACAGCGGGTCCTTAGAGCCTCAGATACTCTTGCTTGGAAGGGGATCGGCATGCACTTGCCTTGTTTGTATGGCCAAACCTGCACCCCATCCGGGCCTGGCGAACTTCGGTCGGAAAAGGTGGCAAGCCCAGAGAGGACGGGTCGACCTCAGGAAAAGCTCGGCTGCTGTTGATTTGCGTCGCTACTCGCACCCATAACCTACAGAATCACTGAAGCCCATTGCTTCTTCGACACCCTCTCCTAGTTCCTAGAACATTAAAGTGAGTAGCAGAGGTAGAAGCAGGGAGGACATGACTAACTGGATGCACGCAACAAATTAAGAAGCGTTTGCTGGAGCCTTCCCCCTCGCCAGGGAGGCAGCTGAGGCAGCGCTTGCCGGGGACAAGGCAAAGTCCACGAGCAGCCTCTCAAGCCTGAGGCGAGTGCTTTGCACAGACCAGGGGCTACAAGGATTCCCTGCGGAGCACACTTGCGTTTGCAAGTGGGGGGCTGAGTGAGGAGCACCCGGCATTCGGACCCCCAAAATCTTCCGAATACCCAGGTCAAAAGGCAAGGCGACAATTACATACCCAAAATGGTCACTAGTTCCGAAGCCAAAAAGCCGAAAGGGGAAGACTCCTGCCGTGTCCTGCCATCATTTGCCAAGCAGCGCTGGGCCTTCAAGGCTCCGGAACGGACAGCCATGAGCTTGCTTGGCCTGCTCAAACGCCGAGCCAGGCTTGCGGACATGGGCATAGGCCTATGTATTTCAGGACTGGTTGGCCACCAATTGAAAGCGAAGACCGAAGTAGAAGCAGGTATTCAAGGTCCCGAATGCAGCCGAAGAGGCGGCCACGGCAGGGAACACTTTGGGGTCAAGCGCCTGACAAGATGGTGCTCGAGATTCTACGAGGTAGTGCAGTGTGCTTTGCAAGAATCAGAGAGTAGCCTTCCGACAGCTCCACGCATACGCAGGCTTTCCCTTGCCTTAGTGGGCCCAGGCAAGGCTTTTTCTACCACGGATTTGCAGAAATTCTTGAGCAGCGGCACAGGGCGTGCGTAGTTAACACTCACTAACATCCTTCCACGGGTCTCTCAGAAAGACTTTTGCGTTGCCATGGATAGTTCTTTCAGTTCACTATGACCTCCTTTTGCGGCGAAGCACCGTTTGCACATTGCCAGACCTATTGGCTCTACCCATGTTAACCCATGCTAACCCTCTTTGACGGAGGGAGGAACAGAGAGAGAGAGAGAGAGAGAGTGGAGACTGTGACGAGTGCGATGATGCTGATACCGACAAACCTGTTGGCGCAACTGGTGCACACGATAATAACGGCGACGATGCGACTCAATGGTGAATGTGCATCACAGACAGAGAGAGCCACAGACAGAACTCCCCCTACTGCACGCAACCTTCCCAAGAAGTCATGTTGACACATTCAATGTTGACCCGCAACACGTTACCGTCAGTATTAACCCCCCCCCCTTCCCGACCAAAGCAACCCACCAAGCTGAAGTATCGTCTGTGCCAAGGGGCCCAGTGTACCATAAGCATGCCTTAAGCTTCCACAAACAGAAGCAGGGAAAAGTAGTCATGTCTGGATAATGTGCGCCGCCTGCTTCATCCTACAAACAAGCAGGGCATCTCATCATTACTAGCAGGGACCCACCTGTGGCTGAGCGAAGTCTCCCACAAGTTCTGATCTGCTCATTGCCAAGCTGCTGGACATGGTATGCGTGCTCTGTGTTGAAGTCTTCCTCAGAAGGGCATGAAGATATACCCTCAAGCCATAACCAGGTCAACTCATCTGGATTCCACTGTACACCGCTCCTTCTCTCTCACCCTTCCCCCATAGAGTGCATCACAGAGGACGACATACAACAAAGCGCATGGAAGCGCAGCTAAAGGCAGGAGCCCCGCCTCGCGAACGTTTGGATCACGTAAAAACTCACGGCGCCACCAGCGGAGTGCCTCCGGCAAGGGAAGCCTTGCAAAGCAGTACATCAGACGAGCCAGCCACGAGACAGCTTCGGAGACCCTGATTTTCCACTTGAGTTTTTCCAGCACCTTGAACTGCATCCCTCCTCTTCACCACAAGTCGTTCATTAGGACGGCGAACTACGGATCCAGTCAATGCTCCATGCTGGCCAAAGCACCCTGCTTCCCTCAGCAAGGGTCGAAGTTGCATACGCCCATGATGCCTTGATTGTGCAACACCCCGCAGGCGTATTCAAGACCCGGGCTAGAAGAACCGTTCAGACGTGGCCTACCCAAGTATACTTGGCAAAAGCTTGAGCACAAGCCACACTCTCGACTAAGTGTACGATTCTAAACCTCGAGCACACGGAAACTGGCAGCGATTTAGCCATTCTACCCTATCTTGCAACCACGGCACTTGAGGTGTTTGCCCTGGCGCTGGAAGTCGACCAGGTACTGCATGCCTCAAAGATTGAATGGAGGTGCAGATAGTCAGGCCTCAAGCAAACCTGTAATGCGTGAGGGTCCCTCTCCGGGTACCCCCATAGCAAGGGTAGGCGAACAGGGACGGCAACAGAGACCCTAATTTACAGAACCCACCATTTGCTCTCGTGCAAGGAGCAAGGTGGGAAGGACTCACGCAGCAACTGGTCGAAGTTTGCCAAGCAAAGGCCAACTGGCTCATCTATTGGCCTGACCAATCGTGGGTTTCGGGTTTCGGGTTTCGGGTTTCGGGTTTCGGGTTTAGGGTTTAGGGTTTAGGGTTTAGGGTTTAGGGTTTAGGGTTTAGGGTGATTCTTGATCGCATTCAACGGGTGCTTCAGCTTACCAACCCAGATATCCCGGGATGAGCGGGGGCATTATGGGCCCAGCCAGCACAATGGAGAGACCCGAATGAGCTCACACGACGATGCAGATAAGATTTCTCAGTCAAAGGAAAAAATGTCACGTGAATACGGGAGTACACGGTATTACACGGTGAACAAGGTGAACAAGGTTGACTTTGCTGCACAGCCATTCACAGCATTTTGTAGCTTGTTGTGGATCAGGCACGCACCTGTCGTTCTCCTTTTGCGCAGCTGTAGTTTTAATGCGGGGGCTGTTCGATCCGACATCTCCACATGCGAGCTGCAAGTGCGCCGGCGGTGCTACCTACAGGCTCTGTGTTAGAGTACTTGAAAAGCACAACCTTGGGGACGAAAGCTCTACTACGGCCAGGTGACGGGCGGACTTTTTTGTTGCGATGCACAGAGAGCCAGCATCATGAGCAGTATGGGGTCTCCTCGCCACAGCCAGAACTCGCTGTGAACGCCAGGATGAAGAGCATTAGGAGGCCACCCTGCCGCCCCAGAACGAACGCGGCCGCCCCGGAGAGCGGACGTCATGAGCATCAGCGCGCCGCAGTCCGCCCCAGAGCAAGGGCATCTCGAGCATGAGGGGGTAACAGTTTCTTCTCTGTCTGAAAGTGCCGCGGGAGCGCAAGCCAACCCCGCCCGACATTTTGGCCATCCCGGTTCCCCACACCCCTAAAGCCACTTCGTTCGCGGAATTGGGACGCAGCACTTCCAGGGAGCTTTCGTGAGAATGAGATTGTAGCTGTTGGTTGCTGGTTTCACCATACGCAGTTGTATGTTATGGACCCCGGCGCCCGCAACACCGGATGCTTCTGATTGACGGCGGAAACAACCACAGCTCCAGTATGCACCCGCCTAGTCGAAGAATCAAATCCCACCAGGATCTTCTCCAGAGAGGGCCTGCCAGGAGAACGACCCTTTCGATTCGGGCCAAGGAGATTCGAACGATGCGTCGATTGTGCTTTCCTTCTCTCGCGATGCTGCAAGCATCTGCAAGTTTTTTAACTCCATCCCATACATAATGTTACACCTGCTATAGTCTGAGCCCCCTCTGCAAAAGTTTACCCGGCTGTTCAGGGGGGGAAATACAAAAGAGGCTTTCACATCACACTGCTACTCCACTCTGTGTGCGGACCAATCTCAGACCAAGCAACCTGAGAGCGTCCATCTCGGATGCATGAACTTCCATGAAGTAATAACCGCGCGTGTCCCGACATGCACCAACAGAAGTGGAAAGTCCAGCAAGAGACCCCTGCTGACAAAGGAGATGAACAGCTTGCTCAATGGGGAGCCTACCAAAAGTCTTTTTGCCAAGAAGGGGCCGTGCTTCGCAGCGCCGGATGAAGACTGGCAGGGCTGCACGCCTCGGTTATGTGACATGCGGCGCTGTTCGGAAATTTGGGTGACCCCCCTGAAACACTGTTGAAAGCAGATCTCGAAACTTTCGAGTACCCGTCGGGGTCCTGGCCGCAGCCTGCAGCAACATGGCTTGGAGGTGCTGACGAAAATGGTGCGCCAGCACGTGCACCACGTCCTTCCGACCCGAGCTGGGTTACTGAGAATGCCAGCACTGCCCTTTACACAGTGTCAACACAGGCCTCCGCATTCACAGTTGCGATCCCACGGACAAGTCGACAGCGCCGCCTTGCTACTGTATGTATGCTCCAAACTCCAAAGGGTCGGTTGCAATTTATGTGCTTACCATCTGCTCTGGGCATCTTCATGCGGTAAGTGCAAAAGCCTGCTTGAATCAGCCCTGCAGGGATTGAAACTTCCCTGCGAGTTGGAACTAAACCCTAAACCCTAAACCCTAAACCCCAAACCCCAAACCCCAAACCCTAAACCCGACAAAATTGCATGCAGGGCGCTCAGCTAGCAGGACCGGCGGGAGCTGGCTGAAGTGCATTGTCAGAGTGCCTACTCATGAGGGACACACAGAATAAGCTAACTGGATCCAGTCGTACGGAATTGGGTTGCAATCTGTGGATCAGAGAATTCCAATCCGCAGTGGACATGGGGAATGCGGAGTTCTCACCTTGTTCGGCGCACGGCTCGAAGCCCACATTTCGTAGTGCTCTAAGCCTTGACGGCCATGGCGCCTGGCGACGCCGGAACTTGTTTGCAAACAGGGGTTTAGGGGTTTGGGTTTAGGGGTTAGGGTTTAGGACTCAATATATGCTGCAAGCTGTTTGCATGCATGCTTGTGCCATCTTGTGCCTGCTTCCATCGCTGCTGGAGAAGCGCCTCCTGCGCGCGGCAAGAACTCCCTCCCTACATGAAATACGCAAGTAAATATGCAGAACTGACGAAATCTGACGAAGCAGGACTCTTGGCAGAGTCTAGGTGAATTGTCTCATCGAACCGTCTTCCTCGGCGGCTAAGAGCCAGGAGCGTGCAGCCGTGTCTCCGCAGCAAAGCACCCGCGCCACGAAGTGGGACACTGCGTCGCGATCACAGTACTCATCGTTCGACCTTGGACGGTTGCAAAAGACTCTGAGTTCCGTGGTTTGCAGGGGACGGTCGAGCTGACAGAGTTCCAGTGCCGACAGGCAGCCAGTCCTCATTCAGTGGGTCACTGTCCTGACTGATGGTCTCTTGCAACCACAGCTGCATGGTGCCAGAGTCGTGTGCTAAATTCCCATCCAGTCATTCTGTGAAACGCTAAGCCGTTGCCACCAACACCAGCGGGCGCAAACCAATGCAGGATGTAGTTGTTCGGTACAGCGCAAACATTGGTTATGTTGTGTGGTTGTTGTGGCTGATGGAGCTTTCGGTAACGCAGTCATTGCGGGTTGTTTTTCATGGCTGATCGCAGACTCAGGGTGGCTGTTCTTTGAGTGTAGGATGCCTGCTCCCTGGGAGAGATGGTCAGACAAGGAACTTTCACATCAAGGGGCCTTCATTCTTGAGACTCTTTTGCAGACTGCAGAAGATGCCTCCGAGTGACGCCGCTGCCAGCGCTGGCAGCGCTCTTCTGCAGGGCTTGGAGGTGGAAGAGTCGAGCGCGACCAAGATCCTGCCAACTTGGTGCCTCTACATCGCTGAGTTTCAGGAAATTGTAGTCGCCACTAAAACCGCTACACTAGCAGGCTCTAAGCCTACTGAAAACCCTGAGCATCCCCTCGATCTTGGCCTCCAATGCAGTTGCTTCGATTACCGCTTGAGGTGGCTGATGGTACCTCAGTGACAATACGGCAGTCTTGCAATTGGGAATGACTCATGACCCACACTGCTGGGCCAGGAGAATGAACCGCTCGTCAGATTCGCTGCCGAGAAGCGTTTGATCCGGGTCTGCTTGTTCCCCCATGCCAAATTTTGTGACACACCCCCCCCCCCCCCCCCCCCCCCCCGCTGTGTGACCCCCCCCCCCAATCGCTTGGAGGAGCTGCAAACCGATGCTGTGGGGGGACCCGCCTGAGAGGGGGCGCTCCTGTTTTGCTGCCTTCCCCCCGTGTAATTTGTCCCTTGGGGGGAGGGGGTCACGGGAGTCTTCAGATTTGGACGCGCTCTTGGGCCGCGCATCCATCCGGTTGTGCTCTGTTTATGATTGCTACGGGAAACTCCTGAAAGGTGCAGCCAACATTCGGTGGAACCCCTTCATGGTCTTGGCTGATGACTTGGTATGCGCGAAATGTGCAGATATAAATGAGGTCATGTTGTTTGCTAGCCCACCAAATCAGACAGCCAGCAGCGGCAGGCTGCGAGATGCGCAGGCCTGCAGGTGCTGTGAGAGCTTTTCGACTCAACATGGTCCCGAAGGACAGCAGTATGGAGAAAGCTGCTTAGTGGCCCACTACTTTTCTGTTCTAACTCCATGGTCAGGCGACATGAGTACCATCAAAAGGTCGCAGACTGCAGATATGTGCATGCTTCTACATATACCCACTGCATGGGCCTCTTCAGCACTGCAGCGGGCAATCAAAGAACATTCTCTCCCAGCAAATCTTACGCCTGCTCGTCATCCTCCTCCTCTTCAAGATACAGCTGCATTGGCCCAGCTGCTGACTAATCACCTCATGTCTAAACATGGGTTGTCTACAGTTGCCGTGGGCTCAACGTCATGTGCGCGACCTAGGTACCTAGCTGCGAGCTCCATTAGCAGACTGTATCAGCCAACATCCACACTTAGAACTGTGCTATGAGCCTCAATGGCTGCACGACAAAAAACGCTTCAAGTGCACTACAGACGCATGCGCCCCTGTCCCAAAAGGTAGGGTTAGAAGGGCAAGGCCTGGCCAACAAAGCCTGGCGGGTAGGAAGAAGGCATCTCAGTCTCAGGTCCGTCGTTTACGAAGCTGGAGGTTGGGCGCCGGGGGCCCGACTTGCAAACATGATGATGGGAGGATGCTGCTTGAACCCAGCGTCAAGTTGATGGCCCTATGCAAAGCGAGGGGGTTGGGGCATTGACATGTGTGCTGGGTGCGCGGAGGGCAGCGGGCAGAGCAAACACAACACAAGGACCAAAGACACAAAGACACCAAAAGACACAAAGAAACAAAGACGAAAAGACACAAAGACACAAAGACACAAAGACACAAAGACACAAAGACACAAAGACACACACACACACCCACACAAACACAAACACAACCACAAATACAACCACAAACACAACCACAAACACAACCACAAACACAAACACAAACAGAGATACACAGAGGATGCATACTCTTTTGTTGTCGTTTGTGCTACATAGTAAGTACTCAAAAACCTCCACAACCCTTTACTTGATTATGTTTACTCTGTTGTGTGAAGAAAAGCCTTCTCGAACTATTTGTTCAAGATTTTCCTCGGAGATCCTCTGCTTCCTTCGCAACACACAAAACATCTTTTGCCACAATTTTTCTGTATACAGAGGAACGCAAACTTCTACTGCCTCTCTATGCTAAGGGAAGCCTAACATAAACAAGGACAAGGAGTCTTCCTGTAAGCGCCCTTTCATTCATTTGCCGATGGGATGGTTCGACGTCCTGTCCTGCAGGAGCCTCTTTTTGTGTACGCGGTGGGCCGAGCTCCCTTTCACTCACTGGCTCGGGGGGCGCGAGCTCTTTGAGGTGAGTCAAGCGGGGCAGGATCTCTCCTTGACGAGAAGTTTCTATTGAAAGAGCCCGCCGAGTTCTTGGTCAACCGCATCGCCCGACATTGAGAACCAAGGGCTGAGCCCTTTGTGTCCTTGTCTTCCTTTCTCTTCTGTTTATTGACTTACTCGATGTTAATGTGCACTTGCCATCAATAAACCCCCTCGCTCCTTGATTGATTCAAACATATTCAAACTCTCCGGAAGGGGGAAGGGGGGGGGGCGGAAAATATCATTCGCAGAGGGTTGAGGGTTTTAAGGGGCTGGAGTCTTGTTTGCGGGGGCCTGTTTGAAAGGACTGGCCTCTTCTAGAAGAGGAACCCTGAAAACAAATCCCGTTCCTCGGGACTTGCTTCTTACATTGGGGGTTTATAATTGAGTTCCGGGACTTGGATTATTGCGGAGCTTTATGAATGCCAAGTCGACGCTTAACGACTTTTGAGCGGTATTGCAGGACTGAAATCATTGGAGAAGACAAAGCAGACACAGGTTTTACAGTAGAGAAGACAAAGCAGACACAGGTTTACAAGGCCCTTTTAGTACGTGGCGGGCCGAGCAAACAAAAAGACCGGGGCACACTTTTGCTCTGTACACACCTTTTCACTCACTTGTGGGCGGTTTTACGCTAAAAGTCAAGAAACCCAGGGTTCTAGCCGCTGTTCTGGGCCACTCATGCTGCAAACAAAAGCGAAAGACTGCACGCGACGCCGGCTTTCGTGATGTCACAGGCACGTTGCAGCTATCCGAGGCGATAGCCTGACGACGGCAGTGTCATGGCGGCGCACCTCCAGGAAGCCCGTCTGTATAAGTAGGCTTCCTGGGAACTTTGGGTGCGCTTGGAGCGGAGCAAGCGGAGGACCGCTGATTGTGGCACAGCATCTTCGCCGGCCCGGTATCGACTAGCGACAAGGCTGTGAGTTGCGTATGAGTATGTTACATGTTGCACACCGTCCTGAGGCTATTTCGGGGGGAAAGCTGCTTGAATGGAGCCCACAGACTCGAGCACAATAGGATTTCACGAGCCACCGGTGATGATCAGGCGCTCCAGCTGATACCTGGCTTCGAAACAATGCAGGGCCATGCAGGGTGAAGTCTGGCCAAGCAAGTGGTTGCAGGTGCAAGCCAAAGTAGGGAAGAAGTGCGGCAGATGATTTGCTTTGCAAACACCGAACTGCCATCGGACACTACCTTCAGCCGAAGTCACTACGCAACCTCTCACCTTCCGCACCTGGATGTGCGTTCAAACTCCGTTCGTGCCCCCATTTCGCCAGGGCACACGCCGATGCCGGCGAAAAATCCGAGTGCAGCCCAAACACCCACCTTTCGGAAGTACCTGCCAAGTCTGCGAGGCAGAACCAAGATGTCGGGCAGTTCCAAGCTCTCAGGCAATGCAGTCGGCCGCAATCGGCGCACCAGATGAAGCCGACGTGCTCCATGCTCATGAGAGTGACGCCCGCAATGCTGCCAATGGACAACACGGACCTCAAGAGGGCTCGAAAGACGTTTTGAGTTGACATCAGACTCTCAAAGACTGTGCTGCAACAGCTTGTGAAGGACAGACCATGACAGACCATGTTGCAGTCCACCAATGGCAAGAGTCCGCACATCAAAGCAAAGTCTCCATATCTGAATCATGCAATGTGAAGTGAGAGTGGCTGGCACCCGAATTCGTCTACACAGCCCTGCCTTACCTAGGACAACTGCCTGCTGGGCCCATGGCCCACCAGTGCCCGCTGCCAAGGCCACTAGCTGCCAGAGCGGGTCATCCGTCTTCGTCTGGCCAGACCCATGAGTGTCAAACGTGTCTGCTGTGCAGTTTGTGGGTGAGAAGGTCCGTTTCGGTGATCCAAGCCTTGAGTCGGCTTGAGGCTTTGGATGTTTGGGACCCTCCCAGTTAGTCCCGGCTCGGAGCTTCTGAGCAACCGACCTCGCGGAACATGTCGATCGACGCCTGCTTTCGGTGAACAACTCATTGTCATGAAAAAGTGGGAATTCGTGCGGCACATGCTGGGAAGTCAACTCGAACCTTCGCAAGATCTCCCAAAGTTTGTTGTTGAAATGTATTTTCATCCAGACAAACGAGGGAGGCACAGCTGGGTATGGGTAGACAACACAATGCAGGAGGAACAGCTCATTGGCTGATTGGGGATGCGCAGATGAGAGTGTCAGACTGCTTTGCAAGTCCAACATCAAGGCCAGACATTCTCGCCCAACTAAAAAATTACGAGCATCGAACCGCTTCCCGCAGAAAATGCTGCACGTCTGAAATGTTCAGCTGTGCGTGCAGCCACTCATGTGTTGAGCCACTGTTGAGCCCACAACAAATTGCATGTCGGCAGTCTGCTGTTGGCAGGCTGCCCAGCCGTTGATGAGAATAATTCGTGAAAATCCTGATCGTACTTTCGGAGCGTGCCAGCGCTGGCACTATTTCTTGAGGACCTCCTCGAAAAAGGCCTGCGCAGACACTCTGGCTGTTTCGTCTGTTTCCCCCTTTCCACTTCATGAGAAGGCACCATGCTGTTTTGCTACCATGAGGCTGTAGAATCACGAAACCTAACTGAACCGATGAAAGCCCAGAACCAGGCAACAAAAACCCACTGAATTCATGGCCTTAAAGAGAGATGACGCGGTGCAGGTCGGCAATGCTTCCCGATTGGGATAAGCTTCGCGTGCTTGGACTGCTTTCAGAGTCCTTCGAGAGTCTGAGCGCACTGGAGAGTGACTAAAGCGCACTTTTTGGGGGGCGGCATGGTCTTTTGCCAAATGTGCTCACATTCAAGTTGGGATTTGTAAAAAGCAACAAATTATGTGAGCACAAACCCCAAACAGAAAGCGACCACAGCTCTACAATGCTCTATGTTTCACGATTTCCATTCGTGCGGGACCAGGCAAAAACGCGATTTCGAACCCGAATGCGACATTTAACGAGGATCATGCGTGCGCGGGGCTGTGGTGGGAGAACGAACCATGAATTAATATAACTACAACTGACTTCAAGCATTTGTTCATCAGACGTTGATTGTACATAATGAAACAGTGACTTTGCTACGGTTTTAGAGTTGGAGGAACGTAAGTTGAAATTGGGAATCGGGAGCGGAGCCAAGGCCGCAGTCCTGGGTTAGGCGATGCCGGTTGGTTTGTCTTCTTTCTTCGTCCCGTGGTGGTGGTTTTCGTGGTTTTCGGTTTCAGAAGAGGGCGACAAAGCAAGCCGAGAGCCCGCAATTACACGGGAGAGCGATTTTGACCCTTTGATGCAGTGCTTGGGAAAGGAGATGCCTTCGGGGCAGGCAGCAGCCAATCGCGCAAAGAAGCCAATCGAAGCTCCACCGTTCCCAAAGTCTCTGCCACAACACGTCGCGGCTGAGAGGTTTCAACAACTCCCTCCCCTGACGAGATCTTCTGGTGCTCCGACGGCCTTGCCCTAGCTTTGACCTTGCCAGCCCGAGTCTCCACTGAGCGAGAAGGGCGAGAAGGGCGAGAAGGCACAACGCGCAGAACTCCGACCAGATGGCCCAAATCATGGTCCTGGCACAAGTTTGCCAACTGCATCACCTGCTTCTCAGGGCAATAACAAAGCATTCTACCGCATACTGGTGCCGCAGTTAAGCATGCATTCAAGAGGACGTCCTGGCGAAGCACGAGGCTAGCTTGTACTGGGACCTTCGCTGGACAACTTGGAGTCACGTCACATGAACAAATCCCCGACAGTATCACTTTTGTTTGTAGGTCCCATGAAACGGCCAAACGCTGGGCTACCTGCCGAGCCCAGCAGATAGACGAGGCCGAGGTCGTACAGCTGAGGTTGGGTGATGTCGCAGCCCTCGCCGAGGCAGAAGCGTGGGTTGGTGTAATATGACACCAAAGAAACCCCCCGCCTTGTCTTTGAGGTATCTTTGCCAACCGGGATCCAACCCGTACAAAAGATCCCACCTCTGAGCTCAGAAGTAGCTGTTCGATGGGGATGTGGGACACGAGCAGAACGGCAATGCAGAATCGGATAGAATCGGGCAATGTGTCAAGAACGTCAAAAAAAGCGTCTGTATCATCTTACCGTACAGTCAGTACACCAGATTTCCGGGCAAAACTTCTTGCAGTCCAGGCACACCGCCATTTCATGCAGTTCCTCTCTGTCCAACCCGTTGCTCAACAGCAGCCCTGCCGTTGTTGCAACAGCGGGTTGGCAAGCCGACAGCCGACACGGGCATGTAAATATGCGCACTATGAGCAAAAAAGCAATCTTGTTTGACTTAAAGGAGATGGTGCGAGGCTGAAACATGCGCCACATCAAAAAACATCATGTGCTTCTCTTTCTGGCCGAACTTCTCACATTTCCCTACATGTCCTGCGCTTTGAGACTGAATGCGGCCAGCAAGCGCTCGATCTCTTTCCCTGTCGTGAGTATGCGGGCAGAAGAGGCGCAGAAGACCAGTGAAAAATCGTTGGCTTTCCTGCCCTTGGCTGGCGAATACAAACAAGTATGGGTGCGAAGGAGCGGCCGCGTACAAGACTGAACCAATCGTGTCCCCCCCAAACCCACACACGGCACATAACTTGCACACCTGTCTGCGACAGGCGAATTTGTTGGATGTGCAAATGCACGTGACATCATTAGGGCAAAACCGAGAATACTCGAGAGAGCTCTAAGTATAGTCTTTGCACCTAGTGGGACTCTAAACAATGAGATTCGAGGGCTCAAAGGCTGTTGGTTTCCTGACCAATTCGTACCGTTCTCTGCTTTGGAAATGTGTGCTGAATGTGAGCCATGGCCACAGCACTCCGGCTTCCTGTTCATTTCCGCCCACGGCTCTTTACCGGAACTTTTTGGCAAACCCCAAGCCTACACCCTGTGAAGGAACATGCAGGAAAGCCTTCTGGAATGCGTGGCGTGTGCCTGAGTGTGGGGAGATTCTGTAGCTTGGGCTTGCTGGCAACAATTCTTGGGGGGAATCTTAGACCTCCATGGAGCCTGAACCTACAGCGCGGCCGAGATTTGGCCAGGGAAACAAGCTTTTGCGGTTAGATTTCAGGGGTCGGAGGGGCTCCAACCTTGTCCGGAACCACAAAGGCAAGCACGGGCTCCATCTGGCGTATTCTCTTTCACCCCCTCCGTCCATGCGACGACACGGCACGCTCCACGTTCTTCTATCCCATTTTAATTTTAAGTCGACAGACCGATAGCCAAGCTGCGTGATGGGGCCGTTCTCGAGATTCTCGCAAAGGTGCCAGAAAGCCTAACTCCTGGAACTCCCGCATTCCGACCTCGGTGCACTGAGCACTCGGGACTTGGAAGCACTCGGAACACTCTCTAGGGTGCCGGATTGGTTTGGGAGCTGGAAGAATACTAGCTGCTGTTAAGCAGGACTGCTGCTTCAACAGCGCAGCAAATATTCTCAGACAGGCAGACATGGACACGGAGACTGAGACAGAGAGGCAGAGAGGCAGAGAGGCAGAGAGGCAGAGAGGCAGAGAGGCAGAGAGGCAGAGAGGCAGAGAGGCAGAGAGGCAGAGAGGCAGAGAGGCAGAGAGGCAGAGAGGCAGAGAGGCAGAGAGGCAGAGAGGCAGAGACACAAAGACAGGGACGTCACAGACAGACACGCCCACGCACACACACACACACAGAGACAGAGAGACCAGAAATGCTATGAGAACAACAAAAAGGCGTATAGATATGTATATGTATGTATGTGCTATGAGAACAACAAAAAGGCGTATAGATATGTATATGTGTGTATGTGCACAAAAATATATGTGTATATATATGACGTATATATATATATATATGTTACCTCCCTTTGGAACCAATGTCAGACAGACAAACAACACACACACACACACACACACACGCACGCACGCACGCACGCACGCACGCACGCACGCACGCACGCACGCACGCACGCACGCACGCACGCACGCACGCACGCCCGCACGCACGCACGCACGCACGCACGCACGCACGCACGCACGCACGCACGCACGCACGCACGCACGCACGCACGCACGCACGCACGCACGCACGCACGCACGCACGCACGCACGCACGCACGCACGCACGCACGCACGCCCCACGGCAGAGCAAGAAGAAACTGAAGAGTAGGTGCACGGGTGGACCAACCTTGAGCAAGAACCAGCTGGATAATGTCACCAGTCCAAAACTTCCACAAAGGTCCGGGCCTTTGGGTCCCAGGATTTTGAGATATTGGAACCGGGACATGTTTCCAGATTTTTTTGAACTAAGACATGGCCCGGCAGTCTTGGAACTGTTAAAGTTTTGGAGTTTTTTGAACCGGGACATGGGACATGGTCTGCGAGTTATTGGACCTAGGACATGGTTCAGCTGGACAATGAGGCAGGTTCAGGAAGCATCGCTATGTAAATAAAATGAAAGGAGGATGGTTCTGGGGAAGGTTACCAGGTATACATTATTTATACATATATATATATATATGTATGTGTGTGTGTGTGCATATGTCTTCACATCAGCATATACATATACATATACATATACACATACACATACATATACATATACATATATGAGAGAGAGAGAGATATATATATATATATATATATAGAAGCCGCGGCACAAGATAGCGCTTGCGGTTGTCATTGCTCTGCAGGCTGATGTGGAAAAGCTCCACAGCCACCTGATTGCCTGAGCGCCAAAAGCTCACACAAGCCGGGAAGCCACAAGCCGAAGCCAGTGGCATGTTGCCAAAAAGGTTCTTCACGATGAAAGTCATTAAACACACTGACAATGGATCTTCACATCTTGCGAAGGCACTTAAGCCATCAAGCATTCGAGCATTGAAGACTCGCGTTTGCGCATCGTCCTTAGCAGGACGTGGGATGCTAGTTCGGCCCGGGCAGTCTAGGGGAAGAAGCGGCTGCAGGAGCTTATTGATGCTACGTCCCATGATCAGCATCACAACATCGTGGCGAGCAAAATCAGTCCTCGGGGACAGTGGGGTAGCTTGTCGTGGGCACATGTTGCTTTTGCTTGTGCCGTCTGCCTGACACGCCCTGGGACTTAACAACAAAGAGGTGACCAGGCATGTGGTCATCCTGCATACATGAGCCTCTCTGCCTTCCAAACTTGCGATTCTTGCCAGCACTTACACTGTTCTTAGCTCGTGCGTGTGCTACTTGCGTTTGATTAGTGGACGGGACTAGATTATTCCGCTTGTATGTCGGCAGAACGATCCAAACAGCACACTGGCCTGGGAAAGACACCATATTTCACACCAGCGCAGCTGCCCAAAAGAAAAGATCCTTGCCCATTGAGTACACTGGACCCGAGAGCGACCTGTCAAACGAAGTCTGGGGTGGTGCGGACTCTGCAGATTCTTCGGCTGAGGCTCGGGGCTGCCACAAATATTCTGTTGAACATGTTCGCGGTCGTCAGGAACAAAGAAGCCCTGGGTGTCACAAGCACTTGATCACCCCGTCACCCGGGCTCTTAAAAACCCAATGTCGAAACATCCACTAAACGCTATGACGCAATGATGATACAACACTAGCGAAAGTCTTTGAACATGTTTCATGCTGCATGCTGAGGCTTTGCTAAGGCTGGTGCCAGGAGGTCTGACCCAGCAAGTTGCTGGGCGGATACACCACGACCGTGAAGCCTGAATTGCATGCAAACGACTTCTTGCACGGGGTGCTGCGGGTGCTGCAACAGCAACCCTCGAGATGAATCAGCCATAATCAGCCTACTGGGCCCAGCCATGCCATCTGATACGTGGTCATCCCAGAGTGTTCCAGATTCTCCGAAAACATGGTCCAATGATGTCCCATGCCCAACTCCTCAACTCCCTGCTCCAAGACTCAGCATCGTCGAAAGCTGCCGGCCGTCTTCCGTCAGCTTTAAGTTCCTCAAATTTTGCAAAGCGTTCAAGAGGCAGCTGTGTGTGGCAATCTGGAGCCTCGGATCTTACCACTTACCACGACCGCCACCGGTGCCACCACAACGGCGGCGCGTTGCAGACAACCTTCTGATTCAAAGGGTCTGGTCAGGGCACAAAGTTGCGGCAAAGGCGTGTGGCCTCAATTTGGAAGAGCCAAATAACGAGCTCTTCATCTCGAGAAGATGCCCACGTAGACTTATTCGGATCTCGGACATTGACATGAAGCCCAATCAAGGGATGTGGACTCACTCAATGTTCGGCTACCTGGGAAGGCTCTCATGCGACGATCATCGAAGATCCTGGGATGTTCCGCGCTTCGCTCTTACGCCCTCTTATGGCTGCCACAGAGTTGCCGGGGTTCCCCGCACGGCCCGGCTAGGCGGTCAGCTCTCAGGAACTTCAGCAGGTCGGGAAACTGTTTCCTTTTCATTTTGGGGGTGGCTGCTGGCCTTGTGATGGCCCTTGTGCCCTCTTGCATGGCAAGCGACCTACAAAGTATGTGTTAGCAGTGTCTTACGCTGCTGTTTTCTGGTGAGGTGTCCCCTGGTTTGCGTGCTAAACCGCGAGATACAACGACACAGTCAAGACTCTCATCCACCTCCACCACAGCATCGCAGAGTCCCAGAAGCAGGCTGGAGACCGCATTTCGCTCGACGATGAGCATCTTCAAATCGAGACTTACGAGAGTTGTCCCATAGATAACCTGTGCCAAGCTTGCAGGCTCTGGAGGCTTCGTGTCTACTGTAGCAACCTAGCACTGCCTAGCTGGCCTACCTGCCCTTCTCGCCACAGAATCCCCGGCCCCATTTTTTCATTGCTCTCTGGAAGCCTGACGTAGCATCATTGACCCAAGAAATGGCGTCATCAACATAATAGACGCTTGGTCGAGCTCAACGCCCCCCAAGTCTGCCAATGGTGGTTGTAGATGTCGCATCAGCACCACTGCAATACAGAGGAGATTGGCTACAATGGGAATCTCTGCACGTGTTGATGCAAGATCCGGGAGGAATCTGATGCCAACTACCCGGTAAATGATGCCATAAAACTCATCAACGTCCCGCGCGGAAGTCAGGAGGAGGGAGAGCAGGCCCAGAAAGTAAAAGAGGATGCAGAACGCGTCCAGGTTGCGAGGTGTTACGACCTGCTTGAAAGAACCAATGAGTGCTGCGGAAATCCAAACCATGGCCAAGAAGACCTCCTGCGAAGGAAATGGTGTCGAAGCCCATCTTGGTGTAGAGGGGAGCAGACCGAAGGCACGTGCCTGTAGGAAATGCAATGCCAAAAAGTAGTTTCCAGATACAAGTCCCACACTCCCAACATCTGAAACTCCGCCTGAAAGTGCTCTGGGACCCACCGAGGAAAACTCTTTCCCTAGCAAGACGTGTTTTCAAAGATGCTTGAAGTCACCCTGCCTGGAAACTCGTCAGTCGCAGAGTGAAGACGACGACCAAGACCCAGCAACCTATGATGAAGATGCCTGGCACAGCTTGAAAGCTGCCGTGCTCACTGCAAGCGACTGCAAGTGGCCATTCTCTGCTCCACATGTCTTGAGTATTGGAGATCATGGAGACACAAAACCACGTTCTTAACTGCAAAAGCACTGCAACGTTACTCCAGCTGGCGACATGAACCCTGGCCTGATTGGTTCACAGCCACTGCTTTCAGGACGCGATCATCCTCCAGGCAGAGAGCAGTCTACTAGTTTGCGTCGTGGTACGTTGTGGACCACGCGCTATTGCTTAAGCGTACTTGCTCTACATCTTCCAGGTGAGACTAGGATGGCCATCCTTCCTGACAACTTTAATCCACGACAAGGTCCTTCCGCGTATAGTTCTGACACCATCTCCAGAGTGATGAGCAGGTGCAGAAGGTGCACGCGTGACCTCTTTGGCTGCCTGTATGGACACAGAAGTAGCTTAGCAATGATTCGGAGATGCTAGAACATAATCTCATTGCGGCCAACGCGGCCGCGCACTCGCGCGCGGACGAGAGTCCAACCTCAAACAAGCTGGAAGATTCTGATGATCTGTACTTCCGACTGGAATCTGTGGCCCACGTCTCTTGCCTCAAGGACAAGCCAGGTGACACCATCTCAGCAGCTTGGACACCAGAAAAGCTTGAAACACTGCGATAACAAGCGTGAGGCATTTACGCCAGTCCATTGCTGCGATGGAAGTTGGTTGTTGGATGCCGAACGAAGAGACTGAAACACCTTCTTCTTTTCACACACTAAATCGAACTCGAGTGAAGCCCCCATGGCGGGAAGACTGCAAAATGCAATGTGTACCAACCCTCGTGATTATTCAAAAGGTCCTCCTGTAGCCAAAACACGTGAGCAATCAGGAAATCATCGTTGAGCTTCTTCTTCTCTCTCTCTCTCTCTCTCTCTCTCTCCGCGTCAAGCGCTGGGGTCGTAGGTTCTTGGCATGGCCTTTTTCAGTCTGCTTTGTTCCACTCTCGGTGCCGGCTGGCGACGGAAATCGCCCGTACAACGTGGTGCACCTGTGAATCTCCACCCGATGGCCTCGACCAACGGAACATTGTCCACCACCGCAGAAGAGAGTCCTGGCGCATCGCGAGCTAAGCCCGACCATGTCCGGGCAGCCCGCATGGTCTGTTGGCGAGGGTAATTTCAGCCCATGGCATAGCCATGACAGCCATGATGACTGAGCTGTGGTGTGTGTGGGGCATGTCTGCGACTGTGATCATGCCGCGGTCCAAGAAGAATGGACAGCCGCACGGCACTGTGCTTGCAGAGCTCATTGATCATCTCCGCGTACCTGCGGATCCAGGCTGGTTGAGGAAAAGTTGACGTGCAGAAGGTCCGAAGAGCGATTTGGCCGAGTCTTCACAGTATCTATCATGGGTCAGGGATCCTAGCGCACAGCTGAGCACCGCTTTTGGTCATACGCACGGCGGCGCTTGATTTGTCGCTCGTCCTTCGGCATCTACCGGGTGGAGCGCTCACTGCCAGCCTCTCTAAAAGGCACCGATGCATGCACTGCCCCCACGAAACACACTCCACGTAATGGATTCTTGTTCTAACTATATCACCATTGGTGAAGGCGTCAGGCATGCTGGCAAGTTTGTAAAAGCTCGAGCACGCTGGGCCAGGGCCCAAGCCCGACGTTCTGGGTCATCAACTTCTCCCAGCATTCCGATTTCTGATTCCGGTCAAGCCTGTCACAGCAGGTGTGCAAGTTGGCTGTGTTGATTGGTAGGTCACCGATTCCTCATCCACACCGGCCCGTTGGAAACGACAGCAAACCCATTGTGCCTCGGCTGGCAGCGATGCCTCGCAGCATTGCGAGTGATTCACGCCATTGTCAACAGGCCAATTTCAACTTTATAAAGCCAGCATGGACGTGCAACCCCATCCAGATGCCCTAGGGGCAACATTAGGAAACAGCTGCGCTGCTAACGGACAACAGCCCCAGCAGGACAATCGGAAAAAAAACACGGACACTAACGCCTCTTGCTCCTCCCACACAAAAAAGAAACAGTATGTTTCCCGCTGTTCCGTGCCTGTCGCTTGCTGGGAGGCTCCTGACCAGGAAGCTTTGCACTGTGTAACTCGGGCACTCATTGTTTGCGGCCTGTAGCAAGCGCGTTCTACAAGGGTGTGTCGACAAAGGTCAGGCCGTACATGTATTCTGGAAATACTCACTCATCTTTCTGAGAGAATCCGGCATACCATCGTGGACACCACTGTCTCTAACCATTCTCAACCAACCGACTCTGGGGTTTTTGGAACTGTTGGCATATAATCATTGTTTTTTTACATACCGGTGGCTGATCAGAGAGATCCTCGTGCCCAGTGTAGATCAAACCCGGGACCAGTTTCGAGAAGGCCAAAGCAAACGGCCACGAAGAACAAGATTCTACTATTGTGGCTTCATCTTTTTATAGCATGAGGACTCAGGCTTGAGATTAGTGGCAACCGGGTCTTGCTCCAAATCGCTTCATCTCTGTAACACCCCAATGTAGGCTTGCCATCTGACGGGAACAGAAGATTGCATCCTCCAGTTGTGGCGCTTGGATCAGAGCCACGTCATGTTCCGAAGAGCCAGATCCGATTGTGGACGCCGATCGATGTGTTGTTGTTTACACAGAGCTGTCCGGTTTGGTAGCAGGGTTTGCTCTCCCATCGTGTTTGGTGTGGGGGTTGGTCGCTGCATGGATTCACGAGAATTTCACAGGTGCAGCGAACATACAAACGGCATGGGAACGCTCCCCAAAGCCTCGTCATTGCCCTCGGCTGCACGCTTCATGTCACCTGGCTTCGGCAACACGATTCTAAGGTCAAGTTATCACCTGACAAATGAGTTTCTAAATGCCGACTGTAGCCTTCGAATGCCTTCGTGATGCCTTCGTGACGCCGAGGCGATCTAATCTACAGCCAAGACAGAGCGGGACCTGGCGGAGTGGCGCTGAACCTGAGAAACGCAGGGACAGCAGATGACTGCAAAGACTTCAGGGGCCATGCAAGTATAAAACATGGGAGCGACTTCAGGCAAGCATGCGATGCCGCAGGAAGCACACTGCGATTTAGGATTTAGGTCACCTCCCGATACCTAGACATAGGCTCTGGTACAGTACATCGTGGGGTACGGTCCAGTAAAGTATGGTAGAACATGGTGAAGCATGAGATTGTACAGTAGGGTGTGGAAGTGTAGCGAAGTCATAAAACAAACGCGGTGTGCAGCTTCGTGTGGTAAGGTGTCGTGAGGTATAGCTCTCTCACACATGAAGAGCTCCTGGCCTGGAGGTGGCCTCGAAGGTGGGCTCTGGCGCGCCTGGGACTGAAGGCCGCAGGGTGCCGCACTCTGGGCACCGTGATGCACCGCGTTCCCCCAACTCAACATTCCGACTCGTAAGACACATTTGCGCGCTCAGCCTACTCGCACGATCTCGCACGGCGCCGAGTAAGACATATGCCTGCTTGCCGCATCTTTTGCTGCTGGGTTTCTTGGCGGCAGGCTACTGAGACCTCATTGTTCGAGCTCTGATCCGGATTCACACGCGACACCAACTCACAGCTCGCTCGCGCAATGCACAGCACAGCCGTTGCAGCTGCTCCTCTGTTGCTTGGCATGCAACTCCGGGCTAAGCTGGCATTGCCAGCATTGCCCCCATCGTCGGTGGTATTGCCCCTGGGTCCACGCTGGCGCACCGAAATGCCATGTGCTCCACAAGCACACCCAATGGAATCCACTTGTGATTCACTCGCACACCTCGATGCTAAATGTCGAAGGCTCCAGGCTCTGTCACTCACACAACGCGAATCAGCGCGAATGCGTCACGATGCGTCTCTGCGCCCACAGCCACAGACTCGACTCAATTCACGTCAAGAAGGCCGAGACGTGGATGGCTAAGGGATGGGTGTCTAGACCAGTGACTCCTTAGGCCTCTCAGGCATGGCATCACTCAGGTCACAACTCCATAAATCCGCTGTATCTCTCGGCTCGCAGAACTCACAATTTTGGCATGTCTGCCAAGCGAACTCACAGAAGATTACCTGGAACCTGTCTTCATTGGCCCAGCAATGGGCAAGCGGGTTTTGCAGGGCTTTGCCACTCCATGACTTCTCGGCTCTCAGAGCTTCATTGCCAAGTGACAACTCAGGAACCGTGTAAGATCGTGTAACCCTGACAAGTCGTCGCGCCTGACTGAAAACCGGAGGCTGTTGTCGCTGCGCTTGGTGCCTACGGACGATCGTGCAAACTCGCCATGTCTAGCTGGCTCATCCACATCCATGTCTTGAAAACAAGTATTGATTTGGCAATGACGAGTTCTAGCAATGCAGGACTTGCACTGCCTCACATCGAAAAAGGCTGCACACTATCACTGCCACTCCACACTATCACCCTTCTTCCTTGGAATGCAGCATCCTTTCTCCAGATCTGAAGTGGTGCTGTCACGAGCAGTTGTCAAGCGATGAAGAGGGTCAGACTGCTGCGGATTGCAAGGAGACATGTCCTGGCCTCGTAGCTGAAACGTGTTCTTGGCACGCCCGCGGCCACATTGCCTGAGCGTATGATGAAACGAAACTCGAGTGACTAGACGAGAGGTGCTGGGAACATCTGGGCCTGCTCTAACAAGCTCTACGACTCTACGAAGTTCGAGTCCGGAGTTGAGGGGAGTTGAAGGTTGCTCATCGTTCCCAGGCCTGCAGCAAAGCCAGCTGGGGCCGCAGGCACCTGGCACAGTTCTCCAAACGAATTGTCTTCTGCCACTCACATGTCTGTCTCAGGCCTGAGGCGCGTCGTAGCTGAAGCGAGTGCCTTAAGAGGACAATATGAGTGCCTTTGAAGAACGAGTCCAGACCAGCACGTTGGAGGATCTGAGCCGAGTTGCCTCCGAAGGCGGCACCCACCATCTCAACACGGCGAGCTTGAGGCCTCCCCAGTCCGGGGCTCACTTGAAACGTCAGGCTCTCTACGAATGCAACCTACGACTGCTGCTGCTGAGGCCTGTTGTCCGGCGTCAGGCGCAGGTTAAAACGGCAGGTCTGCCCATTCAGGCCTCGCACATGCAATCCGAAAGCGACGTGCTTCTCTCATTGTGAGAATACTGGGACGGCAGGATCGCTGCTGCCCACGTCGGCGCGGGAAAGTAGCCAATGAGAATCACGGAACGAAAAGATCAAGTCGCGGCATTTGGGCGTAAAGATTGGAACCCGCCGTCGGACATTCGGATGCGCTAGAAAAGTCGTTTAGTCGTTTAGTCCTTTAGTCCTTTAGTCCTTTAGTCCTTTAGTCCTTTAGTCCTTTAGTCCTTTAGTCCTTTAGTCCTTTAGTCCTCTAGTCCTTTAGTCCTTTAGTCCTTTAGTCCTTTAGTCCTTTAGTCCTTTAGTCCTTTAGTCCTTTAGTCCTTTAGTCCTTTAGTCCTTTAGTCGTATAGTGGTAAAGTGGTATAGTCGAATAGTCGACTAGTCGAATAGTCGTAAAGTCGTATAGTCTTAGTCGTACAGTCGTACAGTCGTACAGTCGTACAGTCGTACAGTCGTACAGTCGAACAGTCGTATAGTCGTAGCCGTATAGTCGTATAGTCGTCGTAGTAGTCGTCGTAGTAGCAGTAGCAGTAGCAGTAGCAGTAGCAGTAGCAGTAGCAGTAGCAGTAGCAGTAGCAGTAGCAGTAGCAGTAGCAGTAGCAGTAGCAGTAGCAGTAGCAGTAGCAGTAGCAGTAGTAGCAGTAGCAGTAGCAGTAGCAGTAGCAGTAGCAGTAGCAGTAGCAGTAGCAGTAGCAGTAGTAGTAGTAGTAGTAGTAGTAGTAGTAGTAGTAGTAGCAGTAGTAGCAGTAGTAGCAGTAGTAGTAGGAGTAGGAGTAGTAGTAGTTGTGGTAGTAGTAGTAGTAGTCGTCGTAGTAGCAGTAGCAGTAATAGTAGTAGTGGTGTGGTAGTGAGTGGTAGCAGTGGTGGTGGTGGTCGTAGTAGTAGTAGCAGCAGTAGCAGCAGCAGCAGCAGCAATAGCAGTAGTAGCAGCAGTAACAGTAGTAGCAGTAGCAGAATAATCCTTTACTCTTCACTCCTTCCTTCGTTCCTTCCTTCCTTCCTTCCTTGCTTCCGTGCTTCTTTGCTTCCTTGCTTCCTGGCTTCTTTGCTTCCTGGCTTCCTTGCTTCCTTGCTTCCTTGCTTCTTTGCTTCCTTGTCTCCTTCCTTGCTTCCTTGCCTCCTTCCTTCCTTCCCTCCCTCCCTCTTTCCTTCCTTCCTTCCGGCGACTCACATAGACCACATAGACCTTTTGCTTGGAAATGCATCGATTTACATAGACCTTTGCTGAGATCTATCCGTTTACGCAGACCTTTGCGTCGAGTTGCACCAACTGACATAGTCCTTTGTGCTAAAAGGCACTACCTGTACAGAGCCAATGTCTGCCCGGCCACTTGCCCGGCTTAAGCCTTTCTTAGGTGCCTGTCAATAGGGCTGAAACCTTGCCACCAATTCAAGGCTGAAGCACAGCGACTCTGAGCTTAAATCCACTTCCAAGCCCGCCTAATTAGGAAGAGGTTGAAGCCGACCTAAAACCTTCCACAGAGAAAGCGGCATATCTTCAGGAAGCTGAAAAACCGATTTCAAGCTCATACGAAAGCAGATTAGTGTAAAGCCGAAATCAATCCTAGGTCGGGTTGCCGCGACCCCCCCCCCCCCCCCCCGGAAGCTTAAAACCGATTTTAGGCCGAAAGCTGATACCAAAGACCAGTCGATCTCCCGAAACCCCAAACCCTTTGACCAAAACCCTCATCAGAGCCACTCAACCCTGCACGCACCCTTGGACCTAAATCACTTGTTAACTATTGCCTGTATTTTACCTGCATCTACGCTCGGTCTACAGCAAGCCACGCGGTTCACAAGTTCAATCAGTTCAATCGGCCATGGCAAACGCATCAACAGCTTGCGATCTTAAAGAGCTCAGAGCACGTTTTGGCCTCCTCGTTCCTCATCCGACAGTGCCCGGGATAAGTCCTTTACATAGGCGGCGTACGGCTACATCTGGCAGCCGGCCAGCGCCACGAGCAGCTCCACGAGCAAAGAACAGGATTGCCCTCCGGTCCTTGATGTTGAAGTAGACGTCTTGCTGGAAGACAGAGTCCAGGGCGGGCTTGATGAAACCATACCTCTGCCCAGCTCAGACATTGGGATTCTCAACACGTCTTCTGATGGGTATGATTGGGGTCAGGTCTGAACGGTTTCTCTAAGTTCTTGTCCACGCACATATTGCATGTCTAAATCGAAACATAGGCTCACAGCGCAAAAGCGCACCCTGCGCTTGTGTTGAACTGAACCACTTCACCCACAATGAGCTCATCCGGCTCTGGGATCAGCATGACCTGACAGACATGCACATTGAAGAAGTCGCTTCCTGCTTAGCATGACTAGCCTGCATTGACCGAGCCTCTTTTGCGAAGGCTCGCCCACCACCCACAGCCAGCGTAAACAGCACCGTCGCCCTGAACAAGTGCACAGCTTACATACTGCACACGCAGTCACGTAAGTAGGCCCTGTCTTGCAGCCCCATGCACAATGTGGTCATGATGCAGCAACATCAGCAGCAGTAAAGCACTTCAGAACCTAGCTGGCTTCGATCAGATTTAACTTTTGCGGGCTCTTTGCCACGTTGTGCCAGAGACGATGAGATATACAGCAGCTGCGTAGACTGTGTGCCATGACTCTGTTATACCTCGGCCCTTCACAAGAGCGACCGCTGCCTCTGCAAGCGCGTCGTGTCACCCGACAGCACCTGGCAATGTTGCGAAGAAACAATACACATCGCTCAGCTCGTGCATCACCACGCAACAATTTCACACATGGTGGCATGTTAGGGGGTCGCCTCCCATTCGGAACTATACTCATGACGACACTGCATGCCGGTAGCCAAAGCTTGGATACGGACACCTGAGGCGCTGAAGCTAAGCCGCTACTCCTAAGCGCTCTCCGACTGCGCGTACCTGTCTCTGTAGGTTCGCTGGAAGGTCCGTCGGTGTGAACGGCACCTCCTGAGAGAGTCTGTAATGGCCGGCCACCGACAAGCCCTTGAAGACTTAAAGAGGGTCAGGGACGTTCAGCTGAATCCCATGCAAAGCCACTTGAACCCCTGACTATTTGTTCTGTCCTCGGCCATCACGCCACAGACGATCGAGCCTCCATCCTCCATCAAAAGGGGGCTTCGGAGTGCCAAGCTGTGCGTAGCGAGACACAGAGACGTTGCCAGCCTGGCTCACCTCCTTGATCTGGCCCTGAAGGCGCGAACCTTCAGTCGGCTCACCTCGGCGACAGCAGACAGGCGTCCTCGTCGAACTTCACAGCAAGGTCCTTTTCCAACAGCAAAAGAGCCAGCATAGCCAGCTGCCAATGCACTCTCATTGACGGCAAGCTAGCGTGCCAACTTGTGGGCAGGAGTTCCATCTGTTTGAAAACATGAAGCAGTGAAAGTGTCACCAGAAGCCACCAACCCTTCGGGTAGCACTCGGTGGCTTCGGGGAAACTTCAGAATCATTTGTGGCAGTTTCGGCCTGCGCTAGGCCGCTAGGCACCAAATCTCAGCTCCGTAGCTGCGCCGAGAACTGTGGGCTGGACCGAGCCATCTGGCATCGTGGGTTTGGATTTGCGTGGCAGCAAAACACAACAAACAATGAACTAATCTCGGTGAGAAATTTGAGAGCATTCCCAAGAGTGACAGACTCGCACAGACTAGGTGGTGGTTTCATCGTGTGTGACAGCTGCCCAGCCTCCCTGCCGCAGGGGAGTCCTCGGGAAGAAGCGACGAGGAAGATTGCGTGTTTCGGTGACATCATTTGCAGCCCAACCTCTATACATGTTCTTTTGAACACTCACGCGCCAGGCGTGGCTAACGCTTCTCGAGCCTCTTTGCAGGAGCACGGTGCCCCAACCCTCTCCACATGCTGATCCAAGCAGCTGCTCACAGCACTCAGCGATGTCACTGGCATTCCTGTTCCTCATCTCATTAAGTTGACAGCGCTCGCGCAGAACCGATCTTTCAAGTATCAGTTGTTGCTTGCACAAATCATGAATCACTGCATTTGTAACATGGCAGGTCATATGCTTCTTGAAACCATTGGCTCGTCTGTGTGCCCCTGGCCTAGACATCTAACTCCGTTGCCCCAGCATGCTATCGATAGGCTCGATGACCAGCTTCTCGAGAAAGTTCGCCACCTTCCATAGCAGAAGCACAGTCGGTACAGAACCCTTGTCCATTTGCGTGCCCAGCCTGGTTACGCTGTCATGAGAGCAGAAAGGCTGGGCAACTGTCTTCATTGCGCTACCGTGGCATGCCTCGAAGACCGCATTGTTGGCAGGCAGGCCAGCCATTGCGCTTCGGCATTCGGCAACCTAGCCATCCAAACACTGCTCAAGTTCGGACGGGGAATGACAGCGACTGGCTGACATGTAGTTTGTGCACTCCTCAGGTGGGCTCAAGTGAAAGCCTTACTATCACGAACCTGAACGCTAAATCTTGCCCAACGTTCAAGATCTATTTAGCATCCCACTATGCAGACGGAAGCTCCGGGCTGAAACACGGCTTGACTCATCTACAATCCTGCAAGGTCTGTCTACCTTGTACACTACACGCTACCGACCCAACGGCATGTGTAGCAGTCGCAGCTGGAGAGGATTGTTGCAGACGTCACTGTCAAGAAGGCGCACCTTGCTAGGCAGATCCTGAGCTTGGCCAGACACATACATATAACTGTGCCTTAAAGCGGCCAATCGGCCAAAGGCTACCGGATACCGCATACCGTCATTCTCATACCTTTTGCTGTCGTGTTCTAGTACTTGCTGGCACAAGCCTCGATGCAAGCATCGCTCCATGAAACTCTCAGTACTAGATAGGACAGCAGGAACATTCGGTTGCAGCCACGCTTCTTCTGGAAGATTCTCCAGATCCTTCCCAAGCTGTCAGAGCCACTAGGCTGTCGGCTTAAGGGCACTACAGTTTGTGGCCTTGCTTCCATTCACATGAATGCAGTGGACGTGAACATAACGAAGTCAACCCTCTCTGCATCTGGAAAGAAGACTAAACTAAACTCAACAAGCACAGACATGCACCTGGACAACCAAGCCAGCGCCGGAGCTGGAAAGGTAGTCCAGCACGGGCTGCAAGGAGCATTGGCATGGGGTCAAAGTGGACAACCGCTGGACTCTTGGGGTGGCATCGCAGTCAACGCCCTTCCTACTCCATTCAGTCCGCAGGGGTACAGAGGCGAGGGACGCAGTGCTGTTCTTTGCGCCTGCTCCTGCGGCATGACATTCTGGCTCTCTATGAGCATCGGGACTCCGCAGGCTATGGCCTGCAGTCTTGAAAGGTGCTGAAAGATTTTCCAGAAAATCAAAGTATGCGCTTCCTGCTCGATGCAAGAATTCGTAGGCAGAGAAGTCCTGGTTTGCCCACAGAATATTCGGAAGATGTTCTGGGTTTAGGGTTTAGTCAAGTTTTGCGGTGGCCTCACTTTCGAGGCCTGACTCTTGCTTTTCAATCTCTGTTTTGGGAAACGGGTCTTGAATTCAGGGCTTGCCAACCATGCTTTTTCTGGATGAGAATGAAAACAGATTGACTTTCGGCTCACTTAAGATAAGCCTCACCAAGCATGCGGCTCTTGAAAAACCACATTAGCGGGAAGAGGGGCTGAGGGGGGGGTTTGGGGGAAGGGGGTGGGGGTGGGGGGGGGTTGGGTTGGGGGGGGGGGTTGGGTTTGGTGGGGGGGGGGGGGGCGGAGGGTTGGGTTTGGGGGGGGGGGGGGGTGGTGGGTGGGGTGGGTGTGGCAAATGCATGCTGGCATGGTGGGGTTTCGAAAGGATTGGAAGGCTCTCCCCATGCTTGTAGCTCCGCCTGCCATTGAAACCCCCCACAATGCTACATTTATTGAAGCCGAACAACACCTGAAAAGGACATCAACTTTAACAAATGACACCTGCACTTCTCAGTGTGCCTCGGCGGCCACACCTGGACCAGCCTTGCCAAGTACACAGAATGCCTGGCGCAGCGCTTGACTCGTAGCAATCGCATGTGTTCTCGAAGCTCTGGAAAGGCAGACATCAGTATTGGTCAGACACATTGAGAACTCGAAGACGCCATGTAAGCAGATCCCATCATGAGCCCTCCCCCAAGCCGACGCACAGCCTTGGCAAAGTAGTCCCGCACTTTCTCCGAACTGACAAAGCCTTCCACGACCTAGGACAGTGGACTGCGAGCCACAGCAACGCTTGCAAAGCCTGTGATTGCTAAACGGTTCGCAAGGGATCGCGTCGCGGCAATGAGGCATGCCCACTCACTGACTTAATTCAAGCGCGCAAAATGAATGTGCTGTTGGCACTGGGTACAATTCTCAGGCTCAGACGTGACGCCCGTCTCCCTGTTGGACGAAGTCCTCGAAAGGGTTCCAAAGTAAGGGACCGTGCAAGGACGTTGAAGCGCCGCTTCACAGCGCATGCGGGCGCAGTACATGCAGGGCATCTGGACAAGTCCATGAAACGGGCCGGCACGTCGTTGTTTCTTGTGTGGAACTTTTATGTCTAGCAAATCGGGGATCAGAGTGGTCCAGGGTTCTCGTTTGGATCTCGCCTGGGACCCCCGTGACTGCACAAGCCCCACCGAAGCGGGTCCCACAACCATGAGGATTTCATGGCTCTTAGTGCCAGGCACCTGGCGACCAAAAGCCTCTCTACCAGGTGCTCTTGGTCAGATGGCTGACTGGTGGTTTCGGTTGTTGGCTTCGGGCCTCCATTTGCCAGGAGCCACCCCCAGCCCCTTGTTCCCTTGTTGCTTGATTCCGCTGGCATCTGTTCCCTTTTGCAAGGACAAGGCATCTGGATCTGAGCAAACACCCAAACCGTCTTGACAGGAACAAGATGGTGCCCTCCTGCAGCTGATCGCGGAGCTCTTTGTTCTTCCCACCTGAACTTAGACAGGGCCTTCCTGAGAAAGACCGGAGATGCCAGACAGCCGTTGCAGGTCCAACTGGGCTCTCATCTCAATCCCGCTCCCATTGCTAGCTTACAGCTTCGAAGATAGAATTGACCCTGCAGCCAAGGGCATGGCAAAGAACCACGATCTCCATATCCTCAGCTTTAGGTGCAAAGATGTGCGAGGACATGCGGAAAAGACACTGGCCTCATCACCTGAGGCTTGAAACTCCAAAACCCATGCCCTTCAATTTGAGTTTAAGACCGGGGAAGAACAAAAGAGCTGCACAGGAAAATCTGTTTAGGCGATCAAGGGCCTAATTCTGCCATGGCGCTGGACGTGCAGCAGACAGCTTTCTGGCAATTTGCCCCACCCGCATGGGAGCAGTGCCGCCAAAGAAGATCACCACCACCTGGGCAACTGTGTGAGGGCTCGATTTTGCAGCTGCCCGGCACCAAGAAGCTTCGGCTAGGTGGCCTTCGACGTCGCCCCGTAGTTCTTGGCCTTCGGGTCGTAGAATTGTGGGTGGATGACCATGCCTGACTCGTGGATGGTGGTGGACTGCGCCGGTGAGCCAGATTGGGGTTAATGGGCAATGGTGGGCCTATTCCACGCACTGCCATCGCAACGGCGGCACTGGCATCGGAAAGCCCGTGGCCTGAGGTGCGCAGCAGCGCAGAAGATGGCCAACCCATCTCCAACGCCTGCAACAAAACTGCTGCTGATGTGCTGCTGAGGGGAACCGACATCACATTGAGCAACGACACGCGAAGCACGACAGAACAAGCACTTGTACAACCGCCGCGGCAGGCTGGAAAGAAAATGCGTAGGTAGAGCCGTGCGATCTTTTGTGATGGATCCGGTCCATGGGTCCGTGACCCAGATGAATCCGGCTAAAGGCCTCAGGCGTCTAGATCCAGGTCTAGGGACCCTTTCATAGTCCTACCCACCTCCTACCCCCTCCCAGCACACACTGACCGACGTTTCTTTTTGCGCGGAACAGGTACCCCCCCGAGCGGACCAGTGTCCAGCCCCCCCCTCCCCAACCTCCAGACCCCCCTACGTCTCCTACAGCATCCTGCGCCACCCACCCCCCCCCATTACTTCTCGTGAACCCCCCTGAATTCGTTTCGGTACCCTTGCCGGGGCGGCTTCGCGTTGGCGGTTAAATTACTCTTTCTCTGCAAGATGGACTACAGTAGTGGTAGCTCAAAGATGCTCTAGATATATGGTCCACCAAGGCATCCATCACACACAGCGAGCTCGCCTGGGATTCAAGAGTCTCATTCCCGACCACAAGGTTGTGATTCACGGCCTCAAGTGTTGTGTGCTGAACCAAGGCTGAGGGCTGGTTCGTCGTTCGCTGAAACCGGAAGCCAGAAACTGCCTCCAAGCTGCATTGCTGTCGTAGCGGTCGATCCAAGGATGCTCTCGACCTCGCATGACTTGGGCAACTGCTTTCAGATTTGCTTACAAGCTGACGGAAACCTGCAGAGCAGCCGCAATGTCGCAATGGCGTATTGGGAGGGTCTGATAGATTGCTGCAGCGGCTTTGAGGAGGATTCGCCGGCATCTATCTGATCTGAGACGGTGCTGACGTGTCGGCCGAAAGCCACAAAGCCATTGCCATGGCTACAAGTGCTACAAAACCCAAGCATCTCAAAGTCGCACCCACGCCCTCCTCTGCATATTACAATTGTTGGAACTCTCCTTCCCCTCGAAAAGCCGCTCTGAATGGCGTTATCCTGCCAAGTTACAGTTTGCCACGTCGGTGATCACGGTCAGAAAGCGACCATGTGGAAAGACTCTCAGCAATGATGCTCGCATGGCCGCATTGAGGAACGGAACCTAGGCTTCTACAAGGCTGCGAAGGAAAACTTCTGGTATGTCGCACCTTTCATGCTCCTCAACGCATCTGAACCTGCATCTTCTCCAGAACCCCACTTCGACTGCATAGTGGAGCCATCGGTCCCAATTCTGGACTGTCCACGGATTTCCACTGGCCCAGATCCAAACATTTGCAGCAGAGTGGCAAACGAAACCACAATGGCTGGCCTCTTCACGTGCCAGTACTCCTCGTCACACTCAAAAGCTCTCCATAGCTCTCCTAAACCCATCCCTTGGTTGATATGCACCAAGGCCTGCTCTGAATTCGGCCTAAAGCATCTACTCGGTGCTTGTTCTATCTGACAGCAGCTGCATGTTTGGCGGCGTGTTCTGCAATGTCGAAAACTCTGATGGCCTGCTGCAATTCTCAGCGTGATTCGTGCTGAACCGTACTACGCATCTGTTCCCTATCGCCGCCTCGAAGATATCTTCAATTGCAGCCTGCCAACACTTGACACGAAACCACAGATGCTCGCACCAGTCGGGATTTCGCGCATGACTTCTTGGCCTGGTTCATGCGGATGCCGAAAGCAGCAATATTGCCCAACATTCCCGCCATCTTAGTGGGGCAAGGGATCTCACAACGTGACCACCTAGACTGCTGTGTGGATTGCTGAATACTGCTGAGCGCACTCACAGTCTGCCGAGGCATGACCAAGGACAGAAATACAGCGAACTGCATTTGGCACAAAAAGGATCTGCTTGACAGGCGGACAATGGGGAAGAGGCATAGCAAATCCAGCATCCAGTGATCCCAGCCCCCATCGCACACCAGAAGTCAGGCTTACTGCTCAGCAGATCACGCTCTTTGCGGGATTTGCGCCCGCGTTCCCAGATAGTCCCCGTGAGGATTCTTTCATGAAGTATCATGAAGTCAGCGTGCCAAGGCCCACCCGGCCCACCCCATTCCTACCTTCGATTCGGCACGCTTTCTCAGGACCCGCCTCCACAAAACAGAAACCGTTTCGTTATGCCATGCTACACTGACGCGTCTGACTGTCCTCGTAACTATGGGCCAAACATGCATCAACATGGCACTGGCATCGAGAACTGATGTCGGGCCAATAAAGGCTTTAAGCACGCACCCACACACCCACACGCCCACACAACCACACGCCCACACACCCACACGCCCAAACGCCCACACACCCACACACACCCTCATACCCGCACAGGCCCACACACACACAGACACACACGTGGATACATGCGGACACATGCACACATGCACACCGCAAACACGCACACACATTGCGTGTTGGCTTATGTTGCTGCTTGGCTGCAGTGTAGAAGCCTATCTGCATGAAGTAGTTGTAGATATCATCACCTCAATGGAAGTGGCAGCCACGAGAGCCGACCGGAATTCCAAAATGTAGATGCCAAACAATTTCCACAACGACTCCTGACTACATTTGCTTCAACGTAACGTCTCGCGGAAACAAGCCGGTAGGATAGCCACAGTGAACCCTACACTACGAGTCTGAGCTTCTGAAGCCCCCAAGCTTACAACCCCAAACCCCTGCACCTTTACAGACCCCGACCGAGAGGCGTCGGGAACCAGCAGACCAGGATCTGCCAACCCAAAGTTTGGTCAACCTCCTTTCCCCCTCCCTTTGGAGGAGCCGCAATCCGATGCCGCAGGGGGTCCGCCTGTGGGGGCCGCTCCCACAGAGGGCACGGCCTTCCAGGTAGCTCATGACGTGTGTGGCGCTGCACCAAGCGACACATGACTTTGGCTTTCCTTCGTCTGCGAAGCTCACGCTACACCTTGCGTTGGGCCGGCCCGGCTGCCGAGGCGGCACGAACCGCTAAGATCCCGTAAGACTAACAAAACTACGCCGTACAAAGTTCTAACTCCAAGCCCTAAACATTAGAAAAAAATTGAGCCGGAAACCGACCAAGCAAACAATAAGATGCTCTCCGACGGCACCGCTGGGCAGTAAGTCTCCGGAGATGGCCAGCTCGGCCAGACCTGGAGAGGTTCTTTGGGGTTCCGGGCTTAGGGTTTAAAATTTAGGGTTCGAGGGTTGTTGGGGTTTGGGGATCAGGGCTTCCCTGCTGTAGACCCAAGCAACGAAGGTATGGGATTTGCTTGCCAGCGCACTGGCGCAGGCTCTACCAGAAAACCGCGAAACCCCAGGCATCCATCCTCTTGATTTCCGTTTAATCAGACGGACCGACCGGCAGTTCCTCACAGAGACTTCGGAATCGACACAAGGGATATATCTTCTCCGAGTCCGAAACCACTGCAACCACCCAGCCACAAAAAGGACTCTACAGCAAAACTAGGCACCAGCCGCAAACTTCGAGAAGAATAGGTTCCAGCATCTTGTGGGCCTGCCTCCACCATCAGCAATCTCGACACAGTCCTGATCAAAAAGGCTCAGAGCTATTTGACAGCGATGCCAGGCCAATAAACCCATCTTGAGCTACCAAACAATGTGCGCCAAGAAGCGATCGCTGACTCTGTGTTGTCGAGAACCTGCCGAAGGGAAGGAGTTGTACCATGCCCACTACGCAACACATTCCGCATAACCTGCAAAGACCATCACATTCGAAGACATTCCCAGCTGAGCTCTGAACGCATCGCTGCAGCGCCTTTGCGGCTGCCATGTGCCCTGGGCACACTTCAAGCATCTGAGCTGCTCTATGACTCAAGTCAGTGAGATTCAATAAGCCTCCTCCACCACGGCCCACCAAGAAGATGGCCTGGGTTGCATGCGTCTTTTCAGGTCGCAGGAACAGCAAACGAAATTTGACTCAATAACATGGAAGGTTCAACACAGGCAGCTCTGAAGCGGCATACATGCTTACGGCGAGTCCAACTGCTGGCCCTGCAAGCAGTATATAAAGGGAGGTGTGCAATCCGCATGGTATCCTTCAATCCTTCTCTTTTGACTCCCTTAAGCCGTCAGAAAAGTCAACTTCTCAGGCTAAGCCAGGCCGCCTTCACCATCCCTTCATCTGGATCTGTCATGGCTGCCGGCAGGCTACCACGAGCACATCAGAAAGTACAAATGTTGCCAAGTGGAGTTGCGTTGCAAGACTTGTGGCTGATGGTAGCATGCGTACTAAGTACGAAGTAGCTGTGTGCTCAGCTCCTGGCATGGTATGTCATGGCATGTCACAAGCACGGAAGGGAATCCCTGCTGCGGAATCCTATTCCTATCCACAACACAATTTGCACGATGGCAATCTCTTCGCCTGACGCTGCCACAAGGTCATACAAGGTCATGGATGGAAACTGGTTTGGCTGCCCTGTCCATGTGCTGGGTATGGGTCGCCGCCGCTGGGCTCCAGGCCCTTGCCATTGCCCTTGCCGGACGGCCCGACCGCGCCGAAGTTGGCCGAGCCCGGGTCAACACAAACCAAGTTCTTGGCCTTGCACAGCGGCTGCTCAAATTCAGACTCCAACAGGAGACATGGGGGAAGAAGAAGTTGTAAACAGCAACATGCAGCACCAAGACCAGTAGAAACCCTGGGGCCTGACTGCGCCCGTCATTGCTGGAGCCAATGTCGAACTCAAACTGGACTCCGATCAAGTTGGCCTCCTGCACAGCGCTAAGCCAGCGAAGCCGTCACGATGTGGCATCCATCAACATTTGCTGCCGATCATCTCAAAATCAACAGCAAAGGGAGCACAGCTAGCAGTCCTGCATGCCCACCGGCAGGTCTCGCTTGGCGAAGAAGATGTCAGCTGCAAGGTGGGGATGCAGAGCCAACCAAGAGTTTACTGCTTTAAGTTCTGGCTGCTCAGTCGGAGCCGTTCGGTGAAATTTGCCGACGTGTTGTCAAAGGACTTGCTACAGTGCAGGGGCACGCTTTGCATGCAGTGCCAATGCGGTTGAAAGCATCTTTGAGTGGTTCGACTGAATTTCGTGTGCTCACGAATGGTGGGAGAGGCGTGAGATTCTGCGGAGGCTGAAAACTTTATGACAGCCATGGTCCGGCCACGCGCCTCCGGTGTTGATGCTGATGAAGCCTGAACCAAACTCCAGAGAGCAGCATCTCATCAAGCGAGAACCATAGCTAGCTGTTCTCAACTACAAGTTGGCAATTTGTTCTCACACGCTCTGTCAAACCAATCCCCTCCTACCGGTCGACCTGTTGAGGCTCCCCTGCACACACACACACACATACGTCTCCGAAGTGTCCACAAGACTGCTACCCTGCAGATGCTCGTTCCATGCCGAGCGACCATATCCACCTTTGCCAGAGAAGCCTTGCAGCTTTGGAGCGCTACTAAGACACCCGCTTTTCGCAAACCTGATGCCTCAGACACCTCGGAATAAGTCTTGGAGATGCAGTAAACGCCCGCAAGCAACTGATGAACATTGTGTCCTAACGTTCCATTGTCTATTGAGGTCATCCAGCTTTCTGATAGCACATTTTTTTATAGTTCGGCTACCCACCTGTGAGATTTCGTGTTGACCTCTATCCATCTCTCGCGAACGTCCGAACTATACAAAGAAGGAACACTATCTTCCTGGGATCCTCAGAAATGGAACTGATCGCAGAACTGCCAGGATTTATGTAATTTGGAGGGTCTTCTGTTAGTCTGTTTATTGTTTTGGTAAGAAAGGCCACCACCTCCCTTCCTCAATCCACGAACCAAAAAACCTCACCAACAACTTGGAAATTCTGGACTCTTGGACGTTTGGATTCTGAGTGTTTGGGAGGTTTGGCTTTTGGCTTTGAGCTAGTTGTGGATATCTTGGGCTTTTTTGACGGGTTGGTCCCTTCGCCGGGCGAGGGGGGTGAGCATACATACAGGTAGAGGAAAATTCTGCCATTTGTTTTGTAGTCTAGGGGTCAAAGCGTACAGGTTACTGTAACAGGGTGCAGGTTTAGCAGGTTTACCATTGAGGACTTCAGTTTGTGGTCTAGGCCTAAGCTGGGTTACTGAGCGGCCACAGACCAAACAGGTCGCCATCATTTTCTGTTTTGAAGCATGTCTATGTTAGGTCGATGTTGAGCTCATCTTTTTGTCAGGCACTGCACACCCAAAGGCAAGGACACGCAGGAGAAAAACTGTCATGTGCTAGTCACTACTAGTCCGCGTGACCCCCGTGAACTCTGTCTTATGCTGCCGGGGGTCCGATCCCCGTCAACGACCGACGGCTACTATTGCACTGTACACTAGTACATGGGCTGAGGGGGGACGCCGACCAGCCAAGCGACCGACAGCGGTGGTAACGAACTCCGTCTTTTGCTTCGGGGGGGAGCGGGGGGGGGTGGGGGTTCCGAACCCCTTAACAGCCGACGGAAGAAGGCCACCTTGTCCCTGCTGACCCCTCGCCCAAGCCGGGCTCCATACACACAAGCCCAACAACAAGCTTCTCAAGGAAGCCTAGGGGACCCAGTAGGGTTTGCTTTATGGTAGGGTTCAGTGAGTTCAGGCTTGAGGGTTGAGCGATTTGGGCTTAAATCATCGGCTCAGGCTAAAAAACTGAGGGGGAGGGCCCGGGAAGGCCGCAGTCGATTCGATTTCTGTGGGACGGGAAATACAGCAAACGGAAACACTTGAAGCTTAGTTGATTCTGGCCCGTGCCACTGTGGGCCAGACAGATATACAAAACGATCCTGCACTGGCCTCAACAGGAACACGTCGTGGCCCACAAGGCCCACAAGGCCCACAAGGGTCTGCATTACTCATGCTGCTGGCTGCAGGCCGAGAAGCTCTTCACTTGACCCATGCATCGCGTTCCAAAGCCTGCCCGATCCACAGACTTTGGTGCAGTCCCCCCCTCGTCCCCGTGCATGGCCGAATCCGAAACGCCTACTTGGGACCTGCAAACGGACTATCGGAACAACCGTGGCCCGATAGTCTATCACTGCGTGGCCTGGCAAAACTAAACATGGAGTGCCCGCGCCCAACACTCACCAGAACCGACAACTGTGACAACTGCACCCCTGAAAGCCCCTGAAAGCCCCTGAAAGCCCCTGAAAGCCCCTGAAAGCCCCTGAAAGCCCCTGAAAGCCCCTGAAGGCCCAATAGCCCTGATCAACCTTCGGAGTCCCATGGACCGAAAGCTGTCTGAGCTGCACCTTCTATCCCGCGGCCCGCCGAAGGGGTGGGAATGGTCTGGGCTGCACCGCCCACAAACTGCAGATTCTTGGCCTCTGAAGCGAACCAGTCCAGAGCTAGGAACTTGGGTGGAGCACAGTCATCGGAAGAGGCGGTTACCCCTCGGAATGCCTCTTAGCCATGCAGCACAGCACCCTGCAACCTCGCAACTCTACCAGGCTCAAGAACACCCCACTCCCTTCAATCTCCAATGCCTCCCTGCACACTGAATCCAGAAATGCTGGTTGGAAGTTGGCAACTCCATGCTTCTGCCAGAAAACTCCTTAAACCCAGATTAAGCCACGGAGGGCAAGGAGTTGCAGGGGCTGGACATGCCTGTGGGCGGCCATCTGCTGCTGCAGTAACGTCGTAAGCAAAGGTGATACCGTTCAACGCAGTCTCACCTCCATGGGCACACAAACCGAAAGTAACAATGTGGCCACTGCATGAGGCAGTAAGACACACCCATAACCTCACATAAACTCGCAGTTCAACAGCAGTCTTGGGCCAGGCGATGCAAAATCAAGATTGTCCGTCTGGCACCTTGAAATTCAGGTGGCAGCTCTCTTCGGGGAAAGAACGTGTCCTGCGCCGACAGCAATTGTTGCCTCATACTCCCCCGTCTTGCAAACCAACTGCTTGTTCATGTCGCTTTGGCCTGTCCCGTTCAACAATCGTTTGTACATTTGATGACGGGTACGAAAGTAAGTTTCTAGGGCAGTGCGAAAGCTTGCATGAAGGAATCCCAACCCGCCTTGTGCCGGAAACGCAATCTTCTGCCCCACCGAACAGAGAACAAACCAACCAGCTGGGTTTAAGGTCTACAGCTCTAAAACCTGAACCAAATCTAAAGCTGTTGCGAGTCACAATCACCGATACGATTGCATCGGGGGCTGAAACCTTAAAATAAAGTTCAAAACGCTTTTGTTTAACCTGCCAGGCTTGTGCACCCTGACCCTGAATTTGGGAGGCGCAGCTCCTTCTCCTGCCCCTCCGTGCGAAGGAAGCCAAAACCCCTGTCGTGGTTCCTTGGCTGAAGGATGCAGGTTCTTGAACCTTGCTCTTTGCAGTACAGGCAGCTTGGCATCGCTAAATTGAATTGCAAAGCACGCCCATCACACGCGGCACCGCAAGCCACAGGTTGATACAGTTTGGGACAAGCATCCAGTTCTTCACAACGCCAACTCGTCTGTCACCGGCGCCTGCATGTGACAGGGCTGCCAGCTGCTAGCAAATGGTTCTTGCAAAAACTTGGAAAGACAGCATGGGCAAAATCTGGCAGAATTAATGATGCTCAGCCCGGCACAGCATCCGCCACCGCAGCCGCAGCCACTTCCGCAGCTACCGCATCCACAGCCACTGCAGCCGCAACCGTTACAGCCGCATCCAGCATAGCAGTTCCCACATCCACAGCCAGAGTTGCAACCGCACCCGCCGCAGCCACCGCAGCAGCCACCGCAGCAGCCACCGCCGCAGCCACCGCCGCAGCCACCGCCACAGCCACCGCCACAGCCACCGCCACAGCCACCGCCACAGCAGCCGCCGCCGCAACCACCGCAGCCGCAGCAGCCACCGCAGCCACTGCAGTTGCTGGCTCCGCAGCCGAAGTCACCGCACCCTCCGCAACCACCATAGCCACACCCTCCGCAGCCACAACCACAACCGCAGCTGCTGCAGCTGCCGCAACCACAGCCAGTCGAGCCGCATCCACAGCCACACCCGCAACCTGTGCAGAGAAGACCCCTTCTCTAGCTGCAGAAGCCATACAGCGCAACAACGCAGCATGATACTGCAAGATGCTGTAAGATGCTCTCGCATTGCCTTCACCCCTTACATTCTCATGACTTGGCAGCTGGCTGGGACTCGAGGCCCGAGGACAGTACTGCAGAAGACACAGTAGCACAATCCCCTAACATACTATCCCTACATATCCCTACTCCCTCTACCCCTAGCAGTCGTAACAACATTCCAACCTCTCAAGCCCTCATTTGGAGGAGTTCAACTTGTTGCTTTCACGAAAAGCTGCTAAGATCAAGGGCCGGGCGGAGGGCCAATGTTGTGTTGGAGCCCAGCCTGGATTCGAGCCGCAGCTGCCACAGCAACCACCGCAGCCTCCGTCACAGCCGCAACCGCACCCACCACAGCCAGGATGGCAGCCACACCCTCCACATCCGAAGCAGTTGCTGTTGCAGCCGCCGCAGCCGCTACAGGCACAACCTCCGCAACAGCAGCTGCATGACCAGCATGAGAGATCGTTCAAAATGTTCAAGGGGCCATGACCGCTCTCACGTTCCAGCAGCGTGTACTTAGCATGACAGCTTTCGGGATGTCCTCCGTTGCAGGCACCGCAGCCGCAGCCACAGCCACATCCGCCAAAGCCTCCACGCAAGAAACCGTGGCAGTGGGAAGCGCAGTGCTTGACATGTAGTCTATTTGCTTTCGGAACTTCGGGAGCTGCTGAAACTTCATAGTACGAGTATAAATCTTTTGAAACGACCATTGGGCTGACCGAAAGTGTTGTCAGTTGTCCGCGATTCGTTCCGCATTTTTTGCAGGATCGGCAAACAAGCTGCTGACACGATGCCGGGACTAACTTCCTCTCCGACGGCATCGGACTGTTACATGCTTCTTCTCGCCGCGCCTCCGGCGTCGTAGCCGCATCCTGCAAAGGAATCATGTGCACAACAACTCGAACCCAAACATGGCAGGCCAAGCAAGCGGAGGGTGCCCTTGGCTGCCGTTGCGAAGGATGACCGCGAAACCGAAGCGCGAACCGGGAAGCGTGACAGCAGGAACCGAACCGATAAAGAACCCGAAATGTGAAGCGAACCGAACCGGATACTCTTTGGTTCAGCGCCCGCAAAAGTCAAAACCCTCTGCCACTCGTACAAACCACATTTTCAGGATTGCAAAGGCTCGAACCGCATATAGCTCCATTGCCGAAAAAGCAGAGCATGGCAAAGCATTTAACCGCCCTCCACGCCCTCACTCATCCTTCTCGCAGCCCGTGCTGCTCGTGATTTTGAGCAGCTCCCGGCCCGAAAACTCCAAAATCACGAGCTGTACAGCACATTTTAGTAAAGAACCGCACGGCGAAACGAACCGTACGAACCGAATCCGATCGCGAACCGGAAAGGGTTCGTAGAAGGCTGAGTTCATGACAAACCGAGTGGAACCGTGGCTGTCCTGTCGGTCCTGCACCGAAGTCACCGTAGACAGGACCGGCAGCCACAGAGTCAGCTGGATCGCTGATAAGGCTGCCTGCACAGGAAACAGGGCAGAATCAGATTGCTGATGCTGTCAAGGGTCAAGGCACTCACATGTCACCCATGCAGCCTGCACCTGACACTAGGAATATGGGAACTGACAACGAAGGCGCTCACACTCCTCCACCATTGGCACCAAAGAGCTTAACGTCCGCAGGCAAGTTGAAACAATTGCAAATCCACACGGTACGTCGTCTCACACAGCAAAGGCAAGAAGACGGAAGACGCCTTGTGTGGAATCCATGGTGGCCTGATCAGATTCGTCAAGCGCTTCAAGCGACTCTCTCGGAAAGCGAAGGCTCCGTGATCCAAGAAGTGAAGACACAAGATCTGACATCAAATGTGGGCCACTTATTTGAATGAACGGTTCCGCTCTGGGTATGATATACAGTGCAAGCGAGGATCCGGGGCTACCATAATTTCGGGTGCCTGAAAACATAACACACCCATGCCAGCATGTCCAACTTAGGCATCGGCCCTCGCTGAACCCGGCACGGCGTGGTCAATCGCGGGCTGTGTCAATGTCTGACGTTTGGTCGTCCACCTCGACTGTATTTAACTTGGGGGCGCTAGCGCAGGCTAGTATTCATCATGGCCTGTACCGCTGCCAGCAGGGTGCGGTTTGCAGCACCTAGTCGGTTGCCTGTGCGTGTCTCTGTGTGTGTGTGCACATGGACTTCCTGCAACATGTAAAAACAGGCGTGGCGCTGTTGAGCCATGCTGGGGGCGGCCGGTTGTACTCACGACTGCAAATGCCGCAAATCCACTTGCATGTTTATCATGGCCGTGGATCTGCACAAGCTACTGTCTGTGTCTCCTACACGGGTGGTTGCTGACAGCCCCTAGCCCCTGAAGAATCACCAAAACCAGCCAATGAGGCAACGGAGCACTGCTTCAGAACGCCTGCAGCGTCGAGGGCCTTGGCAGTGGAACGACACACTAGAACCAGGCGAGCATAGCGCTTCGGAAACAAGGGCAGGGCTCTCCCCCGTGCAGTGCAGCCAGGAGGCGCCAATGGCTAGGAGCACACCCGTAAAGAAGAGAAGCCCGGTGAGATCGACCTGCGATTCAGCACGCAAGACGCGGCGATCCACGGTTTGAAGATGAGGGTGGAGCATGCCATGTCACGCGTCCCATACGTGCAGCAGCAAGTATGTGGCCATGACTCCTCTCCCAGCTTCTGGCCTTGCGAAGTGCACTGACGACTCCGAGCTGTGGTGGCCCGCCATGGTTGTCTGACAGGGGCACTTGCCAATACAGCCAATACGAAGCAGATTCCAGCGCTTGCCACACCTCCTTCGGCTCTCTTCTTACACTGCGACACTGCAAAGCAGGAGCACTGAGTCACAAAAGTCAATTCCTGCGGGTGAAGATGGACCTGACATGTCTACGCTTCGTCTGGCACCCCGCAGCGCTTCCTAGGAGTATCGGCCTTCGCCTGGAGACTCCCCACCTGCAACGTGGCCCTGGCGAATCTTTCCCAGTTGGGACACATTCAAGATCATTCAAGCTCATTCCGTTCAGCGCTTGTACTTGCTGGTGCCATCCGCAAGAAGCTCTAGTGCTGCACTCTTGGCACCAGGCCTGGAAGTGCAACACGTCCGTCAGAAGCCACATGAGACCCAAAGCCAGAAGCATCCCCAGGTACCTTGGAGCGCAAGACTTGTCTCTTCAAGCGGAACAACTCGGGGGAATCGGTACAACCTGAGCCGCAAGCGGTGGCAAGCCACAGATCATCTTCAGGCTCGGTACCTCTCAAAACAAAAGACACGAGACCTGAAAACAGTGGTTTAGGGCAAGTATGGGGTTTAGGGTTGAGGTGACAGGGAACTGCATCTGCACAGTCGATGCACCATAAGGATGCATAGAACGCCGAAGATCAAGGCGATGACCTGCAGGAATCAAGAACGGGGTATCGCAAAACCGCATGCAAAGGCTGCAAGTCATCTCCCCACACTCCAAAATCGAAGCCCCTCAAGCAAAGCCACCATGCCAACAAGGCTGGCCTTCTGTCTAGTGATTGGGTCTGAGTCCTCCTTGCCACAAAGCGTCTCTACACCGACTCTGCATGTGATGCGAAGAGGTTCTGGTTCCTAAGGATCAGGAAGCTAGGCGAAGACATGGCCTGCGCATGTAGCTTAACATTATCGCAGCTGAACAAGGCGAGACATCGTCGACGGTTGTTCCCGCCACAGTCTCCTCGTCCAGACCGGATTCTTTCAGAGGCTCCTGGCACGTCCCACGCAGAGGCGCAAACAGCACAAGCTCCACCCCAGACGAGTCTAGTCGGCAAAGGCACCCGTGAGGGTGCAATGCAAGGAAGCAGGGCCATGTGAGAGTTTACGAAAATAGGGGACTCCCGAATAACAAGCCAATAAGGTACCCCTAATCTCGGAAACCTCCATGTTGCATTGTATCCACGAGGCCTGCTCCCAGCCTGGACCTTTTTTGCGGTCCTGGCAAGTTGCAGGGGCAGCTGTGTCGGCGGCTCCTAGAAATGCAAGAAAAATGCCTCCCGATGTCCTGCACCCTTCTGGGACCTTTCTGGGACCCACTAGGAACCCCCTCAAAACCCCTGAAACATCCCCCCCGACCTGCGAAAGGTTCTTCGAATTTTCTTGGGTCTTGGGGCGTGGGCGCGCGCAAGCGTTTACAGTTAAAGCCGTGGTCTTTCTTAACCCTTGCCTATGAGTGAGCTTTATTATCAACTTTTTGTCTTCTGCGGACGTTTTTTCCTTTATCTTCTTCGGACATCTCACTTTCTTGCATCCACGATAATAAATATGAACCCTTGACCTGGTGATTTGAGAAGCATCGGCTTGCACAGACCAGGAGCGTTCCACATAACTTTGATGGTTTTTACACCTGCTACTGCGAATCTAAGACTGAAGTGACGCAGGCTTACCAGACGCGAAGGATGCTCTTCAACAAACACGGAATTGGTGAGTGGGTTGTTGTTTTCCGAGCAAGCTACACAGACCAAATTAATCGATAAACCGCTCCGAGTCCACAGTAGGCCTACCACTACTTGTGAGGGCGGCGCAGACCCCACGACCTAGCTCCCGCTTCTGAGGGCGGTGCGGGAACATGCCAACAAAGAAAACAGTGCCTACCCTCGGAGTAGCACATGATGCGCACGGGCCCTCGGCCACGGGGCAAAAGAAATGCAGGCTGCACGCAGGCTTGTGGCTGACCCAAGCGGAGGCCGGCGCAGAGGGAGCAAGCTTGACTGACCCAAGCGGAGGCCGCAGGCAGGGAGGGGGACAAGCAGGACGGGCCTCAAGGAAAGCAAGAGCCACGGACCGCAAGAGCGTTTACTTGGACGAAGGCCTCACGGCTCCACCAGTGGGGCCTCCTCCAACTCGACCGGCCCGAGGCGGCGGAGGATCGCTCGGGCATTTTCCCGCTGGAGGGTGATGGCCAAGGCTTGCATCAACTGCTCCATCTCAACGGCCTCAGCCTCCCCCGTTTTGGCCGCGAGCATCTGCCCAAGAGCCTGCCAAGTCCGCCTAGCCACCGGGGCCCATCCCCCTGAAGCTTCGGCCACCAGCGGCACGAACTGCAAGCCTTCCGAAGCGCACAAGTCCTGGGTATGCATGTGGGTGCGCTTCCGAGCCTCATAGTCCTCCGCTGGGCCAAATTGAACGTCCATCTATTCTACAATCTCAGGAACATGCATGGGCACATATTCCCAAGCCATCGCACCCGTCCTTGACGCGATGATCTGTTGGCGACGGTTCCGCCATAAGGCGACGCGCCTGGCACCTTTTGATCTGCCCATCAGTTCAAGGCCGCAGACCACTCTGTCACCACGAACGCATGGAACTGAAAGGCATCTTTGAAAACTTTCAGCATGCAGCATGTCTCAGATGCCGATGGTTAATGATAGCTTTGGGAAGGACCGGCCTCAGACCAAACAGCGGCAGCACGCCTGCGGCCAATGACCTCACGTCTGTTTCCTACAAGGCTGGCCAATCTGGTTCGCGAATCCAAAGCCGCAGAGATCCCAATCGCAATTCAGCAGCAGCAGCAGCAGCAGCAGCAGCAGCAGCTAATACCAAACTGATGGCCCCCCGACCTGTGCCCAGGCTGACGTAATTGAATGTGCAGTTTCTGCTTTCTCTCCTTGATTTTCTTGGGAGGTGATAGGCGTCGCCAAAACTGAACATACATACAACACTCCTACCAGTACTGTGAGGCTAACAGAGAAAGTCCGACACATGATCTGGCCACAGACTACCGCAGCAATCCACGCGGGTCTTGGAGCCTCTGCTATCACTGCTATCCGGCATTATCCGGCACTATGCGCGATGTAGTTTGCCACGTAACTGTTCCGAAAGGTCACACGGCACTATGATCGACACAAGCACTGCACAGCTAACCCCAAGCCCGCAGCGGAAGAAACAGCCACAGCACGGTATTCGTGGCTGAAATCTTCTCCCTGCAGTCCAAGATCCAAAGTCAGCAAAGGCTCTACAGATACAGTGAGACATGTCCACCAAAACCTGATGACCCTGTAACAGGACGTTACCGTGAAACATGGCGATTAACCCAAGAAGGGTCTGCAAGCTAAGTCCAAGGCTGAATCCAAAGCATGGTGGTGGTCACGTCGCCGATCGGCGACCATGCTCCTGCCATTCGGTGGGAATCAGCAGGGAGTTCTGAAGGTGCATCTCTGCCGCTGTCTTCGCATGGCATCTTCTTATTCTTTTCTTCTTTAGCTGTTTTCGAGCCTCCAGCATTGGCTGCAATGACAGCCAAGCCGCCGCACAGGCGACGATATTCCTATCATCAGTTGCAGCGCAGGCATCGCGTCGAACAGACAGTGATGGTCTCATGTCTGCATCATATGTCTGGGAGAGACATTGAACATGTATGCTGGGAGGGGCCTCATCTTCGGAGGCCAGCCGCCGCAGAATTTTCACGGCAACGATGGTCGATGTGAGGTTGTCGATCACCTGGCCAAGTGCGTACACAGCAGACAGGTAAGAATTGTGAGCTTGGGATCTAGGTCGGCCCCAAACGCACGCGCGCTCAGATCTCACGTAGATGCACAAAAACCTGGCATTTAGGTCGCGTGTATGTAGTGTAGGGGGATTGGGCAACGATTCAGCTCAGTGATTGCCATTCAGTGCACATGCAGTGGGGCTTCCTGGATCAGCTGCCGTACGATTCGGATCACGGCTTTGGGGGATTGCGTCTTGAAGCCATGCACTCTGGAGGAAATACAGCGGCTTATAAGGCCCTACACGCCGACACCTGGAAGCCCTAAACCCCACAAACCACGGCCGAAGGGGTTTAGGGTTTAGATCTTCTCAGTCATTGAAGAATAGTTGGCTTCTATTGGCTTTATAAAAGAACATATTTCTTTCTTCGGTTTTGGTGGTTAGCTCTCAGAAAAGGAGGGCCGAATTCTGGGTGGGGCAAACCCCTTTTGAACCCAAGAATTTGAGGGATTTGCCCTACCCATATTTCGCCCCCGAACCCCGAGCACTAAGCACCGAAACCGAAGAACAACTGATCCGGAGTTCTCTTACAAATCCCCCCTTTCTTCAATAACTGGAGGACCTAAACCCTAAACCCAAAACAGAGGCAGCGACCTGCGACTGCTGCAGAAAACAGCTCGGAGCTAAACCCTACACCGTCAACCCCCCTAAGCCATGCGAAATCTGAACCCCGCATGTCGGGTCAGCTGCAAAGCTTGATGCTCTTGGGGCTGCATGGGCTGTCCGGGATCCGAAACGTGCCAATCGGCTGAGCTGACTTGCAGGCTTGAATGGGTGATCCGATTGGGCGAGCTGATAAAAGGCAATCTTCTTGAGGGGGGGGGGGGGGGCACTGAGCACGAGCAAGGCTCGCATACACGAAACTGCAAGTGTTGGCGGACGCTGAGCTCCGAAAATGTTCAAAAGCACAGGCCAAAGCGGCCGAGCTAAGAAAGAAAGTCAGGATGCAAATGATCGGCATCAGTCGGTCCTTGCGGGCAGTTGGCAGCAGTAGGACAGACTCTTCATGCGTGAGTCCAAAAGCATTCCATGGCCTTCGAATAGATACTCAAGCAAAGAGCAACTGACGCTGTGGTCCTTCCTCCCTTCAATGGCACGCCGGATGGCCTCGTTCAGTCAAATGCCAGCCAGGCGCAGGCACGACAGCGAAGCAGAATAGTGGTGCAGTGCAAATGGCGCATGACCATAGACGACTATCGAACTCAATTGATACAAGCCGCCGGAATAACGAATAATAGGAATAATAAAAACAGCACAGCTTTCTTCGCAGTCAAAGGCGATTCTTGCCAGCGATTCTTGCCTAACCTCTACTTTCAGTTGCTGGCCAGGCCGCCATATTGGCCAAAGCGAAACCATCGAAGTGGTCAATGGACTCCACGACACCTCTGTTCAGGATGAGTGGACATGGCATCCGGGAGTCACAAAAGATCTTACACGGCTGCAAGTAAAGGAAGGTCGAGATGCAGAGCATCAGAGTCATGAAAGCAGAAAGCACCAGCTTTGCTCTATCTGGACCCTCTGAGATCGAGGAATCTTAGTCGCTGGCCCATTGCAGGCAGCAGGAACAAGAGCACACTGCCCACTTCCTGGCCAGAACGCCCTTCAGGAGACCAGTTTGAAACCCCTGAAACTTCCTGTACATCACGGAGCCTCGAGGCCACGGTTGAGCTCCTCATGGAGCTGCATGTACCCCGCCTTTCAGCGAGCACAAGGTGTCTAGCAAAACGAGACATCTGTTGCGCAGCCTGCAACGAGCCTTGGAGTTGTTGGGGTGGTAGCCGACGGCCAAGAACGTCCACATCACTGCAGCCTGGGGTGAAACATGGTGAAAGTCTGCGAACACACGTTAGCATGTGCGGGCTTTCTGCAAAGATCAACACAGGCTCAGTCCGTACGCTGCACGTCCGCTGGCGTGACAGAAAAGCTCGTAGGAACGCAACCAAGACCATCATCATCGCCGATTTGTTGATGCCAACGACATCCTGCGCTGCAAGAATCCAACAGAAGGCAGCTCGACTGTCATCCCTTGCGGCGTGGGTATTTAAATCGTACGGGTATCTATGTTGACTTGACACCGTACTTTGTTTGTGTCGCGCGGAGCCATATTCGCATTGGACTCATGTGCGTGCTCAGGCAGGCTGTCTGGCTTTTAATTTCATGTTCATTCCAAACAACTTGAGGGCACTGCCCGGTACATAGTTTTAGGAAGACCAAAACCATGCAACCCTGACCAGAACCCTCACAGTCTTCCACAGCAACGATGAAGAGCCCCGCAGCGAAGAGGACAGACATGACCTGAACCTCAGGTGGCACGCATATTCGACGCTCCCTCAACATGGAAAGGGTGAGCAAAGTGCGCGCTCGGGCGAACACTCTTGCAGTCGGACTCTCGACGACCCATGGTGGCCTTCAAGGCAAACGGGGGGGATGCAAGACAGCGTAAGACTGGTAACGGATCTTCCACAACAGTGCTGAGCAAGTAATGCTCCGAACTGCTTCCGAGACCCAGGCCAGTTCATGATGGCGATGATTAGAACCACCATCTCAGCGATCAAACAAGAAAAGTTTGCGAAGGTGGCAGCACAGTTTCACCTACCCACGAAATCCACAAGCCACCTCAAAGCTGAGCTTTCAGCCATAACACCAATACCCAGGAGCCTCACGAGTCCCCGCACCTTAGGGCTGGGCCCTTCAAAAACAGTTCTAGAAACAGGAACGGCTTAAAGCCTGTAAAGTGGAGGCTCAATGCTGAGACACTGCACCGTGGAGGCCGCACGGTTCAGTATCCGCGTCGTTTGCCTTGGGCTCGAGATTGCGAAGTGCTTGTTCGGGCAGGCAACGGCTGGAACGGGCTGGTACAAAGTCGCGGCTGCTTGCGGCATCCAACGCAGATTCAGCCAAGTTAGAGGCATGTGAGTCACAAGGTCATCGATCCACTCATATCACTGACATCCGGTCCGAATCTGCTCCTCAAGGCCCTGGCTCCCCGATTTTCGGTGACATCTCGAGCTCTCGCGCCTGACCTTTGGAAAGGTCAAAAGGCCCTGCTCCACTGGTGCGGTCCAACGGAAATTCGGCCAAAAGTTGTCCCCTTTTTCAACGAAAGAAATGATTATGACGATTCGACCAAGAACACGGATCTCACTTGTGGCAGGCACAGCCACCCCACAGCTTCACACCAAAACCGGTCAGGTGCAACATTGCGCTGTCTGATGCTGTCTGTCATGTGTCATGTACAATTGCTGATTACCCCTTGCCTCCGATGGGAAGTCGCGGCAGCTGCTCGCGGGTCTGCAGCACAGTCGTGCACTCTCTGAGCATCCAGTTCAGCGTGGCATATCCACCGTGTCCAGGGGATGAAACGCTCAAGCTACGTAAGCTATGCCTCCACACCGCTTCTGCTGGGGGTGGACGGCCTCCGTGCTTACACAGTCTTGCCGTGCAAAGCTCGTTGACAATCACAGGGCATGCACATGCATGCACCAAGTCCTCAACACGCAAGGATGTGCACAAACCCTAGCCTGCTGTCATTCAGCTCCAAGTCTTCCAGCCCCATTCCCATTCCGATGACCTTCAGAATTCAGATCCACAGCTTGAGCCCGCACCAAACAAGTTGCAGGCGATGGCCTTCGGCTCCAGAGACGGCATCTCCACCTCATTCGCCTCGACCGCCTGCACATCGCCACAGTTTGCTAGGGACAGCCATGCAAATGGCTTAGCGCAGTGGCTCCTTTCCAGATGGTTCCTTCACGTTTGCAAAATGAAGCAGGCGTTTGCAAGACAGTGCTCTCACATCAGGTCACATCCAGAAGAAGGGGAATTCGGCCTTCATGTCGAACATGGACCTCATGCTACGGCGCAGCTCAACAAGCGTTTAGTGGTTCGTGGCTTCTCTTGCCCACACTGTTGGTTGTGGTTGCCTACGTTCAGCATGCTCCCCCTGCGATCCATACCTTCATGCTGACACAGGCACTCACGTGACTGTTCAACCCACCAGCATCAGACCCCTACCCGTAGCCTGCGGATGCCTCTGCCTTGGAGCCGGGCATCGGATCGATCACCAAGGCCTGTGCTCCGTCTTACTGCGGGTGAGAACACTTGAAAGGCGTCTCTAGCGGCACCCCAGGCTTCCAAGGCAACCTACAGCCTTCACCTACCATCCAGGAGTTGCTTGTGGTGTGCATTGCGTTTGTTTACGTCCTCCCCCATGTTTGCTAGTCCCCATAAAGAAGTCAACAACTACATTCCTAGGTAAGGATGGTGAAATTGTAAGGGTGTTTGTGCTGCTCCTCAAAAAGGGCTTGATGGAGCTGTGCACACATTGTTCAGAATGCTTTGGCTTAAACTCATGCGCAGTCCTCCTCGTGGCCTAGTGGCAAAAGTGATGGCACAGGGATGGGGATGCACGTTGATGCAATTTTGCTGGACCTTGTTTCCTTGCACGCCCACCTCTGACAGAAACAAGAACAACAACCTTCGATCATCCGCACCTTCCTCAATCACGACCAGCACAGCCGTATGTGACAAATGCAGCTATCATTTTGTACTTCCTCGGGCTTAGGTCCAGGTCTGAAACGCTTTCTGCATATTATTCTGCCCTCGGTGCGCACAGCATGACCCCATGCCCGTGCTCCAGGACAGTGCACTCACACATACGCTCACACTCGCAGAGAAGATGGGCCTCCAAACCTCAGTTCTGCCCAAACTGGCCCTGTAGGACACTGGGCGTCCCTGCCAAACAAGCCCGGTCTCGATGGTTGCTGGTCACGTGGGCATGGCTTCAGAATCTTGGAGGCTACGTCTCTTGCTTGGCTTTTGCCGTTTAAAGTTTTAAAGTTTAAAATTTAGGGCTTTGGCTTAGGGCTTGGGGTTTATGATCAGGGTCTCGGTCAGGTACGACTAGCGAGAAAATCTCAAGTGAGGTGACATCAGGTGATATCAGCAACAATAACAGCACACTCACGTCGTGGGCAGCTTATTGAAAGACGGTGGCTGCAGCCATGCGCATAGATCAGAGCTGGAACAGCCCAACCCTTGCGGAATACTGTCTGGCGTCACCTAAACTACACAGCTTCCCCAGCACAACCGCATGCCCTCTTGAAGCTGACCCGAGTCTGAGAAGTACTGTTTGACATTGTTACAAACAAGCCTGGCACTGGCGCGGCTCGACGCTTTTTTCACGTGCGCTCTCCTGCGCCTGCAGGGGCAGAGCGTTGCTGAAGACTGCAGCCGTTCACCCCTGAAGCCCGATGTTTCTCAGAGCACACCCTTTGCCGAGAGTCGGTCTTTCGGCTTGCAATGTTTCAAGTTTAGCCAAGTATGGGCATCTGTCCAGAAGGCCGCATGTTAGACCCATAGTTCTATGAGAAGCTGCGCACATGAAGATTCTTTGGCATCGGGCACGCTGCACGCCTGAGTTCGCACCCTCTTCCACTGCAGACCTTGCCGAAAACAACGGATCAACAGATCAAGCATCAAATGGGGGAAGAAGATACAATGGCGATTCGGTAACTCGGTAGTACTCGGCATGTCATGAAATGCCATGAACAAAGGGGGAAGAGGACTCAACCATGACCCGATCTCTCGAAAGGTCTCCGAGGCCCGCTCCCCGGGAGTGCTGCACGCCGCGCGGCAGACGCATAGCGTGCGAGAGCCTGGACGCCTCAAAACCATGCGTGGGACACAGGCAGTTTTCAAGTCTGATGTTGAAGACTGCAAAAAAAAACACCACAGGTTTTCTGAAATCAGAATGCAGATAACACATGGCCTACATGGTGATACCGTGATACCAAAGTCAAATCCCGCACTCCCTCTCAAGATTTTCCTCTCCTGCGAGTCTAGGCAATGCTGCTGCGGGTCGAGACCAAGCGCCTCTCCCTAAAGGCCGCGATGGGCTGCGCGAGGCACTAGGCAGTCTGGCACACGCCACCCTGCTTTCAGCAGGCTGGACGAAGCTCCTGTACCTCCTGTACACGTTTTGCCAGAGTCGTGGCCATGCGCATTCAGGCCCAAACGGCACCTGCTAGATTCGAGAGACTGCAAAACCCGTCACTAATGCTACTTCCTGCTACTTCTCATGTTTCTGCAGAAGCGACCGAAGGAATGAAGGCCTGCGAGGGACACAGAATGGATGGGTCTAGATGAGAATTGATGGGAATAGGGATAGATACGATTTAGGAAGGCAGTGCAGCGGGGTGCTTAGCACTTTGCTCGGAAGAAGCCTCCGAAACGTGGGTTGCGGTGGGCCGTCTTAGAACTCAAAGGCTTGTGAAAACAGCCTTTGGAAGAGCCATCCAGTTGGACGCGGGTCCTATGCTGGAACTTCCTGCCGAAACAGCGAAGGCTGTGGAACTTTGTGAAGGTGCTGGGGCGGGTGAGCACGAAGGCACCAGAGGCATGCAGAGGGGCGCCTTGAGTCTTGAGATGCTCACAGTATGTCACCCGTGTCTTCGCCCGTTGCTTCTGCTGTGCTTTGGACACTGTGTTTGATGCAGTTTGCAGCCTTGCAGACAGTCGGGGCTTCAGAGTTGCGGCGTTCTCTGTGGGCTTTCTGACCGCGGTGTGATTGTTGCATACTATTCGAGCCTTTGAGGGATCAGTGTAGAACATACATCCTGCAATGTCTTGCACTGTTAAGGCCGGCCGAGATGGGCATCACTGACAACTGAGGTTGCAGGTGCACAGTTGCCACTTATCATGTTCGATGCTGAGCGGCCTGGCTTCAAACGCTGGCTGTCGGGGCTTCTTCCCGGACAGGAGCCGAGCCGCTCGCCATCTGGCTCCCGCCTGCACTTCGACATGCAGGATGCAGGGATGGGATATGGAGGGCCCTTGGAGTCTCTCACATGTCGTGTATTCCCCGAGCCCCGTCCTTCTCCGGATTGTTGCGAGGTTGGGCTTGGAGCTCGTGCACGGAAACGACAAAACGCCACAGCGCACGAACCTGAGCAAACTCATTGCACCCAAGCAACTCTGCAACTCTCTCACACGGCAATATCACCACTCAACTCTGAGCTCTGGTGCCAGAGCCTGTTTACATGCTAGACAACTTGAGATTCGAAGAGGCGCTTCGAAGAGCCACCAGAATCATTAATTATGTGCCAGAAGCTTGGACGGGAAACAGCTAAAGGCAGACAGCACTGCCCACACCGCCGCGGCGGTCCCCGCGGCCTTCAGCACAGGCACAGCCAGGAGCAGATTCTTTGAAAAACCCCTTCTGACTGTGACACATTTTGAACATCTTTTGAGCTCTCTTTTCAGCTACCATAGCAGGGCGTATGAGACTCAAGAAGGGACCCTGGCATCTAGCAACCTACATGAGCTCGCGTGTCACACTCTCCGAGCGTGCGGAGCTTGGTCCCGGGCAAGCATGGAGCACGCGCCCGTGAAAGTCATCGCGCGAACGAAGTCCTGCAGAGAAGATGCACTGGCATGACCGGGAGCGGGGGGGGGTCGGGGTGTAGTGCTCAACTTTAAGGTTTGGTCATCAGCACGACTCAAAACGCTCAACACAAACACCGGCACCAGCCTGCCTTGAAGGTTTCTTTGTTGATTCGCCTCGCCTGAGATGCTTAGCCGGCTTAGCCATGAAAATGGGGGCCGCTCGGGGAGTCTCAGGCGAATCCTTCTTAAGTTACGCCTGCTGCAAAGACGAGTCGCAATGAAGTTTCCGAGTGGAGTCGCACAGATCACTCCCAGGACTGTCGCTATGTACCTGAGGCATCACCCTTAGCCTTCGGAAAGATTAGGGGGGGAGACAGGAGGAGAACGCCACTGATCGCCCCAAAGTCTGCTTCTCCAACTTGGGATCAGATACTCCTGTAGGGCTAGAATTGTGCTGCTTAAGGCTGCTGCTTAGGTGCTGGGGTATCCTCCTTTCATCGAAACGGTTCTCGAGTACGAAGAGGTAGTATGCCTGAGTAGTCGAGCACAACGCATCAATTTGACATCCATCCGGCTTTCTACGGTATGAATGCGCACGCACCCTTCCGACACAACTGGCTTCGTTCGCACGCATGTAGCCCAGCTCGGACAGCAAAACGCAATGAGTTGAATAATCGCCCTGCCTTGGTCGTCAACCCTGCCACTGCATTGAGGACGGCATTGGCTCGCCAGGTGTCTTTGTCCTGAGCATGAGGAAGGTTCAGCGGCATTTGCACCTCGAACGGCATGAGGCGTCGGTGGTCAAAAGCTGCTCGTTGTGCTCTCGAGGTGCAATGCCGGAGAAAAGGATGAACATTGTCAGGGCCGGCATGGGGACCGTGTACATGCCTTCCACGATCAGCACTGCCAAGGCAAAACCCAACAATTCCGCACAAGCCCGGCTTCTGTTTTTCAAAGACTCTGGGCCTCAAAGCCTCCAAAACCGGATGTACACGTTTTGAGGGCTCTGCCCGGACATCTGCTTTGGCTTCCGGGCACTTTTTAAAGGTTCTGAAATGGGGACAAGCTGTTCAGCTCTTATGTCGAAAAAGGGGATGGCATACACGGCATCCACCTTTCAGTAGGCCACCAGTTGCACCCAGAGCAATGGCCTTGCACATCAAGAGCATTCTTGACGAGTACTACGGCGGTACTACGGGCATCAGCGGGCCTTGGCGAGGTCCCGTGGCCTTGACACGTCAAATCCAACCGGGGCAGGCCGCTTCCTGGGTCTGGATTTTGGGAACCACTCGAGGTGACACAGGCAATGACTGGCCGTGCGCAGCACTTCCTTATGCCTGACTTGCTGCTGCATGTGCCTGATCGTACTGGAAGCGTAGAGCACCCAAACGAGTCTCTGCATCCAAGTGTCTGCAAGACTCGTGCCCTTTCGCTTGCATCGTCCTCGGCATTTGCTTCCGCGGGCTCCGCGGGAGGCGTAGTTGGTGCATCCTCCAGTTCGCGACCTAGGAAGTGACACTGTAGTAGGACCAAAGTCTCTTGGCACCGAAGCACCCGAGACCATCCGTAATCGCGTTCGAGCACGTGCTGAACTTTGGGGCCGAACCGGCAAAAGTCGGATGGCCAAGGGCCTGCACATGAAGTGTTTGACGCTATCATGTTGCAAGCACTGCACATGCCGCACGGTGCCACCGTTTGCTGCAGCCACAGGCCCTAAGCCCTAAGCATGTCAGCTGGAGTAACTTGCTTTGTCGAGGTGCAGGTTTGAGGGCCCTGGGCACGATTCTGCACAGGCTCTTGCCGTTTCGTCTCCCGAAAAGGCCACGGCCTGCGCCTTCTGCGGTGAGGTGTCGCTGCCAGTGCTGGATGCCTGCAGTGTGAGGTCAGCAGGCTTCAGTACGTCACAGTAGAACATGTCACGCCGCAATGCAAAGTGGAGCCATCTTCTTCACACTCCCGTGTCACAAGAGCCAAGCCACATGCCGATTTCGACGATACTGCTCAAAGGCATCGACCACTAACACCTCATGCCGGATCACTTGCGCGGACAACAAAAAAGCTGACGATCCCAGGCCGGAACAGCACAAAGCACACGGACGACTGATAGCCAATGCAGCGAGTAGTTCGCTCCTTTCGTTCACAGCATAGTGCGGGCGGGCCGGGCGGCGGGCCGGGTGCGGGGGCGAGTGTCTTGCGTGTGCGCGCGCACGGGGTCTCTGCCAAAGAAGGTGTTGATACCTGTGTCGTGATGTTAGGACCGCTTTGTACCACACTTGTTTGTCATGCGCCTCATGGACCGAAAGATGAAGAAGTTTACCAGATGTCAGAGTGCTCTAGATGGTGATTCGTTCAACGCGCTGCCTACGGTAGGGTTGTCGAATGCCTGATCTTGAACTGTCCAAAATGCCACAAGCCCGAAACCCCGTCGGGTACGGGACTCTGTGCGACTTTTCTAAAGTGGATCCAAAGTGCTTCAGCGTGCCTATGCTAGCTGCTAGAACCTGGTTGACAACTGCTTATTTGACAATACATCCTCCACAGAAGACTTGCTGAGGCCAATCGGGTTGAGTCTGCTGGTCATTTGCCCGACGCTTTGGCTGCAGATTATTCAGTCAATGGATGGTTCTCACCGTTGGGCCGCTGCCTTCGAACAGGGAATGGGTGGCGGTATCGTTTGGACATGGCTGCGGGGCAGAAGCTGCCTGTAAGACCTGCGAACCGTTCAGCGCCATTCAATACCGGCTACCATGGCCACGACGACCACCACTGCCATGGCAGGGGGTCTAAGCGCCGCCCTAGCAAAATTTAGGGTCGGAATCGGAAGCCCTGTCTTGCCACAAGGGTTCTCCTTTGCTTCTCCTCCTTTTTCGCGGCGTACGTTGTGTTCCTTCAACAGCTTTCAGCTGTGTCCGCTGCGTCTCCGGCCTAGTCATGTTTGTATGTGCCATGTGGCTACCCTGTAAAGCAAGGTGCGCGTGGCTGTTACCAAACGAGCACAGACAAAACGTTGACTAAGCTCTGGTTTCTCAAGTGGGGGGGGGGTTGGCGCTCTCTCTGGGGGTCTCCGGTGCAAACGTTCCCGCAGGTGCTGATACCTGATACCTGCTTCGCGATGTTTAGGAACACCCGCAATGGAGCGCAGGATGAGAAAAGAGCATGGGTGCACCAGGGATTACGATACTACCGCAAGCAACGTCAACAAGCTGCCAAGGAAAGGTTGTGCATGGTTTCCGAGCTTCAGCATCAGTTTATACAGTATTCAACTCACCAAGAACAGAAATATAAACCCCTGTTTATTCAGGGTTTAGTTGCTTATGGTCCAGGGGCTTAGGGTTTCTAGGGTTTAGGATATTCGGGTCCCCCGTTCATGGGTTCCCCTACTACCCCTCCTGTATACTGCACCCTTAAGTAACCTTAAATACAAGTAGCCTTAATGATGGGGGGAAGTTGGGAGGGGGGGTGGGTAGCAGAGGGGGGTAAACCCTAAACCCTAAATCCTCAACCCTAAACCCTAAATCGGGCCGGGGAGGGGGGGGCGGGTAAGTAGGGGAAACCATGACCACTTGGTGTTTCGAACACCCCTGCTTATTACTTGAGAGACCAGGCTTGGATTCGAGCACCCAAATGAGCCGCTTGGAGCAACTCATGTTGTGGTTAGGGTTGAGGGGGACAGGGTTTAGGGTTTAGGGTTTCGGGTTTAGGGTTTAGGGCTTAGGGCTAAAGGCTTAGGGCATAGGCTTGCTTTCAGAACCTCTAGAGGGTTTTGTGTTTTTGGGTTGGGAGTAGGTCTGTGGAGGTTTGCCAAACTCAACCTTTCAACCTAATCTCCAAGCCCCAAAGCCAGGTCGCAATCCTTTACCCTTAATTCCTAAACCTGACACCCTAAACCCTAAACCCTACATTCCTCATTTCTCAATCCTTAACCCTAAGGGGCCGTCCAGAGGAGTCGTGCTTCCAGCGCTGTTGGGCTTGCTGGGTCCACCAACTCTTCGATCAAGTGTCTGGCCTCACTCGACTGAGACGTCGGACCAGCAGTGGGCGCGGCACTATCTCGTCCATTGCATCAGCGATTGACGACTGCCTCCAGCCATTTTGCTGCACCAGCAGCATTCCAGGGCTCTTCCACCCCCTTCTTGTTGTGAAGGATGACACAGGGTACTTACTTAGAAGTTAGGATTCCGGGGCATCAGCGCAGTGCGGGAAGCCTCTATCAGACTCTATCACTCTATCCCTAAACCGGGTTTAGGGTTTACGGTTAGGGTTTAGGGTTTAGGGCTTAGGCGACCCCATCAAAAAACGCTGAAGCCCTGAAAAGCTAGCCACTTTAACCGCAAAGGCCTACGCTCCATAACCCGGAGCCCTAAAATCCTACATTGCCACCCTTGTGTACGTCACTTGTTTGTGATGCGCCTAGTGGAATCCTGCCGTAGGCGGATGAAGAAGTTTACCAGGCGCAAAAGGGATGATTGCACGAGTGTGTGTCAGCTGGCGAAACCTGCGATCACCCGCAACTGGTTCCTCTCTGTGGTCGAGGGGCAACAAATAGGAGAATTCCGAAAGAGCGCTTCATCCAGGGCGACTCACTGTTCACGATCAGCACCTGCACATAGAAGAGATGAAACTGTGCTAGAACAGGATGCAACAGCTAAAGATCACAATGTACCCAATTTTTTCCGCAGCACCCTCGTGCCGATGAGCTCACAGATCATCCATGGAAGCGTCATTGCCAGTAAGAACCGCAGGTTGATGTGGGCTCGGAGTGTCCAAACCTGAGCTCTGCAAACAGCCTCGATCTGCTGTGATCCACTGAGAACTTGTGCGTTGTGCTAGGGTGGCTGGACGCATGAGCACTATGCCGATTCATGAGCGCGCCACCGTGTAGCAGGAGCCCAGGTCAAAGAACACCTTACAGTCTTACGGTGTGATTATGCCGTACTGTAGGGCAGGTCAGCTTTGCAAGTGAGAGCCCGTGTGTCAGGAAGCGCGGTGCTCTTCGGACAAGCTTCAATTAAAGCCGCTGCATCCTCCAAGGACCCAATGTTGTAGCCCAATGCTTCTGACAACCTCAACAGGTGGAAGCCGCATGAAATGGGGAGTGCTGAACAAAATAAGTTTAGAAAGTTTGTGGCAGCCGCAGTCCAACTCCTAACTCAAAAACTTGAATTAGAGGCTGTTCAGCCGTGCCACAGGATTCCCGTTGTGAAGATCCTCAGCATTGTCAGGGCATTGAACCTACAAGCAGCTGGCATTGACGAGGATGGCGAAACAAGCTGGCTTCACCAATCCACCTGTCTGGGTCACACTTGCATGCATGCCAAGACTCATGTACCCGCCTAGTGATGCCACAACTCTTGCCAACCCGCTGGCATTGCTCCTGGAGTTCTGCACAGAACTCGACAGGATGACGTATATCGTTGTCTGCAGAAATACTCACTCTGTATCACTCTGTCATCCATCATATACGTGGCCAAGGTAAAACAACCGGAGAAGACTTTGGAAAAATTCCCGGCAGCCACAGCTCCGCGCATGCCAATTCAGGCCAACTCAGGCAAATTCAGGCAAGCCGCAGAGCGAAAGTCAATGCCGCTGCTGGAAGTCCGTAGTGCTCCATGCGGAATCAACAGGCAGCGATGATCTTAACAATGTGGACCCATGTTTCTTACGATGAGGTGAGCATGTCCACCGAGGAAGGTGGAACTCACGGGTGTGCATCAGTGCTAAACCACTTTTGTCGAGGGTGGGCCATTGGCTGATACTCTCTCAATGGAAAACCATGCAGCTTCTAAGGCGCGAACTTCTCACTGAGTCACTGAGCCAGCAGGCGCACAGAACTTTGTGCAGCGACTTGCCGCTGTCAGTGCAACCCTCTGGGTGCCCAAGCTAAGCTTCACTTGGGCACGATGGCTGCCGGTTGTTGCAGCCTGGCAAACGATGTTTGGCAGAACGACCGCCCAACGCAGCAGTAGCTATAGAAGTAGTTAAGTACTCGCATCGCCTAGTTCTGGCAAGTTGGGTTGGGTCGCCTAGTCCTGTCAAGTTGGGTCGCTTCGTCCCGTGAAGTTGGGTTGCCTAGTCCGGTCAAAACCTGTCGATTTCTTACCGTTATTGCCGTAGGCGCATCAACATCCCAGCATTCAAACACCCACACAACAAGCCAAACACCCGAACAACATCGGAAAAAACCATTACAAAAACAAACGAGCAAAGTGAAAACATCAACATGATGCAAATTCTAGAGGTCGGTGCTAAAACCATTCCGAGGGAAAAAGTAACAAGCAAAACCCACACAACAAGCAAAACACCCGAAAACACAGTGGAAAATATCACAAAAAAACATGGAAACATCCATAACAAAAAAACATTCTAAAGGACGGGGAAAAATGAAAAAACATGTTACAACCCCAAGCCTGAGCCCCCCAACCCGAACCCGCCTACCTAAAACCATGCTAGTAGTACATGGTGGAGGAACCGGATACTGGTCGCATAATGGGTTATTCAATTAGTAGTCGCGAAGGCAACATAGAAACGCGCGGGAACAAACAACTCAACAAGGTTGTTATGGATGAAAAGAATACGTACACATACATGCACAAACCACTATCAGAACGACCTACAAGTACGGCCTGCATCCAAAGCACTCTGGCGGCATCCGGGTCAGGCTCCAAGCCTCCCAAGCCTGCACAGGACTCACGGGACACCTTGCTTGGATCCTTCGAGCTCGGGACCTGGCATGCAAAGGGCTTAGGCTCCCCCAAGCCTTCATCCAAGATCTCGCCAAGGCCTGAGGGATTCTCTCAACATGCCCGCTGCGCGTGGCACACAGGAGGCAACTTGTAAACTGGGGGAAGGGCTTCCCATCAAAGATGCAAGGCCATGCGTTGTTGAGAAAACTCCCCCAAGGTGGCAGAAACAAAATGCAAAAACTATCTCCGAAGACGGGGCTTTCGTTCTAATGTAACTCATGTCGCGGATCCTTCGGGATTATCATATTCCCTGGGAAAACCCGAAGGAAGCGGAGATAAAACGAGCAAAGCCCTGCGAATTGAAGCAAAGCCCGAATCATGCAAGCCGCGCTACATCAACAGCGAACGCGTGCCTGCAACATGTCACGACGAGTTGTTTCTGGTCAACAAGCCCATGATAAATTTCCTCGCCATAGAAACCAGCCCAGCCTATGAGCCTGGCGTAACAACCACTGAGAGAGCGACTGATCAGCGCGTCTTCATTCTTTGGGTCCTGTGCAAGAACCCCAGGACACTGGACTGAGCAGGTGTGTCTGCCAGAATAGTTTGGCTTGTTCAAGAGAAACCACACCCGCCTCCTGCAAGCTCGCTTGGAAGAGCTTGACCGCACGCCTGACCAACAACACTGCTATGACTGCAGACTTTGGCCACTTGCAGCTGAGCCGAAAAATGAGGTAAAATGCTGCGCTGCGGTCAACTGTCAAATACTCGCAACATGCCCCCACCTGATGTCTTCGAACTTGCGCGTTGCCTGGCCAGCACAGTGAGCTGTCCGGAAACGTGAGTCCAACCCGCGGTCTGGTGCCCTTAGTCGCGGCGCCGGCCCGCCGGCCACCGCGCAGAGCTCCGTACCGCTTAGGGCCTTTGTGTGGGGCCCTAGGCGAGAACCCCTGTCACCTCCCCTTAGCCTTAACCTGCCTGCTTGCTCCACGTAGAGCTTCTGCTATGGACCTTCTGCCTCTGCACCGTCTGTACCCTCCGGACATGTCCATCAACAAGGTGGTCCTGTCGACCGGCCCTGTCGACCCCCCATTTGTCTGGACCGCCTCCATGCGAAAAACACACACAGACACACAGACACACAGACACACAGAGAGAGACACACACACACACACACACACTGCACACACCCCTCCATGATTTATGACCTTTTTTGGAGCCCCCGCCATGAAAGCATGGACTGCGCTGGGATTCCATGGACCTCCCAAAACCTCCCATAGACTCCCCCTTTCTTGAGCACTCTTTGCCCCCTAACACCCTTGCAACGCTGTGCTATGTGGAGCTCAGCGGGGCTCTTCTAGTCCCGCGCTGTCGGGCCCCTCCTGTACAGACTGCGAGGAAAGACCTTATCGCTCCAGGCCCCCTATTCACCGCTTTGGACTGTCATAAGACCCCCTATGACCGTCTGTGCCGAGCCCGTATACGATTCTTGCCTCGTCTTCGCTGCGATAGCTTCTGAGCAAGGCTGCCTTGGCAAACGAATCGTTGATGGTTGAAGAGAACTGGCCGCAACCACTGTCAACGAGGGCGATAGGAACCCAAGACGACGGGCACATGGGCCCACATGCCTTTCAAACCCTTCAGCACGCCGGCCTAGGCCTAGGGCGCCCTCCGACCTCCGGGCCCCCTGCCGCGCGCTCGCTAAGCTCGCGTGCGATACTGGGCTCCGCCTCAGACATCCCAACGGGCATAAATAGGTGAAGCTCAAGAACAGGAAAGTCAAAATGCAGAGCGTAGGGGAAGAAAAGGAAGGTGCTTGATGTTCGGGAAAAGCACCCAAAGTACAAGGTGCCTCGTCGGCATCGGCGGATGCTGCACTCTGATGTTCCTGTTCCTTTCGCTTCCTTGGCTGTCCGAACTTATATGAGCGTCTCAGGCCTGCATGTCCTTGGTTTAAACCTTCAAAGCACAATCATTGCTGCTTTGTGCTGAGACTCGCGTCTTCTAGCTTCCTCTTGGCATCCTGATTTGGGCAAGGCAACCCAAGGGAATTCTTAGACCCAGCTCCGTCTTCCAGACTTCCACCTCAGAGTATCACTTTAACTACGAGCATGAGAATGTGACAGAATGCATCCAGCCTCCAGCAGTGAAGACAAAGTTTCAGAGTCTCCCAAGGCCTCACATTTTGTATGCGCAAGTCTTGCCATGTCTTGCCTTTCTGCCAAGAACACTCAGGCATCCCGAGAACCCTAGGAACCTTACACCTGAGACCCAAGACCAATCCCTTCCGCCATTTCGAGTTTCAAAATTCCTTGCTAGGATGTCCTTGATGCCCCGCATGCACAGCGCAGCAGCTGTGTCCGGGCGGTCAAGGCTCAGCGCGGCCGTGGCAGCACGCCAGTAAGCGCGGCCATTCAGTTGGTCCTGAATCAGCAAAAGTCGCTGCGACTTGGCGCGTTTCGCAAAAGCGCGGCTCCACACTTTGGCCTGCATGCTTGACTGAAAAAGATGGCCCAGTAGCTTGCACGTTAGAAGTTAACAGACCGAGGCCTTTCAAACATAGCGGAAGGATTGTTGCAGAGGTCTGAGGCGGTGTGCTTCTGAGTGCAGGGCATGTTCGAGCGCGAACTCGGAATCCTCGGGCAAGTGCTGCTTGAGATCGCACGGACGCCCTCTTTGGTACGGTACGTCTGAACCTTGTCTGGCAACCGTGTCCTGGAGGGCATCCAGCTGTTTGCCAAGCCGAGCTTGTGCCTCCGATGATGGGGGGATTCTGGGATGCTCCAACGGGTGTGCTTGTTTAGATGTGCCGAAGACCCCGAAGATGTCCGACAGCCGCCGAACACTCAGCGCACGAACACTGACTGCTCACATGCTGTCACCCTCTCGACTCGTAGAGTCGCAGAGTCATAGAGTCGCAGAGCTGCTTTCTGGCAGCCACCCTTAGGCCTTCGTGGAGTGCTGGTACTTTCCAAGAGGCTGCGAGGCTGCTAAAGGCTAAAGTTCGGAAATCTGACAGAAAAGCGTGCGCAACTGTCTCCGCACGACCCGGTGGGCAGAGTCAGCGGTGCCAAGGTCGTGTCACCGGTGTCAACATGCAATTTCTAACACAGGTAGGAGCAGCAGACACCTGCCTGCGCGCGATTCAAGTACAGCTGGCTCAGCAGCTTGCCCTCCACTCCAACCTCCTGTCGCGGACGCAGGCGTCGGCTTGCGGGCTTGACAGAAGTCTATGGTGACCAGTGCCTTCGCCGCATCAATGCCCCGAGAGTAGCATTCCTTAGAACTTCCCTGCTCGATCCAAACTTCAGCGGCCGGTAGTCAATGTCTTGTTACGGCTGGGTGGGATGTAATTGGAAAAAAGTCTCTGCATCGTGTGGCTTGTGCATAAAAAGCATGTCAATTGAGCCCAGGCACGATGGCACCAGCAACATCACCCTGCCATCTAAAGCAGCAAGATCGGCACAACTCAATATTGCCCACGTGCTTGTGTGCAACAAATACACATCATCACGAATAACCTTGCTCAAGATAGCACACAGCCTCAGTGAGACGCGCATTGCCGTCGGACTTCCATGTTGCGACCTTCAGCTGTCAAGGAAGGGCAGTTTAGGTTAGACCAGCATATGTGGCACACGGTCGTACGGTCAGGCCTGTGGTGGCACAGCCAAGACTTCCCACGGCCCATGCAAACAGTGTAGACGTGCGTGACTTGCAGCTGAGCAGCCCTTTCCTCACGAAGCCTGGGTGGCGCCGAACTTGAGTCTCGAAAACACGACAGAAACACACGACATCAGCTGTCACAGCAACATCTGCAATAGCTTGGGTCTCAAAACAAGCAAACACACCGGTTGGCATCTGAAACCCCTCTTCTCTTGAGCCCAAGCTGCCGTTCCTCCTCGGGCCCGTCTTTGGAAGGCACTGAAGGGTAGCCCTGGTCCAAAGCCGAGATGGGTCGTTTTCGGGTTTCCCGGTTCCCTACCACATTGGCACAGTCAGGAGATGTCAGGAGGAGTGAAAAGGGGGAGAACAGGTGAGATGTCCCGCAGCATCCCCTGCCTTTGCCTCCGCAGCCGGAGCTCCGGTCATGGCTCGGGGATCGGAGATTTTCGGGCGGGTTCTGCTAACAAAAACAAAGTCAGAGCGAGGATAGGGGCTCACATCTTGCTGAGCTCTGCGATGGTGGATCCCACGCATCTTCTAGCTCCGTGTGCTCTGATCTTGGCAACAGCTGCGTTCAATATTGCACAGCAAGTCATAACGAACTTTCCTGAGCTGTCTTCCTAGACAGTTGCTGCGTGCTCACAGGCTGCACCAGCCACATTTCCCAATCACGACAGTGACTTCACGCAGCCGCAGGCCCGCACGTCGGCTCAAAGCTATGAAGACATCGGGCCGCTATGGCCGATCCGACACACTTTTTTGGCAAGAACGTGCAAATTATCCGTGATTATTCGTGTGCTCTTGCATCAGGTTCAAGTTCAATCGAGAACATGCTCCTATTGCTCGGCCCTATACCCTTCCTCAAAATTCTCCAAATCCTGATAAGCGCAGCTGTCTGAAAAGACCTAGATGAGGAGCGGCAGGAACGGTCGGAACGGTCCCACGACCGTACAGATTCTGGCTCCACTATGGCTGCATGTGGCTCTGTGAGGCTTGGAGGAGGTGCAGCGAGGTGGTATCGAACCGAACCGGTTTTGAGCAATAGTATTCTAATCAATACCTTATCCAGTAGTTTGCGTGCATTTTCTCGATGGAAGTTCAGTGGTCTGAGGTGAGCACGCGCCAGTTTCTGCTCTGAACATGGCCTGCATGATGAAACTAGGCAGGCAGCCGCTGACTGTCCATCTGGGGAGTCTGCACATTCTTGCCGCTTCTTGCCACTTTTCAGGAAAACTGTGAAAGCGAATGGCTCCTGCATGTCTTAGGAGCCAGGGAACCAAGATGAACCCGACAGCCTTCTGTTGCAAACTGGCTGATGTCTACTGTGAAGCTCGCGTAATCTAGTTTAGGGTTTAGCCACACTTTGGCAAAACACTGGCGTGGCTAGTAGGAAGGCAGAGTTTGCAATGCGGCAATGCTGATCGCCAACTGTCGGACGAAGTCCAGAAAAAAATAACTGCTCCAAAGCTCCCACCGATCACGCCATCAGCGCTGAGGCGGTCGTGCTTCACGCCATGGAAATGGCATGGAAGTCTCAATTAGGACATCTTGATCTAGGGATCATGCAAACCGCATCATGGAATCATAGCAGCATTCTTCAACGTCCTGCTTTGCAGATGCCACCCGTCAACCGTCGAGGTCGATGTCCCATCGAGCGCGATCCTCTGGCCGCACAACGTTCACGACATGTTTGCATCTGCTTATCAGGCAGTGTCCCCATCACACAGAAAACTCCTTCCTTGTGGCGCATGACTGCAATGGACCGAGATTGACCGACCAGCACCACACCGCCTCAACGCAGTTCCAGCCTGCTGTTGAGCGCCCCACCTGTTTCGGGCTTGAGCTGCTTGAACTAGTCTGTCGGTGACAGCAAATCATATTGGGCAACCAGTTGCACCTGCATGCTGAAGGTGGAAGTGGATGCCATCGACATCATGTTGGTCATGAAGCCGCCGGACTTCAGCTCCATCTTGGTCCAGTTCGCAGCCGGTCTTCGTGGGCTAGGTTCACCTGCAGCATGTGAAAGCTATGGATGTGAAACCGGACGATGCACACTCGATGCGATCACCCCAGGCGAGGTGCGACAACCTACAACAGCGATGACTCGGCAGGGATGTGCCAAGAACTAGGATTCCGATGGACTCTGGTAGAAGGCTTTTTTGAGGGGTGTGCAGGGCATGAAAAGGGTTTTTTAGAGTGGAGTGACTGAACCCGGTTTCCGCCTGCGTCTCTTGCTGGATGGTCTCAAGGAGCTGCAGCTTGGCAGTTGCTGGCCAGGATGGCATCTTAGGGCACTGAGGCATACGTTAACATCATATTCGAAGATTCTTGAAACTCTTTTCTGACACATACAGTAAGCCCAAAAAATGCTCAAGAACGTTCCGAGGCTACCGTCGCGGCTCGCGCGCGGCACGTGAAACGTCCGAAAAAAAGACCTTGTTGAGACTCTATAGGGCTCTGTAAGAGTCCCAGGCGCAGGATCCATCCGCATGCGGCTCTCTGGCGCGATTGCCCAGGCCAGCAGGGCAAGGCCCTGCCTTTGTTCAGAGCAGAAACCAAAACATGATAATATAATTATAATATAAAAAAAAAGGCGCCGACTCTTCTTGCCACCGTTCTGCGGCGTGAAGCTGCGCCGCGGAGCTGCGGCAGCAGCGAGGCCTCGTAGAAGGCTTTCACCGATTCCTTCGCGGGTTTGCTTAGGCTCAAGCCCAAGAGCCGTAAGTTCTTAAGGGGAGTCAACTGAACGCAGATGCGGGAGGTGTACCCTGTGTGAAAGCGGTCGTGCAGCCCAGCGCCCAGGTCATGTTGGAGAGGCCTCCGATGCCCCCAACAAGCAAAGTCAAAACTGCTAAGCCCCTGGTAGGCTCAGGATGTCACGCGCCCAGCCTTGCGAGGAGAAGCTTTCCAACCTCACACCAACAAAGAAGCGAAGTCCGTGATCTTTAGTCTGCTTTCAGGGCTCGGAGAATATGGGGGAGTCCACATCGAGCATCAGGTACAGCCTTGTTCACACTGCCGACCTTGTCTAGGCCTATGGACTCATAGAAGTCCCCGGAAGCTCTTCAAAGCTTCCTAGTTCAAAAATCCGCACCTTGGCAGCGCCTCCTGGCCCAGGGCTTCGATCAGCGTGGCACCTCACGTCGGCTCACATGGCTCTCATGGCTCGCATGGCCCCCAATCTGAAGTCTTCAACCCTCTTAATTAAGTTGACTCTTCCCTGCAATATCCCGCACATGCCGCTGCTGTACTCCAGCTGAGCTGAGCACGTGAAGCCATGGTCCTCGGATAACGACCACTGCGACAGTGCACCCAAATTATTCAGAATATACAGAAGCAGGCGCACGACTCGTCGTTCTACTTTTCACTCCACTCATGCTGCTGCCCAAGCAGCGCAAAGGCCCAGGCGAAGTTCGACAGCTGCCTGGGCTCGAAGTCCTGCCAATGCGGATCAGCCAAGCAGGACGAAGCATTAGAGACCCGTTTTTCCGATTGTAGGTGCAGATTGCAAAGATAGGGAAGTCTGGAGTCCAAGCACCATGCCAGGTCATCGGCATTTTGCAAGAGAGCATAAGAGAGCCGAAGTCCATCTTCGAGAAGGGGCCTGGCAAGCTCATGTGAGTTCTTCATGCTTTACGTCTGCAGTTGTGCCCAGCAGGGTTAGCCATCACATCATCGTCTCAACGTACTTCTGCTTCGGTCGGGAAGTTCAGCTTGGTTGATCTGCTGAGTTAGAAGCACATGAACTCTGCCGCTAGCTGCAAGTAGGAAGAAGCAGTCTCCCCCATATTGCTACAGCTCCGCTGCTTGAGACAGCCGCAAAGCCATGCTCAGAGGCAGCGACCTGCTGGACGTCTCGGAGCTGTTCTTCCACAGCAGAACTGTTGCCACCAAAGCGCGAACAGCCCCACGTGATCACGGCACCACCCTCAAGAATTGCAGCAAAGGCACGGTCGCAGGCTTGGACCTCTTGTACGTTGCACAGCTGTGCAGACACTGCACTGCAATCCCCGCCATACTCAGGATCACCCCAACAGACTATGGAGCCATTTTCCAATATTGCTGCAAACGCTGACCCGGACGATTGTATGTCTCGAACAGTCCTCAGCTGCGCTTGTACAGCCTGGCTGTCGCCTCCACCCTCGGGAAGGCCCCATGTAACCACGGATCCGTCATTCCTGATCGCTGCGAAGGCAGAACCAGTAGCCTGTATTCGGCCAATATCTGCCAGTTGCTGCGTTACGACCATGCTGTGACCACCATAGTCTGCATCACCCCAACATACCACCGATCCATCAGACAGGAGAGCGGCAAAGGCGCGGTCCGACGCCTGGATTTGAAGAACGTTCCGCAACCTGGCCTGCACTTCGTCACTGTCACCTCCATAGCTGCCATCCCCCCAAGTCACTACGCATCCATTCTTCAGCACTGCGGCAAAAGCGCAGTATGATGCTTGGATGCACTGTACGTTCCTCAACTGCTCTTGGACTTGGCTGCTGTCTCCTCCATCATCTGCCTGGCCCCAGGTCACGACCGATCCGTCGAGGCGGATTGCGGCAAAAGCATGTAAAGTCGCTTGGATTTCTTTCACATCCCTCAGCTGCTCGTGAACGCTGCTGCTGTCGCCCCCCTCTTCAGCTTCGCCCCATGTGACAACATGCCCATCGTACGAGATTGCGGCAAAGGCGGTCCGGGTGGCCTGAATCTGGCAAATGTTTTGCAACTGGTCTTGCACAGGGCTGCTGTCGCCACCGCAGCGGGGGTGACCCCAGGTTACCACGGATCCATCGCCCAAAATCGCCGCGAAAGCACGGGCTCCTGCCTTGATGCTCTGCACTCCTTTGAGCTGCGCGTGTGCTTTGCATGCTTTGCCACCGTCCACGGGGTTTCCCCAGGTGGAGACAGCTCCGTCTGTGTGCACGACGGCAAAGGCGGAGTTAGATGCCGCGATTGCCTCCCGCCGGACAAGGCCCCAAACCATATCTTTGTTTCCGATGCCTACCTCGTCCAGTGCGGCTGAGGCATGTAGCACCTCCCCATTCTCGTTTATCAGGTTACCAAGGCCCACGCCCAGCTCAACCTGCGCCTGTCGCATGAGCTCATTGACCCTGGTGTCACCTTTTACCTCTACCACAACTTCCTTTCCGCTCAGCAGCGCCACCGTGATGCAGACAAGCATGGCACATGGTCGGAGTGCGCAGAAGAGGCGGTCAGATAACTTGGGTCTGCTCGCATGGTAGCGGGTGGTAGCTATAGGGTTTACGGTTTGAGAGTATTCGTACGGCAAGCGGGATCTTGTTTTTAGGGTGTAGGGCCAGGTCGATTGTTTCAGGAGCTCATGATGGCTTAGGGTCTTTTGTCATGAGGACTGAGGGTTGTGGGGATGGCGAAGATCATGTCTGGAGATGTTTAGAGCCGAGAGTTCTACACCCACATTCTTGCAGAGAAAGAAGGGCACTTGAAGGCCACGCAGGTCAGACTAGAAGAGCCTTCAGCGCTTTAATCCGAGAGATTCCTTGTACCCTCAACCCTAAACCCCAAACCCTAAACCCTTTCTTATCCTTTTTCCCCTTCCTCGGGACTCAGAGAGCAAGCCTTGGGTTTCTCTCCGAGAGAACACGCAAAATGCTTTTCAGCACTTTTTCAGTTATTTGGGCCTCGTATGGCCTAGTCTCTTTTGACTCTCTTACTGTGATTTACTATTCTGATGTCTCGCTTTTAGTCACATCCAGCTTTCTGTGCCTCGGCATGGGCCAGGCGACGCAGGACCTCTGTGGCCAAGGCGGCTTCGAGGCTGCTGGGCACCTCCAGAAATGCGCAGTGTCTTCAGAGCGCTTTCCGCCGCATCGCCACGTCGCTACGCCGATACGTTGCCTGTGCTTTGCCGTGCCATGTCTTGCCGTGAACACAAAGCCAGCTGACCGGCTTTGCTGTTCTTGCTCTTTATGCCTCTCTCTCGCAACCATCCTTCCAGGGTATTCAGGTTGGACAAACACGGCCATTCCTTCAGTCTAGCTACAACTTGCTGGCAACACAGAACCACCATGCTGGCCAGACACGGAAACATAACTCCCGCAACGTGCTGCCACCCAGGCGAGAGCAGCAAGCTCCAGCGTCTGCCACACAGGCGTTGCAAATGGTTGCAAGGCCCTATGTGAAGTCTCGATCGCTGCTAGGGACTGATGTGTCTCAATCGCTACCAGGCGAGAAAAGCCAAGATAAAAAGCCCGCGTCCGGCAAAGACATGACATGCAAAAACGATTCAACATGCAAACACATGCAAATCATGGCGCTGCACAACTCAGCCATCCTCAGATGCCAGCTCCCACCTTCAGAGAGCCTACCACCGTAGGCGCACGGTTGAGCACAGCATGCAGCGCAGATACCTCGGCACCTCGGCAGTGTTTGCGATCACCCTGCAGCACAGGCTTTTGGGGGTTCAGTTGCTAAGTTAAGGTGCAAGAACACGTCAGTACCGAGCAGCACCGGAGTCAGAAGCACGAGTGACACTGCAGCTGACACTAGTGCAGTAAGGCTGCTTTCACTGATGGCCTGCACTCTGCTGCGCACACAGTCACATCAGCACATACATATTTGTGTATTTCTGTATCTAATTATCGGCATTTATGATGCATACACATATATCTGCCCAATGGGCCTCGGCAGCCGTGAGCACCACCAGGGCCCAGGCGAGATTAGCCAGGCCCTGCGAAGGGAGCACAACAGCTGACATTGATGTAGAATGATGCAAAAAGCTGTCCATTCAGGAGCCCTGATCCGCCAATACCCCTTTGCCCCACCTGCGGCGTGAGCTCCTGGCAGCGCGCGTGCGCAGCGCTGGAGAGCCGCGGAGCCGAAACGCCGAACTCCGGGGTGGCACAAAACTGCAACTCCCGGATTTTTTAAGCATTTCATATGAAGCCCGTACTCAGTTCGTTAGCAATGTGTACTCCTTCAATATTTGCGTCAAAAGCCACTTGGCAAGCCGCACACTCCCCAACCGGCGGTGCCTCCCAGGGCACCTCCAGGGTTGCAAAGGCCCAGAAGACATTCGCCAGTCCTGGTAGCCGATTCTTGCCACTGCCGCGACTGCCGCCACTGCCGATTGACAATACTCTCTTATTTTGTCAATCACCTGTCAATGTGCATGCACGTGTACCGTGTATGCTACAGCCAAAGCTGCTACGCGTGATGAGATCGCGCGCTCCTTGTGGCGACAGCTCTGTCGCACGATTCTCCGCCACATGTGTGGCGGTGGCAAAAGCTGCAGAGTCCTGCAGCGCCGTGCGTTTCTCAGGGGGGCAGAAGTCATGAGGATGCGATACGGGCCTACTTGCTCTCACGAAGCGACTCTGCGTGGAACCTCAACCAACCCGTGGCGCGATGGGGCCTGTCCAAGAGCCGCAAGCGCCCAAATCACCTAAATCAAGTTCAAGGTATGCCTATGTGTGTGCTCATAGCACTCACGGCACAACGAATGAAGAGTCAAAGGATTCCCAGACTTGCAGCCGGCGTGGCGCCACTGAGCTCCGTGGCTCCCAGCTGCCATGCACGGCGATGCACCTGCACTGCAAGACTTGATCTACGAGCTTGCACCTCTACACAGAACCAGCAAAGTGCTTACAGCATCTTCCGGACGATGCCCTCCACCTCCGGCAAGGCGGCGCTCAGCACTGGCGGCGCAGAGCCTAGTGTGCCCAGGGCCCAGAGGAAGCCTGTGCGCAGCATGATGCTGCCGGACAACATTCACTTCACTTGGGTCAGTGCATTTGGGAAAGTAGCTGGAATCGAGATATGCAGAAACAGATAGACTGTGCTTTGAGCAGCCAAAGTAGCTGTAACCTGGCCTGCAAGCTCCTCAGACTGAAAGGATGCCAGACCTTACCCATCTTACACATCTTACACGATGTTTCGTAATCAGGAATGTAGTTGGCGCATTGCGGTGCCTCAATCAGCACTGGTCCCATGGCATGTTGAGGAAATTCTGGGAAACATTATTGTTGCGCATCCGAGGTGCCGATGTCAAGAGCCCGCTCGCTCAGCAAGTGCATAAACCTGGGCAGCAAATGAAGCATCTCGAGAAATCTAGCGCGCGTTTGCCGAAACAGCGCCCAGCCTCCCAAAAGTCACCACAGCTCCAAAGCATGCCCTCGCCTCAAACTGAGTGCTCTTCTGAGGTTGGGGACTGGTCGTTCCGATTTGCCACTGCGCCGAAAGACCAGGCGATGTTCGCCTGCAGCTCAGGATCATCGTTCGAACAACGAAGACACATCGCCAGTGCCACATACCGGAGCATGATCCAAGTCGCAAAGCGCATTTCGCGAGGAGCAGTACCGAAGCGGGAGAGCGATTTCGAACATGGAGAATGCGGAGGCGGGAGCACGATCCGAGGCCGTTACAATTACTTCCCAAGCACGATGTCGAACACCACGGCCCCACCTCCGAGCTGCACATCTCCCCGGCTACGAAAAATACGAAAACCGAGACGAAAGTGCTGCGCCTGCCAAGCAGAACGATGTCTGGCACGTCAAGATGCGCGCCGTGCCACAAGGAGAGCATCACAGGGCCACAATGACGCCGAGAGGGTTTGCCGGAAACAGAACCCCCCGTGCGGCCACAGATTCGCACGGCGCCACAGTGAAAGCACCAAAACAAGCCCATGGGGTGATTTTCATTTGCTTGGACACAGGAACCCCACAGTGCAAGCGTTGGCTTTGGGACACATTGCGGAGGCCAAGGCAGCGTTAACTTCTCAAGCCCGAAACCTGCCACAACCGTCCAAAAACCCTGCCATCAATGAGGTCGATATCATGATTATCATAAGACGACCATCTCCTGTGTGCAGATGGGGCCAAGCGGCCACGTGCTGTGGTCTGAGCTCGCAGACGCGGCACGCAGCAGCCAGCGAGGTGAAGAACTGAATTACCAAAGCAACAGCTGCCACTGACATAGCCATGAGCATAAGTGGCATAAGCTATCAGCTCTCATGGCAGCGCAGTTCTCTCGGATTGCGCTGTGCTCAGCGTTGATCAATGTTCACCTCTCCAAGATGTAGTAAACTTTCCCTAAGTGAAGTCCAGCGGCGGGGTCGTCGTCGATGGCCAGCGTCCCTGCCGCCCAGGCCAGATTAGACATGTTCTGCGCGGCGAATACCTCGGGATCAGAACCTAAGTTGGAGCACGCCACACTGCACAGAAAAAGTATCTTAAATCTGGTACATTCAACCTTCAGGCCCTTTGTCCAATGTTTCGCTTTGGGCTTGCTGGCAACCATCACTCTTTTGGGCGTGGGTCGGGTCTGCACCCACATCCCTTCTAAGGGCAACGCTTCGCACTTTCTTTAAGCGGACTCGTGACTTTGGATTGCTGTGTCTGCATCAAGCGCAGCATCAAGTTTGTGTTTGGAATTTCCCCTCCATCACTCCAGTTGGGGCTTTTGTTGGACAACCGGCTGTCCTTGTCGGCCATCGCTCTTGCAGTCGGGAGTGGTTGCAAAGGGTTTGGGATATAGTTCGTGGCCCTCAGCCCTAGACCTGACATCAACTGGTGGAGGAGGGCTGGACACAAATCCACTCTTGCGAGATACGACCACAGTTGCTGAAAGACCCTGGAGGGCTTGGGGGTTTGGACTGAGGGGTCAGGGCCAAGAATCTCCAAAGTGGTGCCAAGGGGCGGAGTGCCCTTCCGGCCGCGGTGACCATCTGCAGGGCGCAGTTGACAGCGGCTCGCGGGCCTGTCCATCTGAGGTCTTCTGACTCCGATACAATCTGGGTTCGTACCTCCCATTCCATTCTCTGCAGATGTCAAGCTCGAAATGCCCTTCCAAATCTTGCAGCCTGAACAGCATTGAACTGAGCAATTATGGCCTGTGCGGCCTACTTGTCTGCAATTTCTGCTTGCAGAAGAAGTAGGAAAGAGTTGCAAGCCCGAGGCGGTTCACTGGACATGCCCACGTCGCAGCCCATGCCAGCTGGGCATCATGAGCATCAGGTGATCATGAGCCAGGCCGGCCATGAGCATGCTGCACGCCGCACCAGGCTGCGAGACGGGCATCATGAGCTTCAGCTGTCCGCCACTCTGGGCCGGAAGGCGGGCGCCATGAGCATCGTCTCGCCCGCCATGCTGGCCGCCGAGAGACGCGTGTGATGAGCATCACAACCCCAGGTGGTCTCAGCACCACACAGCAATAGGGCCTCCACGCATGTAGGTTTAGTCTGTAGGGTCAGGCTCTGCCTTCCAGGCATCTTAGACACAAGCATCGCCTCTTGAGCCGGCCGAGGCGGCCAAAGCACGCATTGCCAACACGAATTGCTACGTCCCGGGACGTACTGGATAGCACGTGGAAGCTTCCCAATGCCAGCCCCAAGCGGCCCAAGCGCCTCGAGAGCAGAGGCGCGCGCAGGCCCAGGCTACATTGGCCCAGCCCTCGAAGGTACGTCAACAGAATGGCAACTGTGTTAGTTGTATGGACACTTTGCAGACTCAACAGCCAAATGGTTGCACATAACGAAACAGTCATGATGCAGAAGCAAAGTTGCGGCACTGTTGCGGCCCTTCAACGTCACTTCAATTTTGGCACCCGTGGACCAGGCGCGCACCTGCGGCGCCAACTCGGCATGCCGCTGCTCCGCGGCCGAAAACAGTGCTTCGGAGAGCGGCATGGGCGCCTGACGACAGAGGAGGGGGCACATGGAGGCGCGACTTGGGTTTCTTGGGCTTCGGGATGGTTGTTCCGGGTCTTTGGCAGCCTCGCGAAGAGTTCCCATGGACCAGCACAGCTGGGCCTCGAGCAACGCAAGACAGGGCCCTCATCAGCTCACAACGAGGAGGTCCCCGTAGCTGGCGTTGCTCTTCTTCGTACGTAATGCATATTGCTTGGGCCCACACCAAGTCCAGGGGCTGGAAGCCAGACTTCAAAGACGCCGGCCTGGCGGCCCCAATGTGCTCGCAGCAAAATAGAGCTGACGACGTTTCCGAAGTGGAAGGCATTGTTGGAGCGTTGGGGTTCCTCCGGGCTTTGTGGGATCCCTTCGGAAGCCTGCCGATCAGCGCTTCGCGGGCCACGTGCCGCAGCACAGCGGCACCTGGAAGGGGCCCGGAGACTCGCCAACTAACACAAATTCGGCTTAATACTAAATGCTTGGAATCGGCTGTAAAAGGCTTGGAGCACGTTCGAGGGGCCACTAAGCCGTGAATGGCAGCCAAGCAATTCTCGCGGGCCGGGGAAAAAGGTGAAAACAGAACAGGGTGAGCGTTACAGATGCTCGAGGATGCATTCCACTGCTGTCTCTTGCCTTGCTCGCTCAAGGTGGCCGCTGCCCAGGCCATATTGGCCAAATCCTTTGCCGAGGAATCCGTTCGGATCTTAAGAATGCTTTGCGCTGCAACCATCAAAGATCGCTCTCCGCCACTCTGCAGGCCCGCGGCGCGCGGCCCGGCGCCGGTCTGGGAGGCTGCGCGCGCCAGGCAGCGCCGGCGGAGCTCCTCAATCCGAACAGGTGCACCGACTGGCACAGCACAAGGCGCCTCATGGCACCACCTGCTACGGTGCACAACTCTGGCCTGGGCTCGCGCGCCGCCGCGGAGCCGCGCCAAGGCCACCAGCGCAGCGCCCAGGGCACGCGGGCCGCGAAGTGCCTGCGAATCATGGCATTCACCAGCACACGCTGCGCCCAGGCTGAGCCTTGGGACATCAGCAGGTGGTGCCTGCTGGTGCTGTAGCATAAAGTCGAGAAGGCCCTCGATGGCGGAGTCCTGCCCCAAAAGGCCGGCTCCCTTTGCCTTGAACTCTGCACGTCTGTACTTGTCCTGAAAACTTGATCCGCCCAAAGACTTAAAGATCCCAAATCTCTCCAAGCTTTTGGGAACCACCAAGTCGCATCCGTTCGCATCCTGCACGGCTGAGCGCTTGGAAAGGCTTCCCAGGCGAAGGAGGCAGGCCAGTGCCTAGACGGGGCGAAGGGCCCTTTCACTGGCCGCCACTGGCCAGCCGGGCCACAAAGGCAACTCCAGTAGTCGCTCTACGCTCTCTTGTGGCTTGCGTGGAAGCAGGCTCGGTCGGGGGCCTGGTCGATACCCTGTTGCTTGGGCAGGCTGCGGAAGTAGCTGAGCACCTCCTCAGGAAGGCTTTAGGTCAGAGTATTGCAGAGACTGGGGCAAACTGAGTGTCTCCTCGGCATTGTGCAGCCGTCGCACCTGCATCAGGAACATGAATCGGCTTTGGATTGCGCGGTGATGATTCGCAACAACATCTGAGCGCATACTTTTACTAAGGAACATGCTCCAGAACTTTGAGCCTTCCGATCCTCGATCCCTCTGCTGGCCAAGGTAGGCAGAGTCTTGTGATGCAAAAGCTGTCCTAAGTTCTCCTTGTTCCGGCCTTCGGGGTGATCAAAGGGGCAGCGCGTAAAGAGTGCCTGGCCAAGGGCAGCTATGCTACGCGTGGCCTTTTTGTCTATTTTGCTCTTCATAAGGCACCGAGAGGAACGCAAAACAAAACCTTGGCTTAGATACAAGATGCGAAGTACAGATTTGATAATCAGATATGGCTGTGTCAACGGGACAGGTGCCAACAAGCCTGTGATCATGGTCTTACGGCTTGCTGGCATCATGAGAACATGAGCCTGGCCGGTAACCCCCTACTAGCAACTGACCAACAGTGCCGTTTGCTCGGTCTCTGGACTGCCTCACGCTGGTCTGGCCCTTTTGCAGCTTCAGCAACATACTCGACATCGTTTGAGAGAGGCGATGAGAAGCGCGAGAAGCGGGCAGTCCACAAACGAACGCCCCCCACCTCCATAGGGGCCGAGCTGGAGTCAGGCACGGCCTGTAACTTTCGACTTGCAACCAAATGAGCCAACGACGATGCAAAATGCACTTAAGGAGCACTGCAAGCAGGCAGAGGCCTCGCAGGTAGCGGCCACAAGCTGGGGGAGCTCGGGGAGCAATGCATTCAAGCATCAGCATTAGACTTTTTTGGGAGAAAGGGTTCTCAATCTGTCCTGTTGGAAGTGGCATCGTCTGCAAGCATCATAGGAGATTGATTCACAAAACTTGCCGTCCGAAGAATTACACGTAGTGCGTGTAGGTGGGTATGTCGTGAACCGACTTCGTAAGCGCTTTCGGAACCTCGTCCAACAACGTATCTGGTTTGCTGACAACGCATGCACTACTCATGATGCTGCCGCAACAACAAAACGGAGGCACTGAAAAGATCATGCCGATACATCCGATACCTATGTTTGGGATACTTGGGGGTCTTGTGTGCCCACTCATATTCCGCGGCGCAGCTAATCTGTTCCCTGCACCTTTGGGTGAAACGCCTCTCTTGTCCGGCATGTGATTTTGCCTCGCAAGGCTTGTCCGATTACAGCGCGTCCGGTCTACAGGCTCTGCGTATTCTGCAGACCCATACATTGCGCACTGGGATGGTCCGAGCTCTAAGCACTTAGAGCAGATGGTGGAATCCTCACGGTCCTAACTTCACCTCTCAGGAGATGAGGATAAGCCAAGCGATGGCCACCTGGGCACTGAGCACTCGGAAGTCCTCCTCTCAAAGCCTTTAATACCTTTAAAGTGTCTGTCCATCCTCCCCCAACATTCAACACCATTCAACTATAACAAAGTCGGTACCACACTTGCCTATCTTGTTTGCCTACGCCCAGGTGGCCCACGTAGAATAACCAGACGGGGTAGACTCCCAAGGCCTGGCACAGGCATGAGGCATGTCGGACTTGTGCAACAAAAACCCCCAGGGGCCATGCACGTCCGCAATAGCAGCTCATGCACTTTCATGGCAGCATCGAGGCCCACAGCACACTCCAAAGTGTTACTAAGGTTCTGAAGTGCACGGGTTTGTGCTGTCCCAGAAGACGCGCCTTGCGATCCTCGGGCAATAGTTCAGCCATGAACGCCACCTCGAGTCGAGCGGGTTGAGATTTGGGAGGCACAGTTAGAGGGCCGAAGAAGTGCTGGGCTCGGACTGGTGCAGAGCCTAGGTCCCGCGCCGAGGCGCCTGTAGCCCATGTAAAGCCTACGCAGACGAAGATGACCTGACGGGAACGGACTGAATTCGCAGCCAGGACGCATGAAGCAGACACACCACAAAGTGAGATTGAAGCTGTTGAGCTGTTTTGCATTTGAGCAATGCTCTCAAGCATGAGCTGTGCCTTCAGCCATATTACCTGGAGCAGTAAGGAGCAGAAGGCAGCTATGACCAGCGGGAAGATGCAGTAGCCTGGAATCTGCGAATTCACAGAATCCCTTGCATGCCTTCTCCAAGCCATGTCTGTCATGAGCTCAGTAAGAAGCTTGCTTGATTACTGCCTGAGGCACTGGCCCAAGACGCACACCTGAGCGAATGGTAAAGAGGCCACCCCTACTGTGTAGCTTCCGTTCCGGCTGAAGGTTCTCGTGACTGCAACCGCAGACATGGTCACTAAGCCACTAAGCGGCAAACCGACTGGAAGAAGGAGATCTTGCCTTTGAGAAGGACTGCATTCAGGGTCACAATGCCTGCATCCAGGCAAGGAGACTCCGTAAATCTTGTGGGTGTTCAAAAAAGCGGAGGACTCTTTGGTGCCAAAGTTGCATCCGGCGCAATTGCACCTGGCCTGAACCCACCCACACGATCACGAAGACCAGGGCAAAAGCCAAGCTAGCCTGTTGCTGCAATCAGGCACGAGTTCGACCCGGGTTGTTGATGTTTTTTCGTTTGCTTCTGCTCATGCTCAACTGAGTTCCGCTCCTGCTCCGCTCGCATCGACAGCATGATGCCTCAGATGCAGATGTGAACTGCCAAGCTTCTTCGAGGCATTGATTCCGCTGGATGTCGGTTAGTCGGTTGCTGCTGACGGGTCAAAAAGGGGGGCCGCTTCAACGGGAGCTAAGCAGCTAAGCGCTTCCAAGGCGCCCAAAGCTAAACAGAGCACTAAGGGACCCCACAGGTCCCACCTTGGCAGAGCAAAGGCGAAGTAAAGGCGCGCTGCGCTTGTTGTCCAGATCAGCTCCACACGAGAAAAGAAAGCTCCTCTGAGGCCACCCGCTCCCGCAAGCCGCTGCCTTTGTCGGCTCGTGCTCTCGGCAGCATGACGTACCTGGGAAGCTCTACGATGGCGAGGCGGCGCAGAAGCCCGTGTAATGGCACGAGACGTGTCGAGCTGTTGGCGCACTTCAGCTTGGTGCCAATCGACCTGCCAATCATGACTGCGACCCCGTGATGTGCATTATGCTCCAAACATGGGCAAGGTGAGAAGTCTGGCGATCTTAGGTGGAATTTGACTGCGACTCCATGCCACAGGGTTCCCTCGAACGCACAGATTTCAGCGTGATGACTTGCCGGACCATGCATCATGACCAAACAGTAACTTCAAACATCTGCAAGCTCCACCTCAGATCTCTCATGATGGTCTCTGTGACGGGCTCGTCCAAGGTACATCGCCCCTGCCAGTCGCAACCGCGAACGTGCGCGAGAGGAAACAGTGAACAGACGAATCAGACAATGACAGAGGTGAGGGAGGGATGAGGTCAAAAGGGCTGAGGTCAAAAGGTAAAAAAACTATGCAACGCTGAACAGGCCTGCAGACCCTGAGACTCCTCTATGTGGCCGCTGGGTGCCACCGCACCATCACCTTCAAAATGGACAAGGCGAGCAAACCATCACTGAGCGAGATTGCAACAAACGAATTGGCCACAGGGAAACAGGGACTTGAAACTCGCGAACGCTGGGATACTCTTGGGATGCAGTGGCAGCACTACTTACCATGGGCAGACGACTTCAAGATAACAATTAAGAAGCAAAGGAGCGCCACCTGCACCAAACTGCGGCGACTGGTAGGTGCCGCTTAAGTCAAAATTCGCCATCCCTGGCAGAGGGCTGATAGTGCTAGGCCGTTACTAGACGAACAGGTCTGCTTTTGGATCTGACATCCTACGCCGATTTGAGAGATATTTCACTTCAGCCGACATCCTTCAGGCAGAGACCCACAGTGCCGCACCTCCTCTCGCGAAGGGAGGCCTTCTCTAGGATCTCTAGCGTTGCAGCAGGTCGAAAATGCAACGGCAACAGGAGCCACAGTTCTTGCCTGGAACAACTTCACATCTACAGAGGAGGCTTGCAAGAGCAGGTGACACGATCAGAAGGGGATCCAGAGTGCCATTCTGTTGACAGGGTGCTGTTGGGCCTGTAACATAGGTCTACGTGTCTTCCGGTACATGTCGCCAAGCAAAACATGTCAGACTTTTTCTCTTGCAGCTTAAGCTCCTGTCGTGCATCCAACGCGAGTTTGCATCGTTGAAAGAATCACAGAACTGTGTAAACTTCCTTTCGATGCACTGTCCTGAAGATGAAAGAAAACTCGCAGCCGGCGCGTGCAATAATTCAACCCATCGACTGGAATCCGGTCAGGACGGGCGCATCCGGGCGTGATCCTGGATGCCTGCGACGGGCATTAACCTGGGACAGGCATGGCAGGCATGCGAACCTACAAGAAGAAACAAAGACAGACAAGCTCAGAAAAGCACCCAGAAAAACAATGTGCCATCAACACCACGGAATGCTTCGATCGTAGGCAGAAATCCCTTCACCAAGAACATTCAAGCAAATCAAAGAGCCCAGGCCCAGGCCCGGCATGCATCCTCAAAAGAATGTGGACAAGGTTGCAAAGGCTGAGGGTAGGTTGCCGCCCTTAACCCGGTGCCGCGGCTCGCACCGAGGCTCGGGAAAAGGGGTGACCCCGAAGAATCTTACCGGTGTTGAGGCTGAGGCAGAATCGGGGCAGCAGCAGCTGCTGCAGTGGCTCCAACACTAAGCATGTCGTCCTTCAACTTTGGGACACCAACTATTAGAACTCCCGGCACGATTCGACGGTCCTCGAAACCAATGTCCCAGCCGCTGCCTGTGTCCTAAAGCAAGTAGCTGAATGATGTGCAAGAGCAAGCACACGTCATATTTAAGTCAAAAGGGGGGGGGGTGGTGAAAAGGGGGGGGGGGGGGGGCCCCCTCCCCAGAAATCAATTAAGGCGACCCTGAATGGGGACACCTGAAGATTGATTCTGCCAATCCTATAAGGGGGGGCAGGGGGGGCCCCCGCCCCCCCCCCCCCACAGCCGTTCATCTCTTTGATTTTCATAGCACCTAAGGGTCGGGGTCGCTTTTTGACCCAGCTGAACACTAGAGAGAAGACTTGTAAACAACAACTCTCGCGAGCTCCAAGGAGCTAGCTTTCGTGATTAAGTCTTCGAGCATCTTTGAATGACATGTCGAACAAAGCGTGGCCGAGGCTCAGGACTTCTTTGTGAGAGTTGCAACGTCAAGCAGCAATTCTGGTGACATGTGGCAACCTGTCCTGGTATGGCATGGCTTGTGGGTCTTCGTGCTCGCAGTCACGGAAGTTGGTGAGGTCGCGTGGCCCTCGGACCTGTCTCTGGGATAAGGTGCTTGTTTAGTCGGGAGGGCCTGCACAAGGGAAACGCACGTGAACGTGGAGGAAGGTGGAATGCACATGGCAACGTTCGGAGCCCTTCCGCAAGCAGAAGTGTCGCAACATATCACATCAATCTATCCCCTGCGCCTGTGGAACCAGCGGAGGAGTCATTCGAAGGCTCTGGAGTCCTACCCACCATCCGAGCAGGCGTCACCACGCAGTGGTGTTCTACACAATGTACGATTTTCGATTCTACCTGCTTCTACGTGCTTCTACGTGATTCTATGCTTGCGGCAAAGGGCCTTTCCAGTCAAACCCGCGGAAGAAGCTGTGCTCCCGCAGAGTCGGTGTGCGCAAACGCACCTTGTTGGCCCCACAAAGCATCAACAGCTTGAGCGGCGGATTAAGTGACACACACACACACACACAACTCTTTGCTGGCTTGGCACGTCCGGAGTCCTGTGGCACAAATGTCGCACCAGCTGGCCGGCCTAGGCTTCGCCGTACACCAGAGCACTACTCCGCAACCCGAAACAAGGAGATCTGGATCTGGCCAAGCGATCGTGCGAGCGGGGTGGAGAACAGGTAGGAGGGCGCTGAGACTGCACTGAGCAAGCAGCTTCGTTTTTGACTGCTTCCGGAAACCTTACCGACTCGATGCCCTTCTTCACCAGGCTGTAGGTCTGTCCGAGACTTGCAATGGGAGCTGTTCTTATCACTTCTTTCCTTACAGCTTCTTCCAAGTCGCCAGGTGGTCCCATGTTCTGCGACTATCTATGCCTATGGCAGACTGGCAGCACTTGCTGGCACAGACTGCTATTCAGTAGCCCTTCCTGCGATCGGAGGATGATGTTCCCGCGAGTCTGCTTGTCACACATTTTACATCTGCTCGTCTTATCCATGCGGCCGGCCTCCTGGGCATTGCCGGATTTGGACTCGAAAGGTGCATGTCCTTTTTGGCTCAGGGGTGCTACAGCGGTTCCCTGGCAAAACCTTCTGCACTGGCCTGCCAGAAGCTCGTACAGGAGCACCCCGAGCGTCCACCAATCCACAGACTGCAAGGGCCCAACATGACACAACATGACAGCACTTCTACAGACCCATAAAGGACACATCACGACACAGCACTGGAACGTGAGATTCTGGGACCCCCGCTTTGGTGTGGCCGCTTTGTTCGATGACCTCCCGCTGCTGTGGTTGACACAGACTTGAACAAAAGGCGCAAAGGAGAGGAAGAGCTGAGGTTGAGCGGATTTGAAAGCCTCTGGAGCCATGTAGTCAGGAGTGCCAACCATCGTGAAGGTGGGGCCTCAGCAAGCCCACTGCTAAACAAAAGTAGCCTGCCACATACGAGTAGCTGAGCAAGACAAGCTTTGGTATGTCGAAGAGATCGAAGAGTACTCAGCGTGACCGCCTTTTAAAAGTCCCCTCACAAGTGCCGGACTGGTCGTGATCTTTGCGAGCCCCATGTCAGTCACCTCTGGGGAAGCCCCGCCAACATCTCAGAAATGCAGGCGGAGCCAAGGAAAGGAAGCTTTTGAAGACCCTCGTTACAGGCTGAGGAGCGGAAACCAGGTCCCTGAAAATCGCATTTTTTGGCACGTCGCATGCCTTGCAGAAGCCTCGTACATCCAGCAACAGATTCTCGGGCTTCAGGTCCTGCAATCGAAAGTTATGCTGCTGCCGATGCTGACAGCATATGGTCGTTTTCATGTCTCCTTTTGTTGCCTGATCTTTACGTTTCATCAGATTTAGTCATGCTTAACTGTTTAACCGCGTATTGTAATGCACGTCACTCGTTCACCGGTGCTGTGCGGAGCCCTTGTAGCTAAGGAGGCGGTCCCGGTAGATCACATTCTTCTGATGAAGGTGGGCCAATGCCTTGCAAACGTGTCTGCCATGCACAACTGAACATTACATCCACTCGCAGCATGCTTGGAGCTGACTGTTGTCTTCAATCTTCGACTAGCGAAGCTGCGTCCCAGCACATCATGCTCTTTGCTGCCTCGGCGTGTTGTCCTTTCTGCTCCTGTTACCATGCTCTACGTCTTTGTCTTTGTGAGTGGTTGCTGCCTCCGTGACGCAAGCGACGTAAAACCGAGCGTGGGCTTCGGAGCCTCGGGGGCAGGTCTCGCGACTGACCCCAGGGCGTCTTTAAGAAAGCCGCAGAGTATCTCAGCTATTCAAGCGGCTCCAAGGGAGCACCTAAGGAGCACCTAAGGAGCGCACCATAGAGTTTGAGCCGCTCGTAGGTGGTGAAGAGCTCTCCGCCGAGCGCGGCCTTGCAGCCAGGTTTGGGGATGCAAGGAGAATCGACGAGAGGTCCGAGATGGTCCGAGGTTTTTGTCAATTGTGCGAAGGGGCGAAACCTGATTTCCTCTTGCAGCCACCAAGCGTTGCTCGCTTTCACAATCCTATTCTCAGTCTCAATTTTTTCATGGTGAATGAACCTCAGGACGAGCCTCGAGCAGGAAGTACACATGCTCTCTGCCACTGTACGTGGCCAGCAACCGAACAACCTTGCAGCAGCAAACATTGTGCAGAATGGCAGCTGGCTCTCATGAATGATAACAGTTCAACATTGAGTCATGAGAATCAGACGAAGGGTGTATCCAGCATCTTCAGAATCCTTTTCTCATTGAGTACGGAATACCTCGGCTCTGAGCAGATGGCAAACACCAAATCTGCACGGCAGCCCGGCAGCTGACTCGCCCTCAGCCCTCGCGCGGCTGAGAGCGGTGCTCCATCCGCAGATGCGCTAAGTATCCCTTGGAAACTGCTTTCAGGGCCTGGGCGACAAGTCACGCCATGGACCTGTACAGCACTGCGGAAACCTTGACGCCTGACAACCTTGCAGGCTGAAAGGAGATAAAGCCCGAGCCACCCATTAACAATTGTCAAGCCCCCGTACAGCGCAGACAGCATAGCTCACGCCACATTTCCGACGAGACTTGGTGGATTGGCGGATTGCAAAAGATTGGCGAGTTTGCAACTGCCAGAGCTAAGTTGCACGCCATATTATACAGTAAGACAAGGATCCCAAAAGACCAAGACCCACAGTAAAGGAATCTCCAACCCATTCTAGGACCCCCTCGGAGGGCCAAAATCAGTTTTGTTTGCTAGAGCCTGAGCCCTAGTATCCCAAGGCGGGTGATGTGGAACGTTAACAAGATCGACCAAATGCGGGAGACACAGCTGCAAGCACCTGGGCAGCAGGCGTATGTTCTCCCTGTTCGGCGATCAGCCTGCGTCACAAGCAACTCCAACGATCTGACTTGGGCCAGCTATGTGATTCAGGTCACCTCTGGCCATGCACTTCGGCATACAGGCAGATCCCAGTAGCAGAGGACGTGCTGCAACAGACTACTAGCCGAACTCTGGCGCTCTGCGCTGCCCTCTGTCCCAAAAATATCTCGCATGCAGATGTCCAAGAGACGCGGCCTCAAGCGTCACCAGACCAAATGCGCCGACACCGAGTCGACCAACCCGCTGCAGATCACATCTGCGTATCCTCGTGACGCCTGTCGAAGCAAGGGCCAAAGGGGATCCAACTCGGGACTGTGATTGCGCTGCCAGCAGATCCAGGCCTGCGTTGCCCGTCCTTGTCACATTGTTTACGGCTCTGCGTGCACAGCATCTGCTTTGCAATCAACCACTTTGAAACAGGTTTGCACTTTGACGGCTGATGGCTTGACTGTTGAGTATTTGCAAGATTCCTCAGAATATCTCAGAACATGATGCAAGGATGAGGATTCCAGGATGTGCGACCACCCAAGCCGCGGACGTCGAGCCAGCGCCGGAGAACGGCGAAGTAACAGGCGGAGCGCCTGACCCAGAAAGGCACTGCGGAGGTTGAAAGAGACGCAGAACAGTGCAGATGGTGCCATGGCATGCTACAGAGGCCGGCACCAGGAGTAGCGGCCCGCACGGCTGTGCGGGATGAGCCGCGCCTTACGGGAAGCCTACTCTTACTGCTGCTCGTACTGGCATTTAAGACTCGGGCACTATGGCAACAGGGTGGGAGTGGGGGAGCATTTGTGCTCCATGAAAGTGCCCTGAAAGGGTAGTTAATCCGCTATGAGGCCTCGGGCATCCTCGGGCTGTAGGTGTCTGGGGAGCATAAAGCAGGTACCCCACCTCTCATCCTCTACGACGCTGTTTCTAGCCGACTAGCCGACAGGTGTCCGGGAGCGGACGGTGCATCAGGACCAGGGGTCCAATGGGGCCAGGGGACGGACACCGGCGTCTTCAAGCCTTACCCCTTATTTCGGCCCCGCCCCTGCCCTCCCCCGCGTGATTGTGAGTGCGAGTGTTGAGTATTGAGTATTGGGCGTGTGCATGTGCGTGTGCGTGGGCGTGTGCGGGCGACTAGAATGCAAGTCAAGATGTGGAAAGATAACACCAAGAACCCATGGGCTCGGATTCGGCTCCCGGCTGCGTTGGATCCAGCAACCCATGGGGCATGTCATTTGGAGGTGCCTCTCGGCTCAGCTTAGCTCAGTCATGCTCACTGCACTTGAGAGCCTAAGAGCCGTTGAGATAGCCTCAAAAGCAGGAGAACTGCAAGGAGGTAAAGGTCAGTAGAGCCATGTCGGGTCCATGACCCACAGCCCGCACGTTGAAGTACAAAGTTGCACTATGCCGGCACCGGAGAAGAGCTCGGTCAGATGTGTTGCTTGCCCAGCCTTGGGAGTGCAGACACCAGAACCTGCGCAAGAAAAAGCACTGCGACCCTTTGTCTATGGACCGTCTCGCAGCTGCCCTTTACATCCCAAGAGGTCATCCAAGAAACGTCGCAAAACTGTCACAAGCATCACGAGCAGACTGAATTCGCATTTTGGCATTCAGAATTCCCATGCCTGTGATCGGTGGGGACCAAGAGTGCGATGGCTGCGACGTCGGAGCTCGAGGCCTCACTACCAAGCTCAGTGCGCAATTTGGGCTGAAAGCAACGCGTTGAAAGCTGAGATATATGGTGACATGCATGGTGGGTAAATGCTTTTTGGCGCTGCTGGGCCCCTGGCGCAGCCCAAGAAGGTGCGGCCGCCGGAGCTTTGGGCAGCACCTGCCGTGACTTGTCCCAGCGGAGGTACATGCTGCGACCATACTTAACCCAACAGAACCCGACAGAACCCGAACGCATTCCTATTCAATTCCTGCCAGCGCCTTTGCAGCTGCGCCGGGTGCCTTCGACGGGGCGCACCCGCCTCCATTCTTCGTGAGTGCTCTCGTCTGACATCATAACCCATGGACAGCCAACTTCCTTGTATCTGGAAGAGCACATTTCCAAACGCTACTGCAGAGTTACTTCTTGTGTTCTTGTCATGTGATCACTGAGCAAGCCTGCTGTCTCCTCATTGGCACGCGGTGCTGGCCGGTTACGTGGAGAGGAAGGAGCCTCAAGGCAAACGTGAATGGCAGGACCCGGCTTCCGTAACAGAATGAAACTCATGGATCAACTAATCGATACGGTCACGTCACGATTCTCGGCTATGTTTTATCCGTGGTTTTGTTCTTCCTTTGTTACTTTCTTGTTGTTCTCATCTCATTCGCTTCTTGGTGTGTTCACTTCCGTTTGTTTGCACACGATGTGTATGATCGTTTGCTGTACTGTAATGCACTTATGTCTCTCTTTCTTCTTCTCTCCGGCCGTGTGCTTCAGGCTGTCTTCAGTTGGGGCGTGTGTAGCCCACGCGAAAGACAGCCTTCCAGAGCTGCTGCAAGGCACGCCTCGCGGGACTTTGTCGCAGGGCTGGCCTTGCGCTCTTGTTGCACCATTTGCACCTGAGAGAGGAAGCATGGCAGGGCCAGGGTGTGCTGGCATGTGCTCGCCTAAGCTGATGATTTTTTTGGGGTACTCGAAACCCAGTTTTGCTGGCACACGCTGATGCTGTCGCCAGAACCGAAGCTTGTCAGGATCTTGCCACTGTGGATTGAATGTCTGGAAGCACACGGTGGCCTCGTTCAAGGTTGGTGCAGGCTTGCGAGGACGGGGTGGCAATCGATTCACCTCGGATGTAAAGCATTTCAAAACAAAACTTGCTCTTTCTTCACTGCGAAAACTTGGTGAGCATACAGCACTTGGCACTCTGAATGACGAAGCGGGCGCCGCACGCAGCGGCGAGGCCCCCGCGCCTCGCAAGAACTTGGCAGGGTCATCAGCCATCCGAGCTGTGAACTTCTTCTGCCCACCTTGCACTTCCTCCTGGAGGGCTGCCACTCGCCGCTGAGGTCCGGGGCTGCGGCCTGCGACTCTTCGACTTTCAGGCTTCTGAATTTTGGAACCATGGACCATGTCGAAGGACAACAATGAAGGGCACTGAAGGGCGCTGAAGGGCGCTGAAGGGCGCTGAAAACGCTCTGAGAACCACTTCGGAACCACTTCGGGCCCCCTTGAGGTCCAGGCCTTGGGCTTGGCCGGCAGCACCTTCGCCAAGATGAAGCGCACTCGGTGGTTGAAGTTGAACTCCTAGCCGTGTGGGATCGTTTTTCTCAATATTTCATGGGAGTCCAATGTAGCGTATCCATATGTGTATATGTATAGATATATATATATATAAAGAGGGCACATATACATATTTATACATATATATGTATATGTATCTGTATATAACTGTATATATACATATATACATATATATATATAATATATGCAGATATACGTGTGTGGCCGCCTGAACTTAAAACAACCCACATGTAGAGCTTCAGCGTGCTCCCCAGCACCAGTCCTTCAGTTTGCGGCCACGCTGCAGGTCGGAACACTGCCCGTCACAGCCTGGAGAATGCTAGAGATGAAGATAAAAAGGAGATAAAGGAAATACAGGGGATAAAGGGGATGGAAAACGACCTAGAACGAGGCAATTCGAGGTCGTATCGAAGGGATGAAAGGGGCCACCAGCTCGGTCCCACATTCGTTTGTGGCAGCGTTGGCCCCTCAAAATTCGGCCTTCGTAGAGAACGCGCTGCTGGAAGGCAGGGATGCCGTACCTCCGTGGCCCATGTGACAGCGGCATTGGGGGAAAGGGGAAGTTAGTCAAATGAATGGAATGACTTGGCACGAGAAATTCTCGGATCTCTCTCGGTTCCTTCTGACATGTGCACCGCTCCGTAAGCCCAGGCAGCTCACAGCTACACGCACGGAGGCACTTCTGCTCCAATTTTGTGAAGACGCTTTCAACAAACTCATTCTCGCTGACCTCTGTGCTGCTTCAGACGTTTCAAGGTGCATTCCTTGAGAGTCACGGAGGTTGTTTGTTTCAATCGCTCAATGGTAGACTTAGGCCTTTTTGCCCAATATGCTGCCAACCACCTACAAAGTCAAAGCACTCATCGTGTGTGCTGTCAAGAGGCTGTAAGCAGTCCGGTCTGCTTGCCAAGTGTCTGCACTTGCACCGTAAGCTGCATCGCCTGCACATGCAATGACCAGCCCCACAACTTTCCTATCAAAGTGGCTGATATCAACCTCGGAGATAAGAAGTTCTGCGAGTTAAGTACAGAGTTTGGGCATCATTTATGAATGGGTTAGAATGGGTTTCATGTAGGGCATTCGAGGAGGGCAATTCCGCAGCCTGCCTCGGCACCGCGGCTCACGCGGCAGCTACCAAGTTTCCAGTGTGATGGGCAATGGCCACCCCGTTTTTTTAAAGCTCAGAGTGGCTTTGTGCTTGAACTGCCCAAGGCTCCTGGCCGTACGTGTCTTTGGGGGCCGCATGCATTGCTGTCCGTCCCACTTGGCATGAAGAAGCACTATAAGCTTCTCTTGCCACTGAACAACAAAGAGCAAAGAACATGGAGGGGAACCACAAAAAACAACACTTCCCTGGAGCCGATGCACCGCCAGAAGCAAGCAGCAAGCATCGTGATCCCGAATTGGGAAGGGTTCACTCATGATGGACTAATGCATAGAATCTTAGAAGCCTTGGATGCCATTTTCGTCTTCCTGCTGCAACGAGCCGCGTTGTACATGAAATGCAGCAGGCACCGTTCACGGCTGTGACCCCTCGTCAGGCTTGTTTAGGATTATGTCTGTTTCTCTTCAACCCTCGAAGCATCTCAATGCCCTTTCTGCATCACGCGATCAACCGGAGGCTTCAGCCTGGCCGACAAGGTCTATGCAAAAGGCACGCAGCACTACGAACTGCACATCTGTGCCACACAGACACGAGCAAGTGAGAAAATTGATGATCAAAAAGAGTGCAGGCTTCTGACCCGACTGTTCTGCCTGCAACGGTGAGGGAGGCGGCATTTCAGCGTCGGATCCTTGAGCTTTCTAGAAGGGGGGTGTACGAAAATAGGGGGTACCCTTTTGCAGATTCCTATAATGAGGGTTATAATATTTTGGGGTATATTCGGGGGACCCTATTTTGGGAAATACGCAGAAGGACACGAGGATCAATCACCTCGTTTGGACCCTTGGCCCAGAAGCAGCTTGAAATGCCAGAGGGAGTCCTTCCGGGGCCGGTGGAGGCTGCATCTGCATGCCAGCTGGGCCTCCCAGGCACATGACACAGCAAATGACACAGTAGGTCCGTCATGCAGGCATGCGTTTGGTAGCTTGAATCCCCTCTTTGTTGCTAAAAGAGGAACAAGGACGAGTCCAAGTCCACATGATGCAAGCTACAAGGTGCAACCTACGCAACGTTTAATGCCACAAACATGCAAGATTGGTTTTCAGGGGGTCTGATGCAGTGACGAGGGAGACGAGGAGAGAGCCCATTGCCCACCACATCATGGCCCACAGCTGATCCTAGGCCAGCATTTTTCTTGAAGTTGAGGCCTCCTAGTCTCCCTCTATCCTGTGACCTACCTTGTTGAGGTGCATAGGGGCTCCTCATGTTATAGTTGCACAGACGACTGATTCTACGAAGTACCCGGAGCAGTAGCAGCAGCAGTAGAGCAGCGGCAGCAGCGGCGGCCTTCCATGCCGTCTGAACTCTGGGCTGCCTGCCATGTTCCGAGCAGCCGGATTGGACACATGGCCAACACACGATGAAAACACGTTTTCCTGCGCAAGCGCAGCTTTTCACCACATTCACGCGCGACGTGTCGAATGAACGTAGCAGGGAGGTGTCTACAGAAGCCGTCTTCAATTGTCCAAATGCAAGTGCAGAGGTCTGCGACACGCCGATGTGCAAAGACTCTGGACCAAGTTCGGCCTGCCTGTTCTGCCAGACGCCGCTCCTGCGCCAGCCTGTGCTTCACAAGTTTCAGGCTGGCAAGTCATGGGACCGCAACGAGTTGCGCAGGACGCCTTAGCATTAAGCATCCTCAGTGGTAGCGATAGTGCCTGATGTGGAGGCGAACGGCCAAAAGAGCTCCCAGGACAAGCCCTGCACATGGCATGGCGTTTGGACAATCACAGGTGAACCATGACAAGCGATCTCTGCTTCCCCGACATGATGTGTTGACACATGCACAGCCCATCCCATTGCTTGATTGGCAGACAACACACGGCACAAACAGGGGACGCGCTGGGATGTGCCAAACACACCATTCATGTAGAGCGTCGTTGCGAGCTCTTGCATGAAACAGCACGCGGGTTCACATGTTTGCTTTCGGAATCAGGCACCACCTCTCCTCTCTGTAGTCTGTAGGTGTGACCAGCTACGAATACAGTACTCAGGCATTCCTTCAACCAACTCGTAGGCTGGGCCATGATGAACCGCCTGCATCGATGTGCTGCAGGACAAAGCACTGGCTCTCGCCGGAGTCCGTGTTCTGAGACAGTGGATGAGCCGCCATGTCAAACTTCGCAAATGACGAGCTCCTTTGACCAACAACTGCCCCCAGCCCTGCCGTCCTCCAAGCCACAGATCTGGTAGTTGTCTTTGTTCAGCCCACGAATGTTGATGCGGCCTCTGACAGAATACCGCAAACTCAAATGACTTGCCCTTCAGCTGGTAAAGATGATTGACCAGCCTCCTTCTGCGCCGAAATCCCCATCTAAGCTCAGCAACGGGTAGCCCATCCTCACAGACGACCCACATAAATCGACAGAAGCGTGGTCCATTCAAAATGACGATCCTGCTTATGAAAAATAGAAAAGATCTTACCACAAAGGAAAGTGGGGGCGCGCCTGTGCCTGACGAAGTATCTTCTTGGATTCTCGGGCTGCTCGGGCGTCACGAACCTGGGGCAAGCTAGCCAACGGACTGAAACCACCTCCTGCTCGTCACCAAGCAGCCTAGATTCAAAAGCATGCCTAGCAGCCTAGTGACCTGTAGCTCCACTTGCGCCCCTGATATCTTCCATCCAGAGAGGAGAAGTGCAAGCATGTCTCGCTTTATTTGTGTCCCTGATCACTTATGTTCGCAGACGGCTCATGGTAGCTGACAGGTTCAGCATCAGCCACAAAGCAAGTCTGCAAAGGTACACGGTCGTGAACACAGGGTTGGCGGGACAGCACAGGATAAGTGCAGCATGTCTCGCTTTATGTGTGTCCCTGATCACTTCTGTTCGCAGACGGCTCATGATAGGTGAACCGCAAAGGTACACGTTCGTTTGGCGGGACAGAAGCATGTCTCGCTTTATTTGTGTCCCTGATCACTTCTGTTCGCAGACGGCTCATGGTAGCTGACAGGTTCAGCATCAGCCACAAAGCAAGTCTGCAAAGGTACACGGTCGTGAACACAGGGTTGGCGGGACAGCACAGGAAAAGTGCAGCATGTCTCGCTTTATTTGTGTCCCTGATCACTTATGTTCGCAGACGGCTCATGGTAGCTGACAGGTTCAGCATCAGCCACAAAGCAAGTCTGTAAAGGTACACGGTCGTGAACACAGGGTTGGCGGGACAGCACAGGAAAAGTGCAGCATGTCTCGCTTTATTTGTGTCCCTGATATTCCCTGATCACTTCTGTTCGCAGACGGCTCATGGTAGCTGACAGGTTCAGCATCAGCCACAAAGCAAGTCTGCAAAGGTACACGGTCGTGAACACAGGGTTGGCGGGACAGCACAGGAAAAGTGCAAGCATGTCTCGCTTTATTTGTGTCCCTGATCACTTCTGTTCGCAGACGGCTCATGGTAGCTGACAGGTTCAGCATCAGCCACAAAGCAAGTCTGCAAAGGTACACGGTCGTGAACACAGGGTTGGCGGGACAGCACAGGAAAAGTGCAGCATGTCTCGCTTTATTTGTGTCCCTGATCACTTCTGTTCGCAGACGGCTCATGGTAGCTGACAGGTTCAGCATCAGCCACAAAGCAAGTCTGCAAAGGTACACGGTCGTGAACACAGGGTTGGCGGGACAGCACAGGAAAAGTGCAAGCATGTCTCGCTTCATTTGTGTCCCTGATCACTTCTGTTCGCAGACGGCTCATGGTAGCTGACAGGTTCAGCATCAGCCACAAAGCAAGTCTGCAAAGGTACACGGTCGTGAACACAGGGTTGGCGGGACAGCACAGGAAAAGTGCAGCATGTCTCGCTTTATTTGTGTCCCTGATCACTTATGTTCGCAGACGGCTCATGGTAGCTGACAGGTTCAGCATCAGCCACAAAGCAAGTCTGCAAAGGTACACGGTCGTGAACACAGGGTTGGCGGGACAGCACAGGAAAAGTGCAAGCATGTCTCGCTTTATTTGTGTCCTTGATCACTTATGTTCGCAGACGGCTCATGGTAGCTGACAGGTTCAGCATCAGCCACAAAGCAAGTCTGCAAAGGTACACGGTCGTGAACACAGGGTTGGCGGGACAGCACAGGAAAAGTGCAGCATGTCTCGCTTTATTTGTGTCCCTGATCACTTATGTTCGCAGACGGCTCATGGTAGCTGACAGGTTCAGCATCAGCCACAAAGCAAGTCTGCAAAGGTACACGGTCGTGAACACAGGGTTGGCGGGACAGCACAGGAAAAGTGCAAGCATGTCTCGCTTTATTTGTGTCCTTGATCACTTCTGTTCGCAGACGGCTCATGGTAGCTGACAGGTTCAGTCTTGAGAGGTACACGATCGTGAACACAGGGTTGCAACAACGGTGGGCGCCTGAATTTTCACACCTGTCAGAAACACAAACAAACACTTCAGGTGCCGGCGCGAAGGGTTCGTCCTTGCTGTGGTTTCGGCCTCAGTCTGAGCCAAACCGATCTGATCTCCAACTCGAAACATGCTCAAGCCGCCGGCAGAGAGAGAATGCATGGCTTGCCATGACGAAGTTCCTCGCAAAGGGGCGGCCATGACGATTTGGAGGCGTTTCGACAAGGGGCAAGAACTTGTGGAGCATGTTATTAACATTCATACTTGCGGCATTTCATCGGTTGTCGCTTTTTGTTTGTCGGACTCGTGGGGACGCAGGAGCGCGGGTTGTAAGCAAGCTTCATGCACATTTGTACCCTTGTCGAGCTTTAGTTCCATTACTCCTTCACAACTCAAACGACAAAGGTGACAAAGCACTAACACTAACTCTGCAGATCTCTGCAGTATGGGACTTCCGGAAGAGCAAGAATAGTCAAGATGCAAGGGGCCAGCACATGGAATGTCTTCAGGAATAGTGACCCTCACGATCGAGGTTGCTGCAACAGGACGTGCTGACATCTGGTTATGTGACGGCAAAAAATGACAAAAAGTTAAGATTTTGCTTTGGCGTTTGGAAGGACCTTATACGTACTTGCCAGAGCAAGATAGAATGGAGATCAGGGCGCAAACAAGTTAAATGCGACGAAAATATTCTCACAGTGGTGCTTGATTGCATCATGAAAAACAACATTTGCATCGAAAGAGATGTGAGATGTCGGATGTCGAAACATATGAACATGGGATCCCGGAGTTGTGCAGCTCGTATGAGCCTGGCGCGGAGACGAGCGCACGACCCAAAACTTCACAACACAGAGTATTCTGCGACAACACAAAAGCAAGCGAACCCACTGCATCCACCCGTGGGCACGCCTACCACAAATACTGTTCCATTGAATTCAACTGACCTCAACAAGTGGCACAAAACATCAAAGATGTGAGTCCTATCCACAACTGTGGAGACCATCGTCAGCGGCTGACTCTTTGCACTTGACAAGCGCACCTCGACCTATCATGGCTCGAGCCGTGTTCGGCACCAGCTTTGCTGAAGAACACGAAGCCAAGCAAATGAAGGCCTCTACCTACATCAAACCTACTGCCTCACTCTCTTAATGAACGAAGAATTGAGACTCGTCAAGGCCTCGGGCGCCTTGCTGCCTGGCCAAGAGCATGTTGGTACCAAGAGGACAACTCGAGGAGATCGTGAGGCCAAGGGTCGTGGTGCAAGATGGGCAGACAATTAGTTTCTACACGTTCATCGCACTCGATCCTCCAAGCCAAGCAGTTATATCAGGGCTGCTGTGGGACCTTCCCGAAAGGGATCCGGCCACTTTGACTCCACCTTGGACATGCAAGGGCTCAAGCATTTGGTGAAATTTACAGAACGACTGTCTGCATTCGCCGGTAGTCACAGTCACAAGCTCGCGCACATCGCGTTCTGAGTGCCGATATATGCAAATGCGTGAGAATGGCATACCCAAGTTGTGTGACAGGTGAGCTGTCGGAGACTTGTCCGGGCGAAGCCCTGCGGTCACGCCTGGCAAAAGATGTCTCCATTCACCTTTGTCACGAGGAAGTTGTCTTCCTGTCGCGGCGACGATGGTTCGAAGCTTAAACACAGACCATTTGCCAAGCAGTGCATCTGCTTCCAGATTTGATAGTGCGTGCATGATTGGCATAGCTCTCATGTCTTACTGACGTGCCATATGTTTAAAGACCAAGCCTCCCTTGCTTTAGGGGATTCGGGATGTTCTTGCCACTGTCGAGGGTTGAGAGCGTACCTAAACCCTATAAACCCTAAACCCTAAACCCTAACGCCCCTATTGCTTACTAGGGTCAACCGGAGATCTCCAACCCACAACTCTCAAGAACGCGCCCTATGGTCCTGCGGCCCTGAAGCTGTTAGGGTTTAGGGTTGAAGGGTTTATTAAGGGTTTAGGGTTCAGGGCTCGGGGTCTAGGGTTTAGGGTTTAGGTTTTCATGGTCCCTTAATATGGCCCTTCGCCCTCTTCAAAAGGTTCAGCTACAATAGCTAAGGCTATGTTCCCTGCCTTGGAATCGAAGGGCAGCTGCAAAACGAGGCGCTCCTCCTTCTTGACCACGAGCTGTGCAGGGCGACGATGTGAACAAGTAGGCTGGAGGAGGAGGTCCGTAAGACTTCTGTCCACCAACTGCTGCACGCTACGGCTCTGTATCGCAAGACAACCCAGGGCTGCACGTTGCTCTCAGTCTTCAAGCAGATGCACAGCGGTGCTGCCGTCAAATCTCCACCCGCAAAGCCTGGGGTGTTAGTGGCGTCAGCAGCTCGTCCTTGTCCTACAAGTAACAGAAGAGCCCAGAATTCAGGCGCAGGAATTCGACCAGCAAGCTGCAAAGCAAAAGAAAACACAAGACCGATCGAGGTCGATCACCAAACTTGCAATCCGCGCAGTCCTCTCGGAAGAAACCGAAGGCCTCACAACACCATGCCACATGATGCCGCATGATCCTGTTCCGCCCGCAGGACATTAAAGGCAGGTACCCTGGAAAGAAGACTTTCTGAGCACCAGCACGACGCTTGTGCGACAAAGGCCAATGCGAAGCTCGAGCTCTACCCCGACCCTTTTAAAGGCAATCCCCGTCTGAGGTGGACGGCGCAGAGCATGGAAGCGATGGCGCCCACCAACACCTCTGCTAAAGAACAGAACCCAAAGAAAGTTCCAGCTTTTGGCCGCCAGAAGTACAGCTGTTCAATACTTCAGCCAAGCCACAAAGAGGAGGATTGTGAGACGCAGCTGATCTGCGTAGCAGGCCTGTATGGCGGCACGACTACAGTTACTACACGACCCATTCGTCGTTCACGGCCTGCGCAACATTTACTTCGACCCATGGTACATCATGCCCGCACAGCTGCGAAGCATCTGTCCCCACAACTCCCCTCGCCACCACACTGCGAGTGCCTCTCCCGGCGCGCAGCTGGTGGAAGAGGTCTGTAGCAACCATGCACCCCGCATGTTCCACGACGCCTGTCATCAAGACTGGTCTGGGGAGACTTTGTGTGACTTTGTGCGACTTTGTGTGACAGAAAGTGGCCCGACATTTTCACGTCCCCGCTTTGTGTGTCCCGGCGAGTCTGCATCGGACAGCAAGGACGGGCGCACAAACCCGGCAGCCTGTGGCTTGTCCACATTCAAGCTCGCCATGGCCATGCCCAGCGCATCCTCTCACGCTAAATCTTAGAAGCAGGCAAGCCAGAAGAGAGAGAGAGAGAGAGAGACAGAGACAGAGAGAGAGAGAGACGGAGAGAAAGAGAGAACGAGAGAGAGAAAAGACAAAAAAGAGAGAGAGGAAGAGGAAAAAACAACACAGAGACAGACAGAGGAGGGGATTGATCACGCAGCGACAGTAACAGGTGCAACACGCTCCTTGAGCATGGCCTCTGGGGGCCCTGGCACCAGCGTTGTCAGGTCAGATCTGCCGAATGTCTCCCAACATCTCTCTACTGTATTGGATCTGGCACGGACGCCCCTGAACCCTTTTGAGGTGACCCCACCCGGCCTCCCCCGAAACCGGGGCTCGGGTCGGTTCAGTTCGCTATCTGTAAGCCAAATGGCAACATCTAGCTGTTTGATTGCCACGTTTGCGGAATCCAGCGCATGCATGTAGTAGGCCCTATCGTGGTTTAAAAACCGTCTGCCAAGATGACGCATGACATTTCGGCTACCACCTGGGACCTACAGCCGTCCCTAGCTCCAAATACCTGCTGCCTCACTTGAAACAAGTCACCCAGCTCTGTGACACTCAGAACCATAAAACAATCATGACGCCCTCCTAGTATTGATTCTGGGTACTCTGTCAGGGTTTCTGTCACCCTTCTCTATACGTGGCGGCGGGTTCTATGCGGCCAGTTCTGGGAGGCGCTCCAGGGATACTCGGCGGGCTTCTCTGGGGTGGGCACTTCCAGAGACCAGGTTGACTTGAAATCTAGCAACACCACTGGGGGTTCCAGGCTGTGGGGTCCTCCACAGAGACCACCCCTCCTGCGACCCTCCTGGGAACCCTTGGCACCCCCTGGGACCCCCCGTTTGCGAAAAATCGGAACTCTGCCTGCCCCCTTGTCTCCTCGCACCCAGCTGTGCGGCTGCCGAGGCGGCAATAGAAAAAGCAACGGAGAAGAGAGAGAGAGAGAGAGAAAGAAACTCAGGAAGCAGCAGGCAAAAACTCCTCATGATGTGTCCTTGCCCTTTTCTCTCATGCCTTTTCCTCTTCCGAAATCGAGGTGCCGACTGGTGAGGCTTTGAAACAGATGAAACAAGCGGAAACAGGTCACCAACAGCGTTGGGACACTCAGAAACACTTGATTCCTCCTCCAACCGATTCTCACTTTGACCTCTTCTGCCGCTTAGCAGCACCCGAGGAGGCAGCTTTGGTCGACTTCCTGTTCCACACTGGCAGCTGGCAGCTGGTACAAAGACACCGACATCATAACATTCTTGGATTAAGCAAGACCATCCTCTTCTTGGAGGCTTCCCCGACCTGCACACCATTCACCTGAGCGAAACCAAAGATCCGGCAGGGAACTCAAGCCAATGGGTGTCAGTCGTCCCTTTTGCGCCTCGCTGTTTGCAGGATACATGCTCTCGAACTCCTGGCCACAACTCGGCTGCCAGACGTCTAGCCTACGGACACCCCAGCATCTCACAGCTCTAAGCAATATGGCCCATGGCATCCTTCACGTTGAACTTCCGTTTGCAGCCCTCGTAGTTCCTGCCAGTAGTGGTGACTTCAATTGCCAATGCTGTGCTAGTAGATAGCAGAGAACATAGAAAGAACTTCAGAAGAGAACACGAGAGCTGCTGACAGAGGCACATGTACCGAATCTTTCCGAAGATCTTCCGCTCTGACCATCCCATGTCATGCCTTGCAGAACAGATCTCGTCATGAGACATCACGATCACTGCAAAACGCATGCTGCAACGATTCCGCTTACTCAGAATGGCGCGAGGGCACGCTTGTACAGACAATGGCTGGGCTCTGAGGTGCCAACACTCCACAGATGGACCACATGCAACCAACGTACCCATTTGGCTCTCGCCTCGGCAAATTTTTAGAAATTTTTCAAAGCTCTCGAACATATGAGGTCTTTGTGTCATGAAGAGGCTCAGATGGGCTGATTGAAGCAAGAGCGGGTGGTGAGAGAGCTAGAGTAGACGTGGGGAGTCTTCACCTGCTGTCCACATCTTTTCCAGTCAAAGCACTGGGGTGTGAGCAAAAAAACGTCTTGTCTATGGATACCTCAAAATTTGAGGCCCTACAATATGACTGCACAAGTATGCACAAGTGCAGGCGGGCATGTGTGCCCTGTCCCATTTGCTTGCCAACTCAGCTGCATGGTGAGAGAGAGGTGCTTGATCCGCCACACCCCTACTCTGATCTTGACTCCCTGTGACACACGCTGCCTCACAATGCTTCCACCGAACGTTTCGATGACATCTCTCAAGTGAACGCTTGCTTGTCATTTTCCGAAGCATGGGAGGCTGAGCAACCAACCCATCCAAGTTGTAGCGGTCGTTCAGGTAAATGGCTGTGGCCAGAGCTGTGGCTGGATCTTTGCTCCACTCCAACACCTGCGGGTTACTTTCCATGCGCGATGACGTCACCATTGAAACATCTCTCGTGTAGTGTCGTCGGAAGCAACAGGCTGTTAGCTCGTCTCATCTTCAAGAATTCGGAGTCCACTCTGTGCGTTACAAGCAAGTCCTAGACAGATCACACGGAGCTATCACACGGAGCTTACGATTGCCGCCTTCTTTGCCCAATACATTCGGAGGAAACCATGCATCTTGCCTGGAGCAGCTTCTTTACGAGAATGTCTATTCGTGGTCCCATCAGATCAGCTGCGAGTGCTCAGGCCCAGGAAATGCTTCGAGAGGAGTAAAAGTCGAGCAAGCTGCCAACCCCGACATCCTCTGAGCTCCTAGGCAACACCAGCAGCTGGCAGCCTTCAGAAACCATCTGCCGCTGAGCCCTGAGGCATCACAGCTTTACTTTCATGACAGGAATGTCTTGCGCAGGCCAATGGCAGGAGGAGCAAGGAGGCCAACGAGACACAAGGGAAGAGCACCGAAGCCGCTAAGACTGAAGCTTTCTGACGTAACTTTTCCAACTACACCATTCGGCCGTCCCTTGGCCCTCCGCTTACCCACAGAAGCACACGGAGGGATGGCTGCCGTGTACTGAGGGCGGAGCGCGTTCCAAAGCTCATCATGGGTTTTGGCCTTCCACGAACGTTCGAAAAAACCAAGCAGATTGCGTGAAAGGCTTTGCGGATTTTGGAGGGCGCGAGCATTTTGGATTGTGTGAGAGGGCACCAGCAAACGTCTGTGATCCACCATCATTCCGACCAACGCCTTCTCCAGCTGTGCCCTGCTGTACAGGTACTCCCTCTTGTCCTTCTCATGTTCACAGTCGGATTACTTACATATGTGCTGTGACAATCCCTCCGCAGTACAGCGACTCAGCAGACTGAGCTTCATGTCATCGCTGTCTACGACCTTCTATCCGCTTCTGTTTAGGCAGGTACTTTTGCACGCCCATTCACTTGCGTTTCGGCTGGTGGTTACACAAGTGAAGGCCTTAACATGACATCAAGAAATGCAAGAAGCGCAACAATGAGAAACAGCCATTGGGCTTTCACGACACACCAGGCACACCTGCACCTCCGGCACACCTACGACCCACAACCCCAAAAAAAACCGTGAGCCCGCATCTACTGCCTTGCTGTGCTTCTTCAGCGTCTCAACCTGGCCGTGTCTCCGACGTCTCGAAGGCTTCGCAGCCAGGAGCCATGGTAAGATCGGAATGACCAGAAGTCTTCTTTCACATACTTCGAAGTGCAAGACATCGCCGGCCAGACCGCCCATGCCGAGGCACCCTGCAAGGCCAGATAAGGCAAGATTCGCGTGGTGCGAGACAAATCCTAAAGAGTCCAGGTTGGGAAGGATGACACTGTACATTGGCTCTCTGCAGACACCTGGCGTCTCAGCCTCTCATCTCCTAGAAACTCCACACTCGCAACGCAAGTCATCTGGCATTGAGCAACGCTTACATTCTTCCATCCTTCAGCACTTCTGGGTTTCTGGGGGTTTCTGGCCTTCAGCGAATCGTAGTTCTGGTTGTACCAGCAGTAATTGTCAGAGAGCTCTCGCCGCACAATCGACTGCACACAAGATGAGCAGATGTGGGCAGCAACTTGCAGCCTTGCACCAGCAGCTGTGACCGAACATGATCCAGAGAACCGAGCTGGACTTCCTTACCGCTAGTAGCTCGCCTGTCGCAGACAACACTTACTTTACACACACACACACACACAACACACGCGACACACAACACACGCGACACACAACACAACACACAACACACAACACACAACACACAACACACAACACACAACACACAACACACAACACACAACACACAACACACGCGACACACAACACACGCGACACACAACACACAACACACAACACACAACACACAACACACAACACACAACACACAACACACAACACACACCACACACCACACACCACACACCACACACCACACACCACACACCACACAACACACACACACACACCACACATACAGACAGGCTACTCTGCTCACAGCCGCGGCCTCCTCCAGGAAGTCGTTCGCCGCAGACTTGGCCGCACCTTTGGCGGCCTCGTCAAGAGTCAGAAAGTCAGACTCAGTCAGTCGTTGCCAGGGGGCTCCGTTGATGCTCAGTCTTCGCGACTGCAAACTGGAACGGCAAGAACGGCGGCCTTCCGCACGACCAGGGCGCAGCGCTGCGCAGAAATCTGGCCAAACCTAGGCAGCGACGGCAACGAACGCGGTTGACTGCCATGTTTAAGTCTTCGGGGTCCCTTGTCCAAGGCAGTCGAGCTGGGCCTCAGGCTTGATCCATGGAGAAAGGCCCGATACGGCCTGCCGCGGAAGCAGCAACAGCGAGCAAGGCTGATCTTCTGAGGTTGAGAATGGTTGAGCGTTAGGGCCTAGGCTCAGCCAGTGGCAATCCTGCCTGCTTCGTAGGATCATTGCGCTTCTGCCCAAACAGGGAGAGGCGCTTTCGTACGAACTCCTCCGAGACTGCACACCAGGGCACAGGCTTCTGACATTTGCAACAGTACATAATGTGCTTCATAACCCCTTACACCTGTACAATCCATCCATGAGAGAAAAAACTATAGTAGCAGAAGACATGTACAGCATCCAGGCAGCAACATGCAGTCATAGACATAGACCGGAGACGCTGGAGTGCCCTTTTCAGCATCAAGAAGCCGGGATGGGCGAAATGAACCCTCGGAGACATCTTTCGCGACATCCCTAGAAACATCCTCCGACCGTGACCCGTCACCTCGAGACGGTGCTTCCCGGCAGCAGGCCCTGGGGTGAAGAGCTCCTCGACACAGCCGCGCTCCGGGAATTGGCATCTCATGATGCAAAGGCCTTTTCGGCTAGCTGTAGAAGCTCAAAGGGAAATCCGAACAGCCAGCGATAAGCATGGTCCACATGTGCCTGCCTTGCTCACGGGGCCAACTGTGCGATCCACCTGCAAGGATTTCAGCGCCGCAGCTACATCCAGGCCTGCAGCCAAGTGAGGACGTAAGTCAAGACAGGCTTCATGCATCGTTAGGCAAAAGCTGGCCGGCCCAGCACGCATACTTTTGTCGAAGGGCTCGGACTGGCCACTCCAGTGGAACCAAGCTCGGTGCTGGAAGCAGAGACTCAGAACTCTCATGAACTCTCAGCCCTGTCTCTACCGCAGCATCCTTGCCAATGGAGCGCCCACGGGCATGATCTCTCCACAACGAAGGCCGCAAGACTTAGCCTCGTGGCCTCGTGGTCACATTAAATGGCAACTGGAGGCTGCCTAGTGACACTTTAGTCTGTCTTTGCATGTCGCTTTATGGTCCGGCCACGACTGAGCCGGGTGCCATGTCGACCTCAAAATGGCTGCTTCGCAGCAAGGGCCGGCGTCAAGATGTGACCCTACAAAGAAACAGAACGGCGTGGGAAGATCTGTTGCAAGGAACGGTGGGTACAGAGTCCTTGCAGGTACATGTTCTTGGGGCTGGCAGTGACTTTCACATGGCTTGTTGACCAGACGAGCATCTGCAACCCACCCTTTGGTGTCACAGCGCCCAACACATCTTCCCAACGGCAAGGCCGGGCTTACCTCACCCATACAAACTCAGCGACTGCTTGGCCACGCCAAAAGTGCCAAGGGGAGTAGGAAGGCTATGGAGTACCCGCCGAGCCCAGTCCTACGATCAACACACGCCACTCCCCTCGCTGCCACTCAGATGGGCAAAGGTAAGTCTGGCCAAAGGCTCTGGATTGCGACTTCTGCCGCAAGATGTTAAAAGATGTTGACTTCAGCATGCACCGCAATTCTGCAGAATTCATATCACCCACGAAAATGCAAGAGCCGTGACGACGCTTCTATGAGCTTCTGTGCGTTATCAGATACAAACCACCTGATGGCATAACGCAACAGCTTGCGGCCTTGCGGCACCCTGCCCGCCGTCGAAACTGGCAAGACACAGATGACACGCGATAAACGGGGACCTCAGCATGCCTCGGCTAAGGCGCCGGGTCAAGCCAGACAGTCATCATCTGGTCGCAGGATCATGCGCTGCTTCGACCTGAACAAGCTTGCACACCGTCCTTTCCTTAAACTTAAGCCTAAACTGATACAGCTTCAGACAGACCTGGCAAGTTTTGCGATGTCGAATGACAGAAGCCACTGTGTTGATGCAATTAGAGTCCTTTAGTCTCACCCAGTGGCAGCGCAAAATCCTTTCCAGCATCGAGGTCGCCTGGGCTCGGTGTTGAACAACGACAGAAGGTCTTCGGCTTTGGAGTATATGGTTTCAAAGTACCCACCATAGGGAAACGATGCAAGTCTCTACGCAGCCGAGCAACCGTGAGCGTCCAAAGCCCAGCGCTCGACTGGGCCGCCACCCTCCCAACTAGTTCAAGTACGAGCCCAAGGGGGGGTAGGCAGGGGGCTTGCGTGTGCTGACCGCTCACTGCAAGCGCTTGAAGCGCAGAGTTCCGAGCCGGAGCCACTGCTTACTCACTCTGTGTGATGATACGAAGAGCTACTGTGGCAGGTGCCTATCAGAAAACTTCTAGAAGGGGAATGAGCATAATCAGCATCATGCGACAAACCTCTTCAGGGCTTCTGACGATGGCTCCCAAATCGTTTCTTTGCCAGAACACTGGGCAAAACATGCACTCAGCAGCCTCTTTGTAGAGCAGTATCTGGCGCTCTGTGGCTGAGACCTTCCACCAACTGTTCTTCGCATGCACCCCTTCACTCCACTCCAGGATGCCCTAAAAAAAAAACTTGTGTTTGCTCCATCCATGCGACTTCCCAAACTCCGCTGTGTGTCTGCGTGTCGGTCATGGTCTTTGCCAGCTGCGAGAAATACTGGCCTTGACATTCCAAGTATTTAATGATCAGAACTCTCTCCCACAGACGGTTGTACAGGCACAGCTTTGCAAGGAGCTCCCCAGCAGCCGAGGCACTCTCAAACTTCCCGGAATCACGGAGGATCAGCTCAAACGACTCTGCCTACCAAGGCGGGTTGTTCTCAAAAACCCGCATGAAAGATGGACCAAAATTCTCAAGATCATCGGGCTGGACTAGGATGCTAGGATACTACAGCTTGCTGCTCAATCTGGAACCAAATTGCCATCATTCCATTAAACGGCGCCTCGTCAGCGTCACCCTGCCAGCCTTAGGCCCACTTTGCCACCAACCGCTGCAAGGCGAAAGGTTCAAAATGAATCAACCCTCTCTTTGCTGTCGGGGCTGCGGAAAGCGTAGCGTCCACCCAAATGCCCTAGGCGCTCACGGCCTCCCTTCTCGGCTTGCAGACGCTCCTCCAGTGAAGGAACTCTGGCACGTCAGCCAAGAGTCCGTCTCTGATCGTCTGTCAATGGCTGAATAAATTGTGCACAGGACATCTTCGTGTATGCATGCTGTCAACCCACACGAGCTCACTTACAGCAGCTTGGGACAAAGGGGAAGTATAACAACAACTGATACGACATCCGAATCTGACAGGCCCGTAAAAGCACTCTGAGATTGTCACAGACCTCTCGCGAGCTGCCTCAGGAACGCAAGTTCAAGGCTGTTGCTCCACGGCCAAAGGTTTCAAAATGGCTCGGCTCCCCATAGCCTTGTAAACGCAGAATCAAAAACCGGCAAACTGCACGATGGAGCTCCTGTGTAGGTCCACAAAAGCCCTTGCAACAACTGCCGAGACGCAGTAGATTCGACACGTGCCACGTTCTCCGTACTGCGCTTCCCAGCTGCCTGCATGTACAACATGGCAACCAGCTGCCTACCAACACGTTGGCGCACCACAAGCGGTCAAATCTTCTTCCCTGCGGCCACACAGCCTCCACATCTGCAAGCAGGCGTGGGTTCTTGTCCATTTCGTTGCTGAAGATGAAGTCCACAAACCTTTGTCGAAAATGCAACATGCAGATCGGCTGCATCCAACCCTGACCTTGATAACGTCATGTTTCGACAAGGCAAGACGCATCACAAGACAAAGGTCACACGTACAATGTACAAATTGCGTCCATGGCGCTCATCGAACTGGACCTTTTCATCTCCTCAAATAAGGAGCATTCTGCATTCGCTTTCAACGTCTTTCATCTACATCCCGCCAAAGCCAAGAGCACGCAAGACTACTCAAGACCAGCGTGCTGATCTGTTTAGAGCAACTGTTGTGGAGCTGCGCTGCGGGTGCCGCCCGCTACCCCTGACAGCATCTACCGGGTGTGCGTGTCGAGAAGTACATGCGCAAGCTGCAAGCATAGAGGACAACTGCTGTGCGACTTCCGCAGGTTCTGCTGAATACGGTTGTTGCACGGCTGCGGTGTGCTGCGATACATCTTGTGGCCAGGACTCTGTTTCGATCCATGGTCCTCCGCAAGAGAAAAGATCAAACATCGCCATCAACTCAACAGCAACCACATCTGAGTTGACACTTGGGACGGTCTGTGCACCGAAGGCGTCTTATGTCCTGAAGATTTCACGTACCTCCTTCTCTGTGAGCTTGGTAGACAAGCAACCCAAGAACCTCGATGTGTTGACGACTATGTTCGAAGATTCATGGAGGCATATGTCATCTTACAGCTTGGAGCAAATAGTGCTGGCAAGATACACCGTGAGCTCCTCGAAGGATAAGCAACCATCCTCGCAAAGCGCTTTTGCCGGGAAAAGCAGCCATTTCTGCAGGCAGAACAAACCCATGGACTTCCCTTGTTTTTGCCTCCCTTGCGTTGCAGCATGGACGAGAACAGAGAGGAAAGGTTTCCAAGCTGCCATTGAACCCTAACTCAACCCCAACATTTCTGTGGAAGATAAGTCCGAGTGCCAATACTGCAAGTACGACAAGTGCATAGATACGAGGAGCATCGAGAAGCAGTCGGCAAAGCCCACCGTGCACTTTCACGTATTTTAAAGCCTTTGTCCTTATTGACGTCGAGCTCATGGAATTTGGCCTCGCAGCATCTGGCAAAGGCTTAGGATAGACTGGAGGTCGCTTCGAAAACAGGCGAGCCTTGATTTGAGTCTTCAGCTGGACAGCCTCCAGTCCAGTGGGCTAAAGGAGGCTGTGCAAAACACATCCAAACACTACAAAACATTTCCAAAACCTTGCGCCCCTGCGCATGAGCCAAAGAGGTCCAACATAGCACTGTACAAGCAGAGTACAAGCACAGTTAGGCCGGGGCCTTTAATGAGGTCGACCTCTCCGGCTCGGAAGGCCGCCTGCGGCTCGGCACCACGACACCAGCTACCAAATGGGGGGGATCTCTGTCCAAAGCTGAAAAAACAAAACATGCGTCCGTATAGTTGAAACTGGGCATCAAAAGCAATATGAAAAAAGACTACAACAAACCTCTAGACCCTCCGAACTGGCCCTGCCTTTTATCGCTGCGCGGCAGTGTCGGCGAACTGCGAGCATCAATGGGTGGCAGAATCATGGCTCCAGAGTGGGACTTCTGCCCAAAGATGGATCAAGCTGTTGTGTAGCACGTGCCCCATGTGAGACTCGTGACATGCCGCGTCCAGAAATATATTTACTGATGCAGCAGCTGCCTTCAATGCCATACATTGTCCGCGTTTGTCTAGCTTACTGTCTGCAAAGCAAGTCAAATTGTGCCGCATGTTCGAGTGTCCTGAAATGGCTGAGCCGGGAGGGGTCTTTGGAGCAATAAATCCGGCATGCCGCTCAGAAGTGCCTCCTGCTTCAGGCGCAAGGATCCGTACTTTCCATGGTATACCGCAGTCAAGGCTGCGCCGTCCCTTGACTTTGCTGAGGATGGCCTCCCGATTTGCCCAGAAGCGGCCCGGTCGGATGCCTCAATGCAAAGGCCCGCCAAAACAGTTCAGAGGCCTGATCACCTTCACCTTGCTGTTGCGGCTATGTTTACCGCGCTACTGCTGGTAGTAGGGAGGGCGGAGTAAATGACGCATACAGCTTACTTTACATCAAAGAGCCACTTCAGGTGTGTTCAGCATCCAAGAACGCTGACTAACACTGAGCCCATACGCAACACCCCACACATCACACCCTCTGAGCTTCACACTTGCGCAGCGGCGGGAAGTCCACCAGGAACTCCTCTCTTTCAGGGTTTGTTTTCTCATGCTTGTGAGGGACACCACCTGCTCCCCTGCCCGACTCCCGCCTTCAGCCGCTTAGTAATCTTGGGGCGCAAGGTGCGTGCACCGACTTCCTGCTTCTCAGAGGCCTCGATAAAGCTGCGGCAGAGGCGGAGGCAAAACACGCAATGTTTGGCATGGCTTGGTTGGGGGCTTTTAGGGTCCGGCATTGGCATGATGCAATCCGGGAAAGTTCGCATCATGGATTTTCCGGCCTCCCAAACAGGCACGACATTGTGGGCGTCCACCTGGCGCAACAGAGGACAACACAGGACTGGGAGAATTCGCAAATCCTCGACACTGTTCCGAGGCGCCCTCTCTCCGCCTGCAGCAAGGGCACCTGCAGACTCTGCAGCGCTTTCGCGACCCCTGGCAGGCTTGGAACTCATTCAGAGCGCAGCTCTAGAACTTAGCTTGACAGGACTAAGCTGCTTGCATGCTTAGCCGTGTGCTTAGCTGTGCGCTTAGCTGTGTGCTTAGCTGTGTGCTTAGCTGTGTGCTCAAGATCGCCTGCCGTCCAGGAACGTGGGACTCGAAGCGGGGACGTGTCGCAGATAACCGCGTGCACAGGGCCTCGACACTGAGCCAGCGTTGGGATTTGTTGGGGTCGTTGCGGCTTCATTTACCCTTTTGACTCACAGAACGCACCTGCGGCAAGCTGCCGAGCTTCCCTCAGAATGAAAGCACCAGTGAACTGAGATACTTGCCTTTCTTGCCCGTCTGCTGGAGCTTTCGCACAAACTTTGGGACTTCCGTGACGCTCTGGCCCTGGCTGAGTGATTTACGTTATATACAACGGAGAGAACAAAAATGTGGATGTTCAGTTCATTAGCTGGAAGCACCGTGTAGTAGTTGTTTGCCCCTTTTACTCCCATGCACCCCCGTGCCTTCAGCATGACAAAGCCTGCCGGCAAGACGTCCGATAGAAAGCCGACTTACCACAGAGCCGGCAGACAGTGAACTGAACCCATGTAGGCCGGCATTTCGCAGGGCAATCGGCCCACGTACAATGGAGGCATTCTGCCGGGGCTCTCCTACTTCTGCAGTAGGCGCCAAACAACACGCACCTACTTCTGAAGGCAGCTCGAGATTACAAGAACCCTAGACGTAAATGTTCATGGTGGCTACGAGTACACGACATACAGGGCACAGGCATCGGAAAGAAAGACAACGATAGTGACTGATAGTGCACGTGGCGCACACTTCGACACCGTCCCACATCCTGAGCTTCGCGCCGATGTTTAACTTCTGGAGATCCTTGCACGTCTCGGCCTCAGCATACGTGAATCGGCTCCAGAGGCACTTGTTTTTCGCACTACATGAGACGGGGGGGTTCGGAGACATGGGGAGCAAGACCCAGGAAGCAAAGAACCCTGAACCCTGCGAAAGGTAAGGAAGGTCGAGTCACGGGGTTTAGGGATCCCATCCTTCAGGAGCACCCAGCTGGATGCCTACCCATTTGGCATACAAATCATATATCCCCTCAAGTTAGTAATGCGTGGGGGCGTGGGTGCGTGTGTTGTGTGTGCTGTGTGCCTGCCGCATGTGACACGTCTCGAATGCCAATGGCCTGGAGGGTCTGATATGCCAACCCTCGCATCTCAGACCCTGCAACGGCGAGCTTGGGGGCTGAGGGAGCTAATGATTTCGGACCCTGTCGACAGAATACTGTCGAAGAGACCCCGAAGCAATCGCTGAGCCAGCAGCCAAACCCTGCAGCATGAAGTCGAAGTGGCGAAGGGTGGCATCCAGAAACTTTGGCACCAGGCAAAAGCACACGTGCAGGGACCTCACTGATGCACAGTTGCCTGCTCGAGAACATGCCGCGAGTCTGTGAAGCCCCCTCTTCAGGTCAGTGATCTGCAAAAACAGCGTACAAGGGCAACACTTCCCCACCGAGGGTATCGCGCCTTCTTCTCCAACGCCAGATCCTCAACCAGCGACATTGCAATTGCCTCTACATTGAGCTTCATACTGTTGCTTCAAATTCTCAGTGCAGGATTCAATTCCCCCAAACGCAGGTCCCACTCACAAGTCTACTCCCATGTGCACTAGAGTCACTAGAGTCACTAGAGTCACTAGAGTCACTAGAGCTCCTGAGCCTTGATGAGGGCCCAGTTGTCGTGCGCCCGCTGATCCCGTGACCTCAACATCTCTACAGCGCAAATACAAGAAGGCACAGTCTTGTTCATGTCCTATTGTGCCCTATGCTGGTCGCATAGTGTCGCAGAATGTCTCAGAATGTCGCAGAATGTCGCGGACCATTCCGGGCTTTGCAACGTGATTACCCGTGCCGTCGGGCATGTCTTCCAGCAAGCATGCAGGACAAAGTCCAATGTTAGCAACCCCCACCCCCCACCCCAACCCCGGACCCCCCAACCCCCCACCCCCCCACCCCGCCGTGCCCGCAAGAAAAATTGGCATGTCGTAAGATGTTTCACAACGCTACCCTACAACTTACATCTCTGATTCTACTACCACAGGTCATCACCTCGCAACGATGCCAATTGCAGCGGCATCTTGGGTGGAGACATCCAATACAGCACCGTCCCGCCAAGGCCGTCCTGCAAAAAGCGGGCCTGCCTACTACGAAATGGCACCGTGGAAAGGAAACAATTGAATAATGCTAGACATTGCTAAACACAACCAAGCGGACTCCTTCCGAAACAGGGGGGTTAGCTGCCATGTGGTTCATGTGGCATCTGTCTAACTCACTGAGAACTGTCGCTGATGATTCTGCGAATAAAAGCACGAAAAAAATGTTCCTCGTCCCACCCCTCCCATTGCCTTCACGTCGACCTTGTTGGCCGCCCGGACCCGTCGGGGGTCCACTCGTGGCGCCATGGTCCAATGCTGCGTTTGAATGTGGCCAGTCACATCAGCGAATCTCTGCCCAGGATTTGCAGGGGGAGCTGAATGACCATCACTAGTCACTAGTCAAGCATTCAAGGCTCAGCAAGCATGCTTCCAGACAGGACCACAGGAATGGAAGAAATTACCAAGCAATATCCGAGCCGAAGCGCATGAGGACAACTTGGGCTGTCCAATCCCAGTTTGAGACAGGGGCAAACCGCACGCGCACACACACACACACACACACACCCAGCAAGTTGTATGGCCATAATGGCTTGTAAGTAGCAGTTGTGCTTTCGCCGCTGTCCTTTTATCCTTGTTGGGTTGAGACCTGGCCGAAGCTCAGGCAATCTCGAAACACGGCTGCAGTAAAACCTGCGCCAACCGATGCTTCACCGCTGCTTCAACGTAACGCGCGTCGATGCAATTGTAGGACGGATCCCTTCTGGATCCCTTCTGGATCCAGGTAGCACATGGCAGAGCTTGGGCCTGATAGCCCTGCTTGTCAGTGTTGATTGGGTATCTTGGCAAATGGGGATGTAGACTAGGCAGGCACAGGCCCACAAGCCTCATCATGTCTCATCATCGATAAGGAATGGATGCAATAAATACAAATAAACACTGGAAGAGCAAGGCGGCACGTCCGGCCACTCATCCTGCAACTGCCACAGGCAGCTTCTGTCAGTCACCGTCCCTGGCAAGTGCTTCCCATTAGGTCTCTAGGGCCCCAGTGGACAGCTTGAAGCGCTGCTCTTGAACATGGCTTCCTACTTTGCCTCATTGATATCTGTCCCTATGCCCTATGCTGCCTCAGCCACGTCCCACACTCTCACTCTGCAAGCTGCAACGGCCAGGGCCCCATGCTACACTACGAAGTGCCCGACGAATGAGAAACAACCCGAAGCAACCCTCCAGGAATGATCGGTGAATCTCGTGCCTTCCGCTATGGTGTCTGCCATGGGGAGAAGCCAGACCTGCACAGTCATGTCAGTCCCATGTCGGTGTCATGCGGTTTCGGTATCTTCGACAGATCATGCTTCCGCTGCAGAGCTTCAAGTTGGTACCAGTTCCCGCCAGAAGCATTCAGAGGCTGTGGTCGCCCTGGAATCCCTGGACTCTGAATGACCCCAAACCTTCTGACAAAAACCCAATCCGAATCTCCAAATATCGCCCCTCCAAAATCCGAAAGCTTGGCATTTCCCCAAGGACCCGCAGCCTCAACTGGGAGCAGTCGGAGAAGTGCTTTCACCGTGCGGCAGAGATGCGCACCGCAGAAAGTCTATCTGTCAATTGGGGGAAAAGCCGGCAATGAGTCTGGAACTGCAGCTGCAACCCTGTACCTGAGCAGAAGCTGCACGCTCTTCTGAACTTTATGGCTACAAAAGTTACAAGAAACTTCCGTGCACCTCAGGGCACAGAGCTGACACTGGATGGGTGAAAGTCCGAAGGGGTAGGCTGCAGAATGCGACCGCTCAACTCTGGCTCCGTGAGGCATGTGGCCCACAGAAGACATCGCAGTGCTCAAGTTTATGCTATATCTACTGACAGCCGTACGATAAAGCAAAACATGCTGCAGAAGATTCAAACCAATGTTTGTGTGTCTAGACAAAGTCATGAGAGAAAGCTGAACTGCGCCTCACAGTAGTTCGAAAGCTGGCTCATTCTTCTGAGAATAATTACGACGCAGGGACTTCAGATAACTGCTCATAGCCCTCTCTACTTGGGATGTGGTTGGACGAATCTGAAGCGGCCCATGTTCAACAGGCTTCTGAGCTTGCACTCCACCTTCTTCTTGTGCCTCCACTAGCCTACTGCATTGGAATCACCATGCTTCCAGGATCTTAAAGTTACGCCGATGTAACTGGCTTTGCTGTGGCACGAAGGCATCTCAAGATCTGCTTGTTGGAGGGCACGGATGTCGCATGTGCCACATGCGTTCGTGCAAATTTGCCCTGGCAAAGTATCTCATGTTGACATCTTTGCCAGGCAAAGCATCTCGCTTCACCTGGAAGCCATTACATAGAAGAGAAGACAGCAAGCCATCAGGAGTCGACCGGTGAAAGAACCGTCAGGATCCGCAACTAGACAGCCGCCCGTCCGGCTAGGGCTGATCTTCTTAATGGGCGAGGACAGCCTTCTCTGGGTCCCACACTTACCAGCTCCATTGCTCTAGCCTGACTAATCATACCACTTTGATGAGCTTGCAAAGCTTCAAGGCACCACCACGTATTCAAACAGCACTGGGTGGCAGGGGCAACAGCATCGCTTAGCTTCTGACGGGCTCCGGAAAACTCTTAACATTGAAGAAAACTCACAACTCGCTGCAAAGACTCTTGCCCCTGATTCAGCGACGTAAACACTCAGAAAATATCTCTCTCCTGCGGCAGGCAGAGGCTGGCTCGTACGCTCTGCGCCAGCGAATCGATACCCCGCGTGCAAGAGGGCTCTGATGCCCTTCTCTCGGACATGCATAAACCGAGAAGATTGCCACACTCCAACCTCAAAAACATTCAAGAAGCCCCTTTCGAGCGAGCCAGCCTCGAAGTGGGAGCTGAAACGGACAGTCTTTTGCTTTTGAAATCGATGAATTAACACATCACGGCTCGTTGTCTGGCTCCGGCTCGACGAGCAACTCCCCTTAGCTGAGACTCGACCAATCGCTCAGCCATTTGGCCTGCACCATCCCCCCTCCAATTTCTGAAACATTTCTGTCACAGGTTTGAGGGATGTACTGCAGCAGAAGTTTAGTGGATAACGGAGATGATGGTGCTTAGACGATGCCCTTGGGTACAGAGTGCTAATTCAATGCGCACGTGGGAAGCAGAGACGTCAGAGCTGAGGGGCGAAGTTTGGCAACCTCAGATGGGGCGAAGCCAATGTAGTCGAAGTAGTTGTCGATCCCCCCAAACTCCTCGCTGCACTTGTCACAGAAGAACTTGCTGGCACGATTCTTGCCCGGATGCGGAGATAGATTGCTACGCAACACACATGCCTGCAAGCCCACACACAACACTGGACCACGTATCCTGAGCAGAAGCCGTCCTGCTGCAATACTTCGTGCATTACATACTCAATGATGTCTCTATGCACCTCAGCTTCATTGCAGATTGCAGTAGGACTCTGCCACCACGTACAGCACGTGGAACAATACTGAGGTCCATGATCTGCAGGCAATCATGCAAAGCCTGGTTCCCTTAAATGGAACGAAATCATCAGGCGAATCAGGCGTGACAAGATCGGCACCATTGATCTCTTGATGGCATCAGGATCAGAGACAATGTTCACGTCCTGCACGTGTGCTGGCTGGTGGCTTCTGTCGGTAGGTTGGAAGCTCTGCACAATCGACACTCATGCGAAACGAGCCATCTTGGCTAGCTGGCAACCTGCTAAACATCCCATACACATTTCATTTACCCACTCTCCTGGGTTGACAAAACCTCAACTGTGGACAGCATGTCCTCCCAAAGTGGGGTGTCGCCATCACCTGTGCTAAGGGCTTGCTGCTCACTGCGAATCTAAAGTTGGATGGGGTTTAGGGTCAGAACCAGCGATTCGGATATCATGCAACACCGCATGGGGTGGGCATGCTGGCTTGTGAAGCGCAAGGTCGAACAACACTTGCAAGTTTTGGCCTGGAAACAGTACCGGTACTGTACCAAGTCAACACCTTTTATGCAGATTCAGAGATTTCTAGAAAAAAGCTCGCCAGGGGGGTTTCCTCTTTCTGACCGAACGTCGGATAAGGCATGGCTCCAAGTAGTTACGGGGAAGATCTTTCCTAAAGAGGCCTCAAAAGGATCTTGTGTTCAATGTGGCTCAAGCATAACATCTCGGGCCCTAGCTGTCCAACATGTTCTGGACGCTTGGGGGGAGCCGCGTCCTGGCCACCACCGAGATCAAAACTAATCATCAAGCAACGTTCTCAAGGCAGGTCTCTGTGAATAGACAAACGGGATCAAACGGGATCAAACCCCGCCTTCGCACCAGCAAGCTGTACTTCCGTGGGTCACGGATCCTCAGCTCCTGCGATCTGACCGACGGCAACGTCAGTGTCTCTGAACAATCTTGATTCTGCAGTCTGTTCTTGGGGAAAACTCTGAAGAATGAGCAACCGTCTCTATGTTGCCGTCGGGTCCTCGCACCACATGGCGACAGCGATCTGATTGCAGGCGTTGATGTGCTGCGCAGACTGACACAGGGTTGTTGAGCGTTACTTGAGCTGACCTGTGGCAGACCATGACTGCCCACAGCCGGAGCGGGTTTCTAGCTTTGCAAATCTGCGACATGTGCTTCTGTAACGTCATGGCAAGTACCTGATCCTCAAATTGGCCAGCTCAAGTCCAACGCATTCGTTGCCTCGTTAGTGAACAAATAGTCAAAGATGATGTCCTGGCAGCTGGGCTGCAGCACGGCTACATGGAAGGTCGGCACTTGCGATACTCATGCATCATGAAAGATCGCCTCTTCATCTTGAGGACTCAGAAAAAGAGCAGAAAAACGGGAAAGAGGCGAGCACCGCTAGTCCCGCTAGTCTCGGTGATGCAGAAAAACTGGGCGCGTTGTGATGGGCATCTCGGAGGGTTATCGTGGGTGCGTACGGTGGGTGCATCGTGTTTCGCGGAGCGCGTGGCGGGTCGATCCAGCATGAGTGTCGGTAAAGCCAGGAACCAAAAGTCGGAACCCCCTTCTACAGCAGAACAGACCATCTGCAGCGGCAGGCCAGCACATCAAAAAATCGACACAGCAGCTTCAACAGGCCTCCCAAGCGGCACATCCGTGCTCAATGAAGCTTCGCGTGCTGTGGCATGCCAGGTGTACGTCACGTATCTTTACATGACGCTTTCCACGGTCGGTTTCACTTTGAAAGAGCAAACCTCCAGGCGGGCATGTTGCCCCAAGCATGTTTCCCGACTCCCGTCTCTCCAGCCCAGCCTTTCCGACTCTCCTGCCTGTCTTATTTCCCGACTCATGGGCCTAGTCTCCGACATTTGGGCATCCCTAAGACTCCGGGATGGAAAAAACTCATGAGCACCGCCTCTAAAGAATACATCTCGCGAATCACTCCGCGCCTTTCCTATGTTGAACTCCGCCTCTTGCTGCCCTGTGGACACTTTGCCCACTAGGCCGGGCCCCCCTTTTTCTACACTGATTGGCTGGAAAGCAGCCCTCCAAGGATAATGTTGAAGACCAAGGGGTGGGGACTAGCTTGCAGCCACATTGTCTGCACCTCAGGGCAAGTTCCTGTTCAGGTGCATGTTTCAACCCCGTTTTGCTCAGATTCTCAAATTCCCGGACACCAAAACTGCTCAAGGAGAGCAGCTTTCATGATGGCTTTCGAGTGCAGTCCCGCAGGCGTGCAACCCAAGCCAAAGAACACGACTCATATACGTTCAACAGGCTCTACTTCGCATCAGGCCAACCCACAAAACACCAAGAAACTCCGTGAAGCAGTAAGTCTCCTCCTCACTGACTCCCAGAGCGGACAAAACCAAACACGCCAGGAGGCCTCAGTATGAGTTTGCACAGGTTTGAACCATGAATGTCTGGACATGGCTCTGCCCATCACAAAGCCGAAAGGAACACACAAAATCATCAAACGAGATCGCGACCCGTACGATCTTTGCCCGCAATACAGCCGAAGGCCACTGGGAAGTTTCGCTCCTCAACAGCGTGTGCTAGCTGCGATTTGCTCCAGGCCGTGGCAATATGTTTAGGCAATCATATGCCTACGACATGCATAGGTAAGTTGAAGGCCCTTTAGAGTATCTGAAGCATGTTTATAGCCTCTGTGGAGGATGGATGCCTGATAAGCCTGTCATGGATTGGTAGGCGCTGCCAAGGCATGGAACCGGGTGTTGGCCAAGGTGCTGTTGGAGCTTGGGTGCAAGCAGTCGTCCCTTGATCCATGTGCGATTGATTACTGGAGGAACGCAGCTATTGGTGCTTGGGGTTCGCATGGCATGGATGACTTATTGGTCCATTTGACTGATGTCATGGAACGATTGCGGGCGAGGAGGTGGCTTGCTGAGGCCAACAATGTAGACATCACGGGGTGCAGCAGAAAGATTGCGCTGAGTGGAATGCCTTCACTTGCCGAAGAAGCACAAAAAGCAACGCCAGAGCCCCACCACGGTCGAAGAGGACGCGAGCTGGCCGAGCGCTCATGAAAAGAAGAGTCAGTGTGGACACATGGGGGCAAGTAAGTGTTACAACTTAGATGGAAGAGCTTCAAGCCGGAGCCTCAAGTGGCATTGACCCTGATTGCTGAGTTGTTGTGCTTGCTAAGAGCCGTGGCAGAGCGAAGTGGATGAGATCCATTTGGATAGAGGCCACGAAATGCAGAGCACACTGGAAAAGGTTAGAATGCGGACACAGCGACCGTGTGCATGGATTACGAGCCCGTTTTCAACGACATTCACGGCAAGCTTTGACCATCAAGGACAAGCGCCTCGCAATCCAGATGATCCTGGTGGACAAGGATATCAGTATATCAGCTTTGAAAACGTTGCCCACCTACCAGATAGTGGCCGATGGATTGACAGAGGCCAGAGCTCCAGCAGGCCTACTTCGAAAGACTCGGAAGGAAGGCAAGATGATTCTCACCGAGCCCGATACGATCAAAGAGTGGGCCAAGACGTTTATGGACAAGTTTCGTGTCGGTCGGCTGACAAGGAGGGGAATTTAATTTGAGATGGCTGAAAGACACTATGTTGGGGGGCTGTCTGAACTGCTCGTGTACGAAACAGACATGTTCCTGTTGCTCTGCTGGTTTTTTGCTCGACCGAAGCCCCCAACTTACTGCTTGTGAAGATGGCCATTGGCTTCCCAGATAATCCCAGACTTTGGGGGAATTCCAAGAAGTTTCTGCTTGATTCGGGTGCAAAGAATTGCGTGCCATGTACATGCAGACTCAGCTCCTGGAAAAAAGAATTTTTTAACAAAAACAAAACCAAAAAAAAAAAAGGCCTTGGCTTCACATGCTCTGCCCGGTCTGTGGCCATTCTGTGGCACATTCTGTGGCACATTCTGTGGCACACTCTCTGGCACACTCTTTTTCCCACACTCTGCGGCACACTCTGTGGCACGTTCTGTGTCACATTCTGTGCTGATGCGGAGTTTGTGCGACTGTGCGTCGTTGTGCCGTGTGCCACCACATCCAACTAAGAGATCTAGTTCATTTTCGGATAGAGCCCATGTCTACTACCAGCCTTGATGAAGGACGTTGCTCTTTGCAGAAACTCGTGTTTGTTTTCCTCATCTGCAGAGCACGCAGCCTTTGCGGAAACAGTCTCAAGGCGTTGTTGAACCTACGCGAATCGTCATTGGCCACGTTTGCTCTTGAGAAATTGTGTTCTTGTGAGGAATGATCTTCAACACCACTTTAAGGATGCAGTCTCTTCAGCAAGCAGATCAGCTTTGGCTGATTGACTGAGACGCCAACGTCAACTAAGGCTCTGAGTGCCTCGGCAGGCAACTTCAAATTGGAAGCACGTCCAGGAATCCAGCCATTGTTCGAACTGGAAGCCAGGAATTCCGATAGGGATCCTGCTGTGAGCACCTCATCCGAGTTCCTGAAGTTGCAGGCTGAGCGTGCAGCGGTCAGAGAACGAAGCGACCGAATGAGAAAACTATGGCAGAGCTGGAATTTTGCATGCGCACCCATCCACACCTCAGCACACCGTGTGAAGGTTTGGAGACAAGGCCGTGGCAAGATGAGCATGGCGCGCATACTCGTCTTCAATTGCACCTCTATCAGCACAAAAGCCCAGCGAACTTTGGAAGCATAAGGCCCAGCTCTCTGGTTACAAACGGTTAAGACCATGCACGAAAAGCCGGCAAACCCAGTCCTGGAGGTCGTGGAAGGTCTCGCTCCGCATCTGCTGCTGGAACCACACGGCGCCTGGTGAACACAAAAACTCGTTATCCCGTCCTTCCGGGCAACAAATTTCTTCTTCGGCAGGGCATGCGGCAAGAACACTCTCTCTGTCCCGCCGCGGCTGAAGTGGCATTCACGCAAGCTTCGGCTCTTTCAGCGGCTTGGGAGATTTGAGGGCTGAGAGCCGAGGTTCTTCTGAGCTGCCGGCACTGCGCCTTCTTGTCAGATGGATCTACTTTGCCTTCCTTGGCCGCTGTGACAACTGATATTCTTGGCCTCATGTAATAAGTGTAGCCAGACTTGAGCGGTCAACTGACGAGCGAGAACATACGCTGAGAGCTCGGCTGTCTCGTCTTGTGTCAAGGGTCGTGCACCAAGGCCCTTCGAAATCCCACTCTACTTTCTTGAGGTTTTGCTGGTGACATGGCAACGTTGTTGAACCTTCGAGAAGGGGCAGCTCAGCCGACGCCGTTCTCCCGGATCTGGTAGAGTGCATGGTTTTTGGGTCGGTCTTCATGTGAAGCTGCAACGACTTCTGCGCATCGCGAATCACAAGTGGACCATTTCCCCATGGCTCCTCCCTACCACGGCCAGGTGCTACTCTTGCTACCCTTGCTGCACACTAAGCTCTGTTGAGCGTGCACCTCGAGGAACACTGGCCAGGTGCCGCCCGTTGGGGCTGGGCGGGTAATCGTCGAAGCACTCCCTTCGACACAATTTGCGACAGAAAATCAGAAGATTGACTTCTTTGCGCATATGCTGAGGATTTTGATCTGAGGGACTGTGACTGTGACCCTAACTTGATGGAACTCTAAGTTTCTTGAAGCTCCCTGTTGCATGTGCAGACCGTCTAAGACGAACACGCATCGACGCTTTCGAAGTCCTGCGTAGTGCTTCAAAAGCATCTGTACTGCAGTCCTACAGTCATACAGTCACTCACAACAAGAACTCAAACTCATTCAAACTCCAAAGAAACATGATCACAACATGCGAAACAGAAGTCCTGGCCGTTGCGAAGGTCAAGGTAAGTGCAAATGCCCAGCGTGTCACGAATTAGTGACAAATCAGTCGGAGTCGCGGTGACCCAGTGGCCTGAGCAGGTTCTAAGTCTACCAGGCTGCGCTAAGCTCATGCCAGGACAAGAGTTTGCCACATTGCACGCAAAGTGGATAGCTTGGAAAAACATCGTTCCTGTCGAGCTGAGTGCTCTGAGAACCGGTGCCGGTGCGGTAAACTTTGCCGCGAGAAAGCCGGCCTCCCTGCAACACTGAAGGTGCTGTGGGCTGGGCTCCAGACAGAAGATACATGCTGAATGTAAGACTAACAGCCCTACGACAATCCGATGGTTGCAGCCTTGCAACGGTACGGTGCAGATGCATCCTTGGGCTGTCGGGGGTTGACCGTCACATGTGGCAGTGCTACTTAGAGACGACTTTCGTAGGGGCGTACCGTAGGGCCGGCTTCCTCTTCAAAGTGGAAGGTTTCCAGGCATCCTTGAAACATCGGGTGGGTCAAAGACCATGACCTTCAAGACCACACAACACATCACAAAACAATGTCCTTTTGAGCTATTGTTTGAGGA